TCATGAATACTAATACAGAAATCTCTAAGATCAGAAAACTGAATCCAACAGTTTTTTAAAAATGATATGTCGTGATCTAGCTGAGCTTGTAACAAAGGACAACGGAGGACCTGGAAATGTTACTTATTTCATATTAGATCAAAACAGAAAATGTTCATTTTAATCCATGCAAAAAAAAAAAGATACCAGATAGAATTCAACACCAAACCAATACTGTACCTAGGAAAAGAAGAAAATTTCCCTGGTTCTGACCAAGGATAATTTCAAATACTTAGAGCAAACTTATGAGTTGGATGATTTTCTTTTACTTTCTATCTGGAAATTATTCTAAACTTATAGGAAAACTGTAATAGTAACAGCAGAACATCGGAAACCATTTAAATTCCTTTCCATCGTCTACTTCCTGTTAACATTGTGCCCATTTATCATTTTTTCCCTCTCCCATGTCCACATATGTATATGTGAGATACATATTCCTCTCAACCATCTGAGTTAGTTTTATACATCAAAGTCATTTATTACATATTTAGTGTGTATTTCCTAAGAAAGATATTTGCTTATGTAATCATAGTGCAATGAACAGCTTCAGTACCTAACATTGCTCAGCTTGCTAATTCTTGTCCCTTGATTCGGTAAGACTCACCATCATTTCTAATGATGAAATATGATTACTATGGTAATTATTTTAACTAATTTATGTATTGTTACTGTGTCTGTGCATAATGTGGAGGGAGGTGTGTGCCACCACACACATGTGGAGGTTAGGCACAGAGAAAGCTTTCTGAGGATGGTTCTCTCTATCCATCACTATGTGGGTTCCTGAGATCACACTTGGAACACCACGCTTGCATGGTAAGCTCCTTTACCCTCTGAGCCATCTCACTGGCCCAGAAATAATTTTAATCAACTATATTAACAACTCAATTAAAGTAAAAGCTAGAGAGGTGGCTCAAGAGTTTAGAGCACTCACTGCTCTTACAGAGAATCTGAGTTCAGTTCCCAGCACCCATAAGGTGGCTTACAACTATCTGTAACTCTAGTTCCAGTGAATCAAACTCCCTCCTCTGGCCTTTGCAGGCACTGGACATACATGTTCTATACACACATATATGCAGGCAAACCCCATACACATAAATTAAAAATAAGCTTAAAAAATAAAAGATGGTTCTTAGAAAGTAAAGAAGCTATGTAATCACATGTAATTACATGTAATCACAGTTCTTCTGAAGATGAAGCCAGAGGATCACAGTTTCAAAGCCAGCCTGGGCTATACAACCAGACCCTGCAATGAAAGAGACAAGGAGACAGAAAGACAGATACACTGGAGAAATACAAAACAAAACCACAAAGAAAAAGTCCACACATTCATGAGAGGAGCTAAAATAAAACACACAAACATTAGTGTACAGTGGCATAGATGTGCAGTATGCATGAAGGCCTAGGTTCAAAACTTGGCATAGAAAAGAAAAAAAAAATGCTAAGTGTTGATGAGAGTGTATTGAAAAAACCCACCATGTATTCCAGTGAGGATGCAGGATGCTATAGACACTTTGAAAACCACCCTGGCATATTCTTAAAGAGCCATGGACACTACATGATCCAGTCTCTCCAATCACTCCTAGGAGAGTATTTATCCAAGAGGAACAAGAAACTATTTCACAGCTGGATGGCGGCGCCCAGCACTCAAGAGGTGGAGGCGGGAGGATCTCTGTGAGTTCAAGGCCTGGTCTACACAGTGAGTCCCAGGACAGCCAGAGCTACATGGAGAAACCCTGTCTCAAAAAACCAAAAATAAACAAACAATTTCACACACACATACCCATAAATGTTATGTTATTTATGGGATAGATGATAGCTGAAAAACTATCCAATACCTATCAACTAATGAATGGTAAACAAAATATGCCATATCTGATCGGTGGAACATTAATGATTAAAGAGAAATTCCTAATATGGGCTATAAAATTTAGTTACCTTAAAAATGCCAAGTGAAAGCAACTAAAAGAAATGACTACAAATTGCGTAAGTTCACTTATGTAAATCTGACAAGAAGCAAATCTATAGAGCATAAAATGGGTCAGTTGACTGAGATTAGGACAGGAGTGAGGATTCACAAGTGGAGCAAGGAAGATGGAAGCCTCCTGAATGTAACTACTCAGTAGCTGCACAGCTGGAAGTCTACTTACATCACATTTAGCTACAAGGCTTGAATTCTAGGTTTTTAACTCACACCTGAATAATGTTGTTCTTACAGTATCAAATGACATCCAAAAGCTCATCAGTAGTTAGGAAAAAATAAAGGCCCTAAGATGGACAGAAGACTGACTATACCAAGGGAAGAAGACATAAGCAGAGGAGAATCTCTATGCACGGTTAGTGGGAGAAGGAGTGAGCACTCTGGAGGACAATTGGTCCTGGCTGTGTGAGGTCACCCATGTGCATACAACCATCAAACCACTCCAGGGCAGATGCTGGAAGCAGTGGCCACACAGAAAACCCTTCAGGGTTTGCATACCATATGGTCTCAGTTGCAGCTAATTAAACTCTGCCCTTGTGTCGCAAGACAACCACACACAAAATGTAAACAAATGAGCTTGGCCATAAAACGTTATTTACACAAACAGGCAGTGAGCTGAATTTAACTGCTGGGCAGTGGTTCTCCAATTCCTGCTCCAGAGAACAAAAATTTCCACAGGACTTATTCATATTAGTATCAAATAAGAAACAACCCCATGTTCACTAATAACAAAAGGAGTAAATTGTGACATTTTCAAAATGAAATATAATACAGCAATAAAAATTATGTTCTTGCTACCTGAACATGAAAAAAAAATCTTATTTAAATCAGAAAAGCAATTCATAAAGAAGATATGAAATATGCCTTAATCGCAAATATACGCTTTTTAAAGTTCAAAAATAATCAGAACAAAACAAAAACCCGTGTTTCTGCTTTGTAACTATAAAGTAAAAGGACACTACAGAGAATGGTAAAAATTCAGTAAGTAGGTAAGCTAAGATATTCTGTGAATTCAGCTGAAAGCCCCCAAAAGGATTTTTAAAATGACCCACTCGAGGGCAGACCGTGAAGAATTTGTTACTAATCAGTGGGATAAGCCATCCATGTGGATTATAACAAAAAAAACCAAAAAGCTTATAACGTCCTCTTGAATTCAAACAGAATGCGAAGTGACAAGGGTGGGGGAATGACGATAAAACCCGAAGATAAAATGCATACACTGGTTAATCTTCTTTCTTGACCTGGTCCAGCCTCACCTCCAAATGACTGTGTAACATGTAATTCCAGCACCATCTGGTGGTACTACATGACAACAACAGGCCCTTCAATTAGCTTCTTCATTAATCAACTATTCATTGAAAGGACATCTACTCGAATCGCAGTCTTTAAATCTCTCTAGGGATGCAGGAAATAAAATATTCCCTAAAACAGGACTCTTTAAGAACAAATTACAGTTAAACTGTGATTATGAGAACTGTAAGAAAATGCTGAGGATGTAGCTCAGTGAGCCATTGCATATGCTTGAAGCGCTGGCTTTGATACCCAGGAACTAACTAACTCTCACTCTGTCTGTCTCTCTCTCTCCCCCATTCCTCTTTCCTTTCTTCCTCTCCCTCTCTCTCTTCCTCTCTCTCATATACAATGTGTCTGCTCTTAGAAGTTTGCTTCTGTAATTTTCAGAAAAGGAGTTCTTAGGAGTTACTGATAAGCAGTCTACAGGTGGAAACAGCAATGCCACTTTCAAGGAAAAGAACCATAGTGCTCTTGAGGTGCCCTCATCTTCTTGAAACTTCATTTGAAAGAACGAGCCTAATTTTCCCTTCCCTGGCACTGAGCTGAGCCTAAGGCTCACTCACATAGAAGAGAGCCTGTCATAAGCAGTGATGTGAGCACCGAGGACAAAATCACTTCCATCTTGCTGTCTTTTGGACTACCCACCCTGAGCAAAGTCAGCCAGCATGTCCTAAGAAGAAACAGGCAGACCTGTGAAGACCACACTTAAGGGAAAAACTGCCAAAAAAAAAAAAACAGCACCAGCCTGCCAGTCATGTGAGTGAGCCCCCTAGAAATCAGCTCCTCTGGGCCACCTTGAGCTGGCTGACCGCAGGCATTTCCAGCATCACTAAGCTCAGACACTGCCAAAGACACAGAAAAGTCAGTGTTTATTGTTGCTTTAAGACACATAGCTTGAGGATAATTCAATATACAACAATATAAAATAATACAGTAAGTATTATTAGAATCAAACGCTATTAATAGCTTGAAAAAATAACTCACTATAGTTTAATATGCTAGTTGCTCAAATATTATCAAAATTGATTCATACTAGAAATGTATGTAGTGATCCTTTTTTTTTTTTAATTGACTCAAATTATTTCCTAACACTATTTCATCATATTCGCCATTTCCTGTGGTGCGTGCATATGTGTGTGTGCATTCCTGCATGTGTGTACATGTGTGGGTGTGTGTGCATGTCACGGGGCCTGAGCCCAACACTTAATGTTTTCTTCTCCTCCTCTCCATCATATGCTCTGAGATAGATGCAGTTCCTTGCCTCATTTCAGACACACACCATCTTCTGTGTGGGGACAGATTCAGCTCCTTTCTGCTGCGCTGTCATCACAGATGTACACCACGGCACCTGGCTTTCCCACAGGTGCTGGAGATCCAGACTCAGCTCCTCATGACTCTGAGGCAAGCATAAGGAGGACTCTGCCCACTCAGCCACCTCCCCAGGCCCAATACTCACCATTCTCTAAAGCAGTTCAATGAAACAAAACCTGGACACATCTAGTCAGTCAGCAAGGCTTTGTTTAACAGCTCCATTTACACAGCAACTATGTTGATCCTGGCTAGAGGACTACACCAGCAAAGAACGCAGCACTTGGTTCTTAGTTTTCATGAGGTAATTTTTGCTTTGTTTGTTAATTAAACATTCCTCCTGGCTCTGATACTTCTAGAAGAAGGTATGGATTTCCTTTACCTCTGTGAGAGATCCACAAGCAACACCACCATGCAGAGCTTCATCCAAAGCAGAAAGGGTGGTAGACAGGAACGCAGGTGAGAGATTCGCAGACCTCCGTGTCTTTATCTCATAAGCCTGAACAAGAGAATCATTAAGTTCCTTTCAGCTGCTAATCGGTCAGAACCACAAACCAAATCTGTGCCCACAAATCCATCCTTCTTTCCTCCATTGTTCATTTGACCGGTGAATATTTGCCCAGTGCCAAAGACCATGCTAAAAGTATAAGGATGGAATATAATGAACAGCTACCATGCTCACAGGCATGAGATTAGGACCCCAGGTAACTACACTGTTAACAAGAGATAGAGACTTACAGACTACACCTGACCCAGACCTGGTGCTCTTTAGGCCTTCACTGAGGAGCCAGACATCTATGCAAAACACTAACTCCACTGTTAAATATTCAAAAAGAATGTGAACATTCCAGCCAAAGAGGCGAGTATGAACACAGGAAGAGCAAGAAATGGGGAAAAGAGAACTGGAAGCTAACGGAAACTGCAAATGATTAAACAGAGGATAGACAGTGACAGCAGCGTGGCAGTGACGAGGCTGGAGAAGCAAGCAGTGGCCTCACACAAGCTCTGGGGCAGAGGCGGCCTGTTAGCATGATCATTTCAAACCCAGGTTGATTGGTGAAGCCCAGCTTGAAGGAGGCTGGAGAGATAGGTGAGAAATGGCTCCTAAACGACATCCACACTAAATTTCTGGAGCTTGTCTGTGAATGTTAACTGTATTTGGAGAAGAGTCTGCAGATGTGGCTAACTCAAAGACCTCATAGAGAGGAGATCATCCTGGATTATGCCTGTGGACCCACAAATGTCAATGAAAGCATTCTTCTAAGATAGGGGCGATGGCAGCTTCAGTGGAGAACATGGTGTGAAGATGAAGCAGAGGGGGAATTGGCCACAAGCCAGGGAATGGCAAGATTCTTCAGCATCCGGAAGAGGCTAGGAAGGGATTCTCCCATTGATACTCGGGAGAGCATGCAGCTGTGCATGAGCCAGACCCTGCGACAACCTTCTCTTCTTCAAATCCACCCATTTGGCGTAAATACAACAAATCATCACATTTTTTGTTTAATTTTTATTTTACGTAGGTGGATGTTTTGCCTGCATGTATGTCTGTGTATACTACATGCATGCCTGCTGCTTCCTGCTTCTCTCCCTGGCTGCTTCCTTGTAGCTCTCTCCTTCACCGTGTTCCACCACCACAGCCTAAGCTAATCACTGAACAAGAGCCCTTCTCCAAGAGTCTTTGCCTTTGCTATCCCAAAGGCCTAACACTTCCCGGCCCCACCTCCATCCCCAGTGTCTTTGCCCATCTCCCCTTCCCATTTCAGCACTGCTTTCTTGAGGGAGCTATCCTGACCCCCTTGTTGTTAAGTTGCGTGTACCGTTTGCATCTGTGGAGCACAGGCCTTGCTGACTGTATGCAGAAGTTCGTGGACACCTCCATAACTCAGGCCAGTCACTTTCATAAGTTCCAGTGGGGAGAGACACAAAAAGTCCTAAAAAGAAAAAAAAAAGTTAGGAGAAATATTTTGACATACATGTGTAACAAAGATATAACAATTAAAAAGAAATATTCATCATGGGTTTTTTTAATGTAAAAGAAAAGCAAATGTAAAACAAAAAGAAACCTTTGGTTGTTACTGTTCATCTCTAGACAGAAGTGAAATTTACTGCAGATAGATGTTTGCCTCTTTTACATTCCAGCATTGAACGTCTTCACCCTTACTGTACTCCTTAACTCAGAGACGCAAGAATATTTACACTCTATTACAGTCTCCAACTGGCATGCCTCAGGAGATACACAAGGCAAAGTCACTAACAAGTTTATATGAGCAGTACACCTGAGTCCAAATGTATGGCTAGACAGGATCAGGTTTAAAAAGGTTTGAGGCCAGGTATTGGTGGCACATGCCTTTCCCCAGTACTTGGGAGGCAGAGGAAGGAGGATCTCTGAGTTTGAGTTCAGCCTGGTCAGCCAGAGATACACAGAGAAACCCCTGTCTCAAAAAAAAAGGAAGCAAAACAAGAAAGTGTTCGTTTTCTAGGCTGAAAGTTAACTCTGAGAAAAGTATTTGACAACTGAGAAAATAGGGCTGACTACAGAATAAACTAATTCATACTTTTAAAACCACTTAAAATATAAATATGATTCTTAAATATATTAACAGAAGAAACAATGATATCCTTAAAATAAGCAATCCCAAGAAAGTTATAATTTGTTGTGAAAATGTTTATTAAAGACAAAAATTTTTAAATAAAACTTTAGCCCTTATTTACCCTAAGAGAGGCTTTCTTTATTACTGATCTTAAAGATGTAACACTTGAAATAAATAGATAGATAGATAAATGAATGAATGAATGAATGAATGAATGAATGAATGAATGAATGAATGAATGAATAAAGCAGCTTCTGTTGCATACATTTATCAAACCAGTCCTAAAAAGATACTGCTGAGGGCTGGAGAGGTGGCTTAGAGGATAGGAGCACTGGCTACTCTTCCAAAGGTCCTGAGTTCAGTTCCCAGCAACCACATGTTGGCTCACAACCATCTATAATGAGATCCGGGGCCCTCTTCTGGCAAGCAGGCACACATGCAGGCTGAATACTATATAAATAATAAACAAATAAAATATTAAAAAAAAAAAAAAGATACTGCTGGGCTAGGGGTATAACTCAATTGCAGAGCACTTAAACCTGAGGTTAAATTCCTCACATTAGTAAGTCATAATAATAACCCTATTACTAATTTCTCTCCTAAGAGAAATCATCCATACCATAATTTTATTTAAGTCATATTTCTCAAGTAATCATAAAAAAATTAAGTGGATTAAACTGCTCAGGAACTTCAAATAAATGGAACAGGCATTCTTCCTTAGGCCATGACCATCCTCATCCTAAAATACAAAAACACTGGACTTCAGTAAATGAAATTCCAGCTGGAAATGCAACTAAGTCCCTGTGGAAAGCACCATCATTTAACTTATTTTTGCCTCTCCAAGTTTTTATTTTCACTTTCGTCGAGACATGTGGAGCCAAGATGTCAATATGGGATGTCTCCTTCAATCACTCTCTGAGGTCTGACCAATGAAATGGACTTGGAGGTCACAATTTGGCTAGACTGGCTACCTGAAAAGCCCCAAGGACCCTCCTGTCTCACTTCCCTGGAGCTGGGAGTTCAGATGTGCGCTGCCAGGCCTGGCTTGTTATGACAGTGCTGGGGATTGGAACTCAGGTCCTCATATTTGCAAGGCGGGGACTTTACTGGCTCTGCCATCTCCCCAGCCCCTGCAACCCTAAGCCTTTATAACCCAGGTTTAACAGTTACTAAGCTGCATGTAAAATTAATTTGAACATAAAACTTATCTAAAAACACATAAATTTTACCTGACAGTTAACAATCTGATATCTGCTCAAACGGTCGCATAGCTCTTGTGATAAACCCACTCGTCTTAGTTTCTTTTTGCTCATATTTCCAGATCTCCCAAAGAAGAATCTTGAAAAACATAAGAAAATAATGCAAATGATAGTAGACAGACTATATAAAACACCGTATACAGTAAAAAGCACTTCAAACTTCTCTATGTGCAAAACAAAACATACAAGAAATGCAAATAAAAAAACAAGAGAGATACTTGCTTATCAGCCATGGACACAAGAAAGAAGGCAACCTTAGAAAGCATATTCCATGAAATTCTTTGACATTACATGACTTTAACAGTACTTCACATTTACACAGTAGTCTAGTTTGCCTTTTGTTGCTGTGAGAAAACACTGACCAAAGCAAGTTGGGAAGAAAGGACCTATCTGGCTTACAGATTATATTCCATTGTCAGGAAGCCAAGGCAGGAACTGAAGGCAAGCGCTGAGACCACAGAGGATTGCTGCTTCCTGGCTTGCTTTCCCTGCTTGCTCACTAGGCATTCTGGCTCAGGAGCAGGACCACTCACAGTGAGCCACCAGTCAAGAAAACGTTCCCACAGACATGCCCACAGGCCCACCTGATGGAGACCATTTCTCAACTGAGGTTCCCTCTTCTTAGGAGTGTCAAATGTTGGGTTGACTACCAAGACTAGCCATAACTTATGACATCTTCAGTTACTGAGTATTATTTACAAACTTCATTTGGTTATGTAATCCTCAAGACTCATTTCCAAAGAGCCACCCTGCACTGATCTGCAACAAGAGTAAGTAGACATCTGTTACATGTCAACCATGCTCCAAAACTTTATATTTAATATCCTCAACAGACTACAATAAAAGTAGACTGTGTTTTTTACATATAGAAAAGTTAGACTTTACTATTCCACGTGCAAGCAGTGAAATTCTTTATTACACTAGCTGCTTACCATCCCATATGAAATTAAATTCTGCCCTTCTTGTGCCTTGCTATATGAGATTCATGAAATATTTGTCTTTGGGGAGTTAGAACTGTTGTACTTTCTGTAAGAATGCATGCAAAGAAGACACTGTGTCTCGTTGAAATGGCAAGATATCCTCCAGAAATAATAGCCTAGGAACTCATTTATTTTTAGGATAAATTAATAATAATCAGGTATTATATACCAAAGAACAAAACTATGTGTAAGAATTAAGATATCTACTACCAACACTATAGCCCAAGTCTATTTGACACTTATTATCTGAATTGCATTAAATCCCCTACTCTCTCTCTTCTGCTTTCAACTCTCCCCACAAAAACAAAATACATTCCCTTTATTCCTCTCAGTGGGAATTTGTTAGGGCTGATTTGTTTCCTTAAGAGAAATTTTACCAACATTTATCTGCTATTCTGTTACCTACTGCATTTCAGATAAGGTAATTCTGGGCAATAACATCATTGAACAAGTAAGGTCAAACCATCAAACAACAAAAGCAAAAAATACCTACACCCCAAAATTACAAAAGCCTTAACGAGAACTACTGTGGTTTAATAGTTCCATTCCTATCACATGCGGCGTTACGACTGCTTGTGGCTCTGAGTTATTTCCCTACTCTCCCAAATATAATAATATAATATAAAGATTGTCCATTTGTTTCTTTCACCAATATTTCTTAAGCACATACCATGCTGAGCTCATTTCTCCCCTTTTGCACACTTACAATTGAAAGATAAAGAGATATATACTCACATAACTACAGCTATACAAGTACTGTAATTGGTATGTAACTGTACTGCTGAAGCAGACAGGGAAGTCTCAAATTGGCCTGAAAAAAAAAAAATTAGGTTGAATGTCACAATCCTACTAGAAAAAATTTCCTTAAAAATCGGTTTTGTTGTTGAAAACGTTTCATGGACAATCAAACCACATGACAACTTCAAAACTTTTATGATCCCTTTTTTTTTTTAACTTGAAAAAGGGGTCCCTTACTTAGCTCTCACTCAAATACCAGATTGCAAGGCTCAATCAGAGTTGTCTTCCTGGAAAAGGTACTTCAGTTCCCAGAGCGCTGTTTTTCTCCTGAGTTAGACAAGGGTGATTCTAGAACTCGAGTGCTCATACTGCTCAAAGTAGGCAATAATCAAAGACAGGTGATTCTCTAACATGACCATCCACAACGTTAGGTTACGTTACTTAACACGTGCATCGCCAGTCACTTCCCCTCCAGCGCTACCTCCAAACTTTGCACTGACAGCATCCTTAATCTGATCTGTTATCATAGCTTAAGCCTTTCTTTCTTCCTGATGTGCGCGTGAGTGCTGCCCCGTGTGTGTGTCTGTCTGTCTGTCGTCTGTCTGTGTCTGCGCACGCGAGCTCAAGCACACGTGGCTCTTGGAGACCGAGATAGCAACTCAGACTGAGCTTATATTAGGCGCTCAATAAAAACACTGAAGCAACTAAAACAGTTGTTTTGCTGGGGTGGGGGTGGGGGGTGGAGTGTAACTTATTTATCGGGCCCTCATCATGCGCCAGGCCAGGTACTAATTATAAACGTTTCGGGTGTTTTCACTTCATTTCACACCCCGAGGCACTAAGCTGAGAAACGCACGAACTAGCCAAGCATAGGGCCCGCATTCGAATCCAAGGATCTGGCTCCAGATTCCACGCCCTTAACACAAGCGTCACAGTCCTTAAACTTGCCCGCTCCCCTAATCCACCCCGAAGCGACGGGAGAGGCATCAAGAGGTGGAAAACCTCACGCAGAACGCCCTAATACAAAGATGCTTGGAACGCACCTTCCAAGCATCACCCGCCTCCCCCAGAGGAAGTCGGAAGCCCCGGGACCCGGTCGGGGTTCCAGGGACGAGCCCAGCACCCAGGACTCTCCGCCACCCCGCTATCAACATCCACAGTCCCGGAGAGGGAGCACCAAGTGACGAGCACACCCTCTTCCCCACAACTGTGTCCCCTTAAGAAAACTCCAGTACCGGGCCAGCAGATCCAACTTTTCAAAGTTTCCCCCACCCGCACACAATTACGCGCGAAATGTGCGAGCGACAACAACTAGGACTCTGGTTGGTCGGTACTCTGGCAAGTTCTCCAATCAGAAGCAGGAAAGAGCGAGGGTTCGCCCCGCTGCCTTCTGGGAAATGTAGTTTATACGCTCGGTCTAGCGGCTAAACCAATGAAATTTCTCCTTTGCAGTGATTATTGAAATCAACGGGAGGGACCTTTCAAGGCAAGTGCCAAGTCAGGAAAACCCTGACTGGAAATTCTTTTCCTCGATGAGTCGCATTTTTAAGTTACTACCTGGGCCAGAGAAGCGTCTTTTTGGGGGTTGAGGGATCAGAGAAAGGGAGCGCAATCCGCCTATTCCAGTTTGGGGAAGAGAGCTTAGTGTTTTCGTTTGCTTTGCACTTTTCAACACACTTGGATGGTGAAAATATCTGGAAAATAATAACGGAAGCTTCTGAAACTAAAATACACTTTGACCAAAAAAACCACAGAGCGTAGTTGAAAAGGGAAATGAAAGAAATCGAGTAGGTTAAGTGTTAAAGCAGCTGCGTTTAAAAAAAAAAAAAAGAATCTAATAAACGTGAGAACCGTCTTGATCACTGAATTTGTGAAAAAGCCCTTGCTCACTCCTCTGCGACGGCCTCGGCCTTCTGATTTACATACGATTGTGTACTATAATACATACGATGTGTCCCAAGTAGACAGAACAGTGATGCGGGAAGATTGGGGACTCCTGTGGATAGCCCCAGCATCTAACACTGGCTAGCACTGAGCAGATGTTGACATCAAATACAAGAGGGGGAAAGGCCGTGGCGGGGAGGGGATCGTGGGACACAGCCATTCCTGGCCCCAGCTCCCCCAAAACGCAACTGGAGGCGCTGCGAGGAGGATCAGTCAAGACCAGGGTGTGTCCTCAGCCCCGCAGCCAGCTGATTTAACTCTTCCCGAGCCTCACCCGAGCGATCAGGTGGCATCACGTGACTCAAACAAATATGGCTCTTAATTTGCATCTTCTTTTCCTTCTGAACCAATAGGCGCGGCGCTCCCGTTCGCCGTCGCAGTCCCCTCCACCACTCTGCGCTGTGGGATCTGTCACCTGACTGGCATCAAGCATGGCCGCCCTGGAAGCTAAGATGCATTTGACTCCAGGGGCAGGTGAGTGTGAGGCGCTTGGAAGGCGGCGAGGGTGCAGCCCGCGACCCCGCTAGGGGGAGCATCCCCGTGCCCCAGCCTCCCGGCTCTCCGAGCCAGCCCCAGATTGATCTCCTGATCTCTAGCCGTCCGCCTTAACGGAAGGCTGTAACCGAGGGAGTTCTCATCCCTACCGAGGCGTCCGCCCACCTAGACATTTGTCTGACTGACAGAATGTTCAGGAGGGAATGCGGAAGTAAATGGATGTGTCTGCGCCCCAACCTAACACAAATATTAAGTTTATTATGTGTGGGGTCTGCGTTAGGTGATGGGATCCACCCCTTAGAGAAACAGACGGTTCTCAAAAAGAGATCCTAACAGGTCAAATTAAACCCAAAACAGTAATTTAAAAAGTTAAGTTCTGCCTTTTCCTTTTCAGGCCAGTAGCAGGTGGTTTATCTAAACAGTTTCGTTTCTTCTCAGCTGGTGTGTTGCTTGTAGGGGGTACTGCACGGACGAGAACCTTGAGAATACATTTCGCCTAACGCCTCCCTTTCTAACTCCCTGCACTCGGTGCTGGGAAAATGAGTTACCCATTTGGAAAAGAGGAAACCGCTACCGAGGAACAGCTTTTTGAATTTTTCTGCGAGTGCCTGCGGCGGGGAAACTGGGAGCTGGCACAGGCATGTGTACCTCAGCTACGCCAGGGACAAGGGGAGATTCCCAAAAAGGTGGAAGATATACTCCAGGCGCTGGTGCAGTGTCCCACTCTGCTAAGGTAAGCCATCTCCCTTTTCTACCAGGGTCTCAGAGAGGAAGACGTGGCTCAGTATTCGGACTCTGGTCTTTATGCTATCAACTACTTTCTTAGAAAGTTAGGGGAAGCCAAGTGCATCTCAATGTTCTGAATGTTTTATCTGTGTAATATATTTTGCATTTCATACACTTCACTGGCCTTGGAGTACTCTCTGGAGCTGAGTTTAAGCTTGGCTACCAAAAGGGTCTGAAATCATTCCTTTTTTATTATCGACAGAAGATGGTGTAACTGCATTTTTTTTCTTCTCCAAAAGGCGAAACCTTTTCACTCCTCTTGCTTATAAGACTGATGATGTTGTTGCTTTAACAGAAGATTGGAGTGCATTAACTTAAAGCTTTCCATTTTGAAATAATCGTAGACCCACAAGAAGTTGGAAAATGTAGTTCAGTGTAAACCCTTTTCCAGGTTCCCCCGTGGTGACATCACATTCAGCTGCAGTAAAACATTAAAACCAGAAAATTGACTTTAATATATTACTATTAGCTACAGTAACACTCTTACTTGATTTCCACCATTTTTAAATCTGTGTTTGCTTTTTACTTGTAATTCTGTGCAGTTTTATCCATGTAGATACAGAAGCTCCACCTCGCTACACGTGACCTCTCTCATTCCTTGCTACTATGCTCCATATTTACACTATGACCCCTTCCTGCCTCTTGATATGCACTGTTCTCCATCCTAGATCTTCAATTAAGTTCTTAGCGGTGCTATTAACTAGTATCATTAGCACATGAACACCAGAAAAAGAAACGACCCTTCTGTCATTTTCCCCCTTACAATGGGGTTCTAGGCTTGTTATTGCCCAACCTACTGACATCAAAATAAAGCTGAAGCATTCCTGTAACTATGTAGTTAAAAAGTAATGTCTAGGAACTCCCTTAATTCTTTTCTATTTGATTAATTTTCTGTGTTCCAGAGTACACTTAGGAGCTGGGTATGATAGTTTAACCCATGTATCTTAACTGAGGCAGCAGTAACGCCATGAGTTCAGGGTCAGCCTGGACTACAGTGGGAGACCCTGTCTGAAAATAGTGAGTGGTGTATGCGTCCGTGAGTGTGTGTCATTACTGTGACTTTGTCTGTGGGAGTATACTGTCTGCATTGTCTGTAGCTCCAGATACTCTAGAGGCTGAGGCCAAGGAGGAACACCTGAGCCTGGGAGTTCCAAACCAGCCAGCATAACATTCCAGCTGGGAAGATAAAATACAGTTAGATCAGGCGGTGTTGGCATTAATGGAAGCTGGAAGTTATATGGTTCTGTTTTGTTGAACTGTTACTTGCAATTGAGAAATTCTCCCTAGGACTTGCCTGTTCAGATTTAAAATGAACTGACTGAAAACTGAAATAGAAATCTTGAATTACAAAAGAGAAAGGGTCCGTTGAAACTCCTTTTACTAAATCTTTTTTTTTCCTCTCTCTCTCTCTCTCCATTTTAGATGTGGGCCAGACATCAACCCTCAAAGACTAGCCTGGCTCTGGCTTCTCATACTGGAAAAATGGCTGACCCAAGAAAAGGTCTGGGGTTTACATTTAAATTTTTCCCTGGGACCAGGGCCGAAAAGAACTTGGAAGGAATTAGGAGATTTTCCTTCTGTCTACTACTTCCTTTATTTCCTGGTTGGCTGTTGTCTTTCTCAGTGTTGATGTGCTTAGTAATTTGCCATGGTACCTTGGCATATAATAGCATTAGGAATGATGCTATTTTCCTAACTATCTCCAGAAGTCTTGCTCTTGAACAGAACTTCGTGCTCAGTGACTATGCCAAGATGGGTAGGACATGGTTGTACAAGCCTGTAATCCCAGCTAGGCAAGAAAAATCGTTTGGCCTGGCAACATAATGAGACTCTGTCTCAAAAAAATTGTGTGTATGTTTAAAATGTATATTTTAATATGTACATATTTATATTTATATATATATATATACACACATTTAAACAAAGAACATTTGACTCAAGAGAAATGACTCCAGGAAAGCCAGAGATGAAACCAAGATCTCATCTGCCCTTACCCCTGTCCATTTTCCACTTCAGCATTATTTTTACCCTATATGGACTTCAGAATTCAATTTTTTCTGGGCGATGGTGGCACAGAACTCGGGAAGCAGAGACAGGAGGATCTCTATGAGTTCGAGGACAGCCAAAGCTACACAGAGAAATCTTGTCTCAGAAAAAAAGAAAAGAAATTCAATTTTTAAATGTCCATTATTGCTAATTTTTCTTGTATTTGTTGCTTTCACGCATCAAAACTAATTTTATGTTTAGTTCCATTTCTGTACATTTATCCATCCTGTAACTGTCCAAAAGTACCAGAAACTCCTGATCAAAATGTAACTTTTTATTGTTGTTGTTGTTGTTATTGTTGTTTTTAAGACAAAAAAGGGTTTCTCTTTGTAGCCCTGGCTATCCTGGAACTCGATTTGTAGACCTTGCTGGCCTTGAACTCAGAGATCCACCTGCCTTTACCTCCCAAGTGCAGGATTAAAGGCCACCACTGCCTATCCTAAATGTATCTTTTAGACAGACTTTTAGTAGGTTTTCTAGCAAAGAAAAATTACAGAAAGACTAGCACAAAGAACAAGTAAGAGAAGCAAAATTATAAAATAATGAAACCTGAAATAAATAAAAGTCAGAACTAAACAGGAAAAAGACAACAAAAAAATGAGGTAAAGTAGAAAGGAAGATTCCTTTACCGTTTTCAAAGGGAGGAAGTGAGGCTTTGTTACTGAATAAAGGTCTTCCTATTACAAACATGAAATCTGTTGAGCTAACTGACCTTTCCCCTTGGGGGAAGAGGTCTGCTTGCTTACTTGGAGCCTCACTGATTGCCTGTTTTCTGGAAGGTTGCTCAACACGATCAGGTGTTGATTTCACTTGCCTGGCTCCTTATCCTACCCGGCGCATTGTTCTTGTTTTGGCCAATACCAAAAAGATTATGTAGCTCGTAAACCTCCAGGGATCCACTTGGTTAAACAATTATAGGAGGGAGTAATTTTTGTTGTTTGGAGAATTATAAACTGTTTGATTAGGACCAAATCTTTAGGTGCATCCTGGAGTACCACAGAACCTGTTGTGGTTTCACGCTCTAGAAACACAGAGCCACTTACTGTCTCAGGATCCCACTGCCTGCCAAGAGCTGCTTTTTTTAAGTATTAGCTGAAGTGGTGGTGTCTTCTATCTCTTTCTCATGCAGTGGTTTGGGCCTGCATGTGTGTAAAGGTGTAGCTATAGTGATGTTCACTGATCTTCTAAAGCTGCTTCTAAAAGCGGGAAAACTAGAAATAACCCTCATGTCCTTAGTACACGGGAATGGTTAATAAACAGAAGCATATCTGTGTGTAATACACTATGCCACTGTTCAAAATTATGTGGAAAGTGGATTTTCAATGTCATTAGTAATACTTCTTTTTGTTGGGGATTTTATGTATAAAATAATAGTTATGTATTTTAATTTTTCTACAACAAAAATGTTTTTCTGGTTTTTTAACTTTCATGTGGGAATGACTAGAAAAATACTCCTTAACCATTTTACTTCCAATAAAGATTATTTTTTTAAAACATAACTACATGCCACAGGTTTCTTTGATTTGGAAATGAAATATGCCACCCTGTGCTAAACTCTGGGCTCAGAGACTTTGTCATCCTCTTCTGGCCTCTGTAGGCACCAGGCTTGCACATGGCGCCCAGACATATGTAAATCACCCATATACATACAAGTAAATCTTTTTAAAAATGTATCCAGGGATTAATGGTTAAAAAGTACTTTATCATACAAAAATAGAAGAAATAAGAACAACTACAGAGAAGCGGGTGCAGTGGTGTGCACCTGTAACCCCAGCACTCAGAGAGGTAGAGACAGGTGGATCTCTGTGTGTTCGAGGCCAGCCTGGTCTACAAAGTGAGTCCAGGATGGCCATGGGTACACAGAGAAACCCTGTCTTGAAACCCCCCCCCAAAAAAAAAACCAAACAGAATAACTAAAGAGAAATTATATTTAATAAGGGAAGCATATGCCTAACTGCTATAATTGCTTATTATTCCTCTAGAAATTACTTTCTGCTGTTTCCCGGAGGAAACTTGAGTTTCTTTTTTTATCAGAAGACCTCCAAGGTGACATTCCAGAGAACATCCTCAAGGTAAGAGAGACTGAGGGCTACCTGCAGTTACTGAACAAGTCTAACTTTCAAAGCTGTGGGGGGGACAGCTCTCTAAGATACCTGTTCTCTGTTTTCAGAGAAAGCAATAGACAGGCCCCTCCAAGAGGAGTTTAGACTGAGTATCAACTTACCTGATCTTGACATTCTGGAAGCAGATTGCCCAGCGGTACTAACTGTAGCAGGCAACCAACTGTTCTTTGCATTTCACCTAAAAGAAACTCATTACTTGGGTTTAATTTAAGATTTTTGAATTGTTGACCAGTAGATAGAGAATTCAAGGGAAGAAAGGAACTAATATTTGATGGACTTGTCTTCCATAACAGACACACTGATATTTCATAGTGGATCATTACAACCCTCCAGGGGTGGATTCCAACTACGTTTCTCTATGTCTAGGTCGGCACGATTGTTTATGCCAATAATCAAGAATTGAGGCCAGCCTGAGCTACATAGTGAAAATCTGTCTCTATCAGCAAAAAAAAAAAGTTAGCAATTGATAGATAGGTGCTATAGATAGATATCTGTAGATAGATGGATCTAGATAACTATATTTACATCTAAATGTATATTATATACACATGTCACTTGCTACATCAGTGTTTAAGATTCAATACCTCACTTTAATTTGTTAGCCTCAAACCCCGGGTCCTGCACATTTTAGACATTCAGTCGGTCCCTGGTATGCGCCAGCTTTTTTTTTTTTTTTTTTTTCTTAGACCCTATTCCCAGCCAAGACATATTTATGGCAGGGCTTATGTGAGATCTGGCTCATATTAATTCAAGGGCTCATGGATTTGCAATTAATAAGGCGCCATCCCTGGGAAACGGTGTACTTCCCTGTGCCCCTTTCTCCTTCAGACTAGAGAATCATACTTTCAACAGTCTAGTTGAGGAGACAGAGCTAATATACATGAGACTTATTTGTTTTTTTTTTTTTTATTTATTTACATGTACAAGTGTATCTATCTGTATGTAGATTAGGGCATCCCATAGAGATGGAGTTACGAGCATTTGTAAGCTGCCTGATGAGGGTGGTGGGATTTGAACTCCGTTCCTCTGCAAGAACAGTACATCTTGTTAACCAGTGGGCCATCTCTCCAGCCCCAAGACTTGTTTTTAAATAAACCATATGGTACTCATTTAATTGTGTCAAAGCTGTGTGGCTTTGAATCGTTAAGCAAGTGCCTCTGATGTCTGTCGCTATAACTGAACACCACAGGCGGGGTAATTTGCAGAACATAGAGATTTGTTTAGTTCATGGTTTGAACACTAGGAAGAATAACATGGCACTGGTGTGTCTGCTCAGCATCGGGAAGAGCCTTCTTGCTGTACCGTAACATGGCAGAGGGCGTCAAAAGAGAAGGGGGTACAGGTGTGCTAACTTGGTCTCTCTCCTTATAAAACTGCTAATAGCGTGGGAATTGCCCTTATGGTTAGGTTCTGTCTAATCTTAACTCTCCCCCAAAGGCTCAGTCTCCAAATATTAACACATTGAAATTGGGAATTAGGTACCCAACACATGAACTACTTTGCTGTTGTTGTTTTGTTTTTTGAGACAGTGTCTCGTCTTAGAGTTCAGGCTGTCCTGTCTCAGCCTCCTAAGTGCTGGGATTCCAGGTATATCCAACATACCTGGCTACTGACACTTGAACTTTTAAGAGACACGTTCAAACCATAGCAGAATGGTTTTAGGAAAAGATGGAGTATACCTTAAAATACGGACAGAATTCATACCAGTTGCTAAGAGCGGATATGTAATACTCTTTCAGAAAATGAATTGAATTGCTTTTAGGTGTGCATAGAACCCTACCTATCTGGTCTATAAATATATAATCCCTCATTTAGGTCAGCACACACTCTGGGGCAAATGGGTAGGACTTGGGGATTGGACTAATCACCCTAACCTCAGTCTCATCAATAAGATGCGAATAACTAGAGTATCTTCCTCTGGATATTACCCTAGTGGTTGAGCTGGTTCTTCTGTGAGGAGTCTTAAGCAGTGGCTCCCTACAGAACAGCCTACCGAAATACTTGCTACTGCTACTGAGCCATCAAGGGACACAAGCCATAAGCATCCGGATGGCCACCACAATCCCTATCTTCATTCTCCATCTAGGAGTTGTTTGAAACCTTAGCACAAGGCCCAGTGGGCAGTATACCTAACAGAGGTCAGAGACTGGAGAGCGGGACTCCTCAGCTCAGCCTCGAAGCCGTCTCCGTGCTCTGGAATCTTCTGACGAGAGCCCCCGGGCCAGCCCAGGCCCTGTTGGAACTCCTGCTTGAGGAGCACCAGGGGGCCAGCCTCTGTCACAGTCCTCTGCAGAAATCACTGCTGGACCTCATTCGAAAAGCATCACAGAACCTGCGGGATCCCGCCTCCCAGCAGTCTGGGGTGGCCACTGCTATCTGTGGAGCCCTTCAGGCTCTGTGTTGCACTGTTGAGCCACCAGAGAGTGAGTGGCGTGTCCTGTGTGAGGAACTGTTGGAGACCTGTAGGACTGAGGGCAGTCCCCTGCAGGAAGAACGGCTGCTTGGTTGCCTGTTGCACAAGGCTGGACGGAGCCTACTGTCCCTCTACGGCCACATCTATGCAGAGAAGGTGACAGAAAAGACACCAAAGGCCACACTTTCAGGAAAAGGTATGTTTCTTTCACTGTTTCTCTTTCTACTTTGGTAATTCCGATGTGCCCAGCCCCTCTGAAGTTCTGAACTAATGTTGTACTTGCTTGTTATCCAAGACAAGAGAGGCTAAACAAAATTTCATAGCATGTTTTGTTGTTTTTTGTTTGTTTGTTTGTTTAAATCAGAGCTTAAAAAATAACAGCATGCCAGGTGGTGATGGCACATGCCTTTAATCCCAGCACTCAGGAGGCAGAGGCAGGCATATCTCTGTGAGTTAGAGGCCAGCCTGGTCTAAGGAGCTAGTTCCAAGACAGCTTTTTGGTCTCCAAAACTGAATGAATGAATGAATGAATGAATGAATGAATGAATGAATGAATGAATGAATGGGTGAATGAATAAAATACCAGGAACAGACAAGAACTGTCTGATGCTACTAAGAAATGAAGAGGAATGAAGCATCTTAAAAAAACAACCAAGTTTGACTTTATACAAGAGTCTGTGTTGGACCAGAAAGATAGCGCAATGGGTTAATGTGCTTATCACACTAGCCCAATGATCTGAGTTTGATCCCCAAAATCCATAGAAGTGGAAGGAAAGAATAGACTCCAGAGCATTGTCCTCTGACCTCCATAATAATGCACGTGTACACAAACACACCATCATCATTAATAATAATAATAATAATAATAATAATAATAATAATGTTAACAGGTTTTTAGGTTTTGGTTTTGGAATTTTTGGTTTTAGTTTGTTTGGTTTTTATGTTTTTGAGACAGGGTTTTTTTGTGTGGCCCTGGCTGTCTTGGACTCACTCTGTAGCTTGAGACTGGCCTTGAGCTCACAGAGATCCTCCTGCTTCTGCCTCCTGAGTGCTGGGATTAAAGGCCTGCACCGCTGCTGCCACCACCACCCCCAGCGGATAAATTTTAAGTAAATACGTACAAGCGCCTAGTCTCACATTGGTTGGTTGTCAGTGTGGACGATAGCATAAGGAAGGGGAGCTTGTCCTTTCCTAGTAACCCTTCCACTGTGATGTTCAGTGTCCCCAGATCATCCTGATCCTGAGAGGGCAATGCTGGCCCTGTTCTCCACACCTGACCCAGCCCGCGCTTGGAAGATGGCTTTTTTCTACTGCCTGAGTAACAGCAAACACTTCCTGGAGCAGATCCTGGTAAGTCAAGCGTAATTACTGTTGATGGCAGAGGAACCCAACTCCCTCCCTGGGCTCTTTTGGTTTTGTTTCTCTCCCACTCATGTATCCAACTCCTGCAGTCTAATTGGTGACAAATCATCTGGTTGTCATCCTGGAGTCCCGAGGGAGAGAGGCTTCTGAGAATGAGTTCCATCCATAACTGATGCTGCAGTCACTTTGCTTTTTGCTGGACCTTTGGTAGGAAGCAAGATGTTGGCTGTGTGTCAGCTTTCTGGAGGATGAGGAAAGCAGAGGCCACAGCAGCAGTATGAGGTCTAGCTGGCAGGAAAAATTAATTGCTCTAACTCTGGCCTTCCAAATTGTAACTGAACTTCATTTACTTCAACAGGTATTTACCAACCCCATCTTAATAAGCCATGTGCTGCACAAAGAGATGGGGTTACAATGAAAGTCTGACCCTCGCTTCAAAACACTTAGAATGTTGTGCTTCTGGCACGCCTATTCTTATGTAACCAACCACTTATGTCATTGTCAGAGTTCTATCCTGATGAAGCGGGAAGTTGTGCTTTTGAGCTCAGGTATCCACCTAGGGTAACTTTTGGCTTCCAGGTAACAGCACTAACCCTGTTGAAAGAGGAAGACTTCCCCAACCTTGGATACCTGCTTGATCGAGAGTTCAGGCCTCTCAGCCACCTGCTCATACTCCTGGGCTGGACACACTGCCAGAGCCTTGAATCAGCTAGAAGACTACTCCAAACCCTCTACAGGACCCAGGTAACTGATTCAGCACCTCAGGGTGCTCCAGAAGCGAATGCCATGGGGCTTGCGGCCTAGACAGAGTTCAGAGTCTCATCGTCAGCCGTGGTGCCTGATGCTAGGTTCCTGAGTCAGCATGTTTCTTCTGCATGATCATAGGACAGAGGCCATGATGAGCTTCTCAGGGACGCCTGTGAAGGACTGTGGGCTCACCTGGAAATCTTGGAGTGGTGTGTGCAGCAAAGCAGGTATGCCCCTGTCAACTCATTCCCTTTCCTGCCCCACCTGGGGCACACTTCACCTCATGCTCCATTTCAGAAAAAAACACCTGGATAATGTTGGCCAGACACAAATAATCGTTCCACCTGTTAAATCAGGGGTTGGGGGAAACGTAAGTCATGATTAACTTCCGTCTGTGACCATCACGTCACAGACAGAGGATAACTCAGATGCTGAAAGAACAGCAGCTCACAATCCCTAGGCGTGTCCTATAGGCCATGCATTCTTCTGGACCCCTTAGAAGATGGTCACTCTTCACTGCATTCCAGTGAAGTAGACACTGACATGATTCTCACTTTAAACCTGGGACGCTTAGGGTCTCGCTTTTAATCTTTCCACCTGGGAGGCTGAGACAGACAGATCTCTGTGAATTCACAGCCAGCCCACTCCACATAACCAGTACCAGGACAGCCAAGGTTACATGGTGAGACCCTGCCTCAAAAACCACAACCCAAAGAAACAAAGGTGAGACACTGAAGCCCAGAGCTGTTAAATAATTTGCACAGGGCTGCTGAGTAAGTAACCCTGTGTCATATATTGTCTGGGTCATAGTTCACTCAACCTGTGTTCATTGGAAATATGAACACATATTCATATGAAATCCTGCATTTCCCTATTAACTTAGCCTAGATTTGAGTCTCCACTTGGTTCTTTGTTCATCTCACCAGTGCTTCAGAAAGTAAAGTAGTCAGAGGGGTGAGTAGGAAGGGGTTCTCACTCAAAGTAAAGCCAAAGAAACTTACTTCAAAGCTACAGAGAGAGTAAAACTTAGGAACTTCAATTGTCAGACCCTTTCTTAGACTCCACTGACCAGAAAGGCTCTTAGATCTTTTCTAAATTGATGGATACAATTCCTTTAAGGTGAATAAAAACCTTTATAAAAACCTAGTAAGGTTATCTTATTCTAGACCTAGTAAAATATGGCTTGAGAAAGTGAAACCTGAAGTATTATAGGTCAGAGAAGAACAGCCTTGTCTCTGCAGGGCAATAATATAAACTGTCTCCCTGTCCATTCTCCACTTTCCCTTTCAGCAGCCTCATACCAAAGAGAGAGCTCTTATGTCACTTACATGGTGGAGACAGCCACTCCGTGCTCTACTCCCTCCATCACCTTACAAACCTTCCAGCCCTCAGGGAGGAAGAAGTTCTCAAGCTCTTACAGAAGGTGCCAACCAAGGACCTCCAGCAAGAGCATGATGGTGAGTTGGCTGTGGCACAGTCAGCCCGTCTTCCCCCTGGAGAATCTCTCCCGTGTGAGAGTAATCTAGACATGACTAGCAGGATAAGAAGCTGGTCCAGCATGTAGCCTCTGTGTTGGTGTTAGGCGCAGCTGTTATAGGATGTAGTGGCATTCCTTCCCTCTGCCGGTAAGGCGTAGGAAGTCCCATGGACATGCTCCCATCTTCATTCTGTGGGATCGTGTGGGACCCATTAGTCTACTCTAATGTCAGCGATGCCATGCTGGGCGATCTCCTCTGCATCATCAGCTCTGTGGAAATTCTTGGCAAGTGGTTTAATTAAAGCTTCATAAACTTCCTCACAGCACATTTTGTGCCCCCCCCCCCGCTTCCTTCAAACTCTGTTGAACAGAACAAGAAGTTTGGAGGAAAGACTTGCCAGAAACAATAAAAACGCCTCATTTTAACCTTCGGGTGTTGCTTAAAATTCAAGATCCTGTTAGTGGACTCTTTCTCGTTGCTGTCTAACATCACTGCCATAGTGGGGTCACACTCTGTCCCACAGGTCTGAGAACTTTCTCAGGTGAGAGTAGATGTTTCCAGCAGGGAGAGGTTGCCTTGGTTAACTTTTCAAAAGGACCTACCACAAACCAGTATTTGGCAAATTTCCTAAAAGAACTAGAATTCTGATTCACACCTATAAGTCCAAAAGGCTTCCAAGAATGCATTTGAGATTTGGCCACTGAACCCATTGAGATGTACTTGGAGCTTGGGACTTAAACTTCAAAAGGGGCAGTTAATAGGTCCATGACTGAGATACAAAATTATGTGGTATGAAATAGAGCCCAGGCAACGGAGGCTGTGCATCATATAGAAGAAAGGCTGATAGAAAAAAGAAAACAAAGCTGGTATGGATTAGGGGAAAGGCCTCAGGTCAGACATGTAGGCAGGTAAAAACCACAGGTCAACCCTCTTTGCTTCAGCCATGCTTGCTGCTCATCCCTGAGAAGGTTACCTTTAAAGTTTTGTCTGTTTCTATGTTTCAGATACCCATGATGCCTCAGTTCCTGAGCACCTGAGCTCGTGTCAGAGCCTGACCCTCTACCAGGGCTTCTGTGCCATGAAGTACGCTGTCTATGCCCTCTGTGTGAACTCACATCGGCACTCTCAGTGCCAGGACTGCAGGGACGGCTCCTCTGAGGACCTGGCCTTGGTAGAGCCAGGCAATGACTCTCTCCCCTCCCCAGGTACAGAGCTTTCCTGCCCCGGCATGTTCAGACACCTTCCCCGTTGACTGCTTTGTGTGGTTACTGTTCCCTTCCATGATGGAGTGCCCTTGATTTGAAAGTGCTGGGGAATAATGTCACCCATTTGTCAGCATCAATGGGACATGCCTACATCTTCATGGATCTTAATCTGATCATCTAGCATAGTATTTGCCAAACGTTTTTGTGTTTGTAACTAGACTCCATAGGGAAAATGCATTTCAGGGCTTGAGCGAGCACTAGCCGCAGCTGGGAGGTAGTGGCGCACACCTTTAATCCCAGCGCTCAGGAGGAAGAGGTGGGCAGATTGCTGAATTCCAGGCCAGCCTGGTCTACAGAGTGAGTTCCAGGACAGCCAGGGCTACACAGAGAGACCTCGTCCCAAAACAAACAAACAAAAAAAGAGCACTGGCTGCTCTTCTAGAGGTCCTGAGTTCAATTTCCACATTTCAGTTTATAATCCTCTGTAAGTATAGTCCCATGAGATCCAGTGTCCTCCTCTGATGTACAGTACATGCAGACAAAACACCCATATACTTACAGAAATACAGAAATAAATAGATCTTTAAAATTTTGACAGAATAACGTTTTATATCAACTCAGGTTTAAACTTAGGTATACAGTTTATATCTATGTATGTGTACATTTATTTTTTAAGATTTACTTATTTAGGGGAGGAGGGAGGGGCTCATGGGGGATACAAAATGAATAAAGTGTAATTAATAAAATATTTAAAGAAAAAATGAAAGAAATAAAAATCCTTATAGTGTCAATTAAAAAAAAAGATTTACTTATTTAATCTATATGAGTAGTCTCTCCACATGTACAGAAAAGGGCACTAGATGATATTATACATGGTTGTGAGCCACCATGTGGTTGCTGGGAATTGAACTCAGGACCTCTGGAAGAGCAGCCAGTGCTCTTAAACCACTGAGCCATTTCTCCAGCCCATATGTGTACATTTATGTATGTGATATATAAATTGAAGCCTAGTTTTAAGAAACAGTACTCCAAAAGGAACATACTTATGTTTTGTTTTGTTTTCCTTTTCCCTTCCTTCTTCCTTCCTTCCTTCCTTCCTTCCTTCCTTCCTTCCTTCCTTCCTTCCTTCCTTCCTTTTTTAAGTCATACTGTATAGTCCAAATGGAAATTTATGAAGCCCAGTCTGGCCTCCCAAACTCTGGGATTACAGGCATGAGCTACCATGCTTACCTCTGCATCTTCCTCCTCCTCTTTCTCCGCGTTGTTCTCTTCTTTAAAAAAAAAAAAAAAAAAAAAAAAAAATTTTAGGTATTTTTTTTTAAATATGTGCATATGTTTTGCCTGCATGTACGTCTGTACACCATGCGCATGCCTAGTGCCCCCAGAGGCCAGAAAACAATATCAGCTCTCCTCAGAGCTGGAGTTACAGAGAGTGTGAGCCATCATGTGGTGTGGGGTCAAACCCAGGTCCTCTGGGAAAGCAGCCGGTGCTCTTAATCACTGAGCCATCTCTCCACTCCCCCCCCTCCTTTTTTTTTTTAATGTCAGCTTTATTCTGAAGCTCAGGCTGTCCTTGAACTTGTGGCAGTCCTCCTGCCTCAGCATCCTGAATGCCAGGATCGGAATTGTGCCACCGCACCCTTGTGAAACATGGAATGGTTAAGAGAGGAGGCGACCTGAGATTATCTTTAGCATAACAGGAGGTTAAGGTAGGATATAGGGATAAGGAGTCCTTATTACTTTAATTCGTAGAACTGAAATAGGAAGTATTGGTCAGAGATAGGGAGTGATGTCACAGTTTAAGAGCAGAAGCGTGTGGAGTGTTCATTGGGCTGTGCTTTTTAGTATCTCACTCTCTCATCTCTTCCTCTGTCCTCTTCTCTCATCCATCCTCCCTAGGTGCTTCACATCTCTTCCCAACATACCTGGCCAGGTGCCAACAGTATTTACGCAGTATCCCCGACTCTCTGTGCCTGGAAATTCTGGAAAACATCTTCTCGTTGCTCCTCATTACCTCTGCCGATCTTCACCCAGAGCCTCACCTGCCCGAGGACTATGCTGAGGACGATGACACTGAAGGGAAAGGCCCCTCGGGTTTGAGGTCTCCATCAGAGAGCCCTCAGCACATAGCCCCACCTGAGAGGAGGTCAGAGCGGGGCTCCCTGGGACCCAGGAGCCTTGCTCATGCAATGCCAAGTTGTCCAAAGGCAGAGCCGAAAGACAGTTCGCCAGGGCCTCCCAAGCACAGCTTTTTGGACCTAAAGCACTTTACTAGTGGCATGAGTGGATTCCTGGCCGATGAGGTTGCAATAGGAGCATTCCTCAGCCTTATTCAGGAGCAGCTGGATAAGATCAGCAGCCACAGCACTCCTGAGGAGACAAAGCTGCCAGAAGGCCACGGCTGTTTGGCAGGCAGAGATGGACTGCAGAATCGCCTGCACCGGTTCTCAAAGGTTCTCTCCGAGGCCCAGTGGCGATACAAGGTGGTAACAAGCAACCAGGGCTCAGGTGAGAGGAGGGGACAGAAGGAGAAGAAGATCTAGAACGTGGGAAAGAAAAACAAGAAAAACAAGAAAAAAAGTCCCAGCAACGGTGGGCAATGGGGCAGGCATGTGGGAGTCATGCCCTAATCCAGGGCATGTGACAGTAGCAGCCTTGGGTAGTGCTCCACACCTCAGAGCTTAATGAGGGTCATCCCACCTGTTTCCACAAGGGGTCAGGTCAAAGCTGGTCACTGTGCATGTGTTTGCTGTTTCAGAAGAACAACCCTCCCGAAGATACCGGCCCACTGCCACAAGGCACGCTAGTCTGCACAGAGGTCGACGGACTAGAAGGAGCAGGGCAGGTGATCTAGAGAGCTCTCTCTTCCCAAGCCTTGTTCCCATTCACCTGACCAGGAGGCACGCTGCTGCTTGTCTAATGTTCTTTTAGGCTGAGCACATGGTCAACGAAACAAAAGTGTCCTCCTGCTTCCACCCCTTCCCCTTGGCAGTTTCTTACACAGCCATCCAGAATTTTCCGTGCAACATAATGCACATATTTTTTCACATATGCACAATACCACAGACACACACACACACACACACACACACTGTCAACACTCTGGGTAGACTGAAGGATGCCATGAGAGAAACCTGGGAAACTGCGCAGCGGGTCTGCTACAGCTCTATAGCTTATCAGTTGACATTGGGACACAGGCAGAGTTCCCATCTGCCTGAGTCATCTAAGCCAAGAACATGCATTCCATTTCATTTTCTCCACTGCTGCCTCTTCCTTCCACAGGGCTACCTCACCCATGGGCGGAGAGGACCCACTTGCTGGGTGACACAGCCTCCATAAGGCCACGCTAAGGGGCAGACAGCCTCCCCTGGCAAGTCTCGGCACTTAGGGAGGCTGGTGCTCCTCCTCCCAGGCTTTGAACAGGGCGGCCTTTGGCAGGCCCAGGGATTCCGGCTTACTTCCTACCTTTTCGTGTCCGAAGACACATACTTTAGTCAGAAAACATGACTCCTCCTTGCGCCCTTTGTTTCCTCATCTCATGATAGTTGTGCTTTTATTTTACCTATCTATTGCTAGTATTTAGCCATCAGATGTTGGTCACAAGCTCCTAGGACTCTTAAGACCCCACATGATAGAAGCCACTGGGATAGACTGCTACCTAGAGAGCTCCAGAACCACACCGTACCTGCCCTCCATCATTGCTCTAGTCATCCCTTATTCTCAGCTTACCCAGCTCTTGTAGTCTGACTTTGCACTTTGTACACTCTATGGAGTTGCTGGCTCAGTTTTCCTTGTTTTACCTCTAGAAGGCCGGGAAAGAGGCTCCAACCCATCCTTGGAAAGTACAAGTAGTGAGCTGAGCACAAGTACTTCAGGTGAGTGGGTCCCGACCAGCTGCTAACTCTAGGCAGCTTGCCTTATACAGACTTGCCATGTTCTGGGGTATAAACACCAGAGCTGAACCTCTGTTCTAGATTTATTCTGCAGATAACAGCAGATGTCAGCTGGGGAAAGGGAAAAAGCTTTCTCTCTTAGTTAAGTTACCCAGCAGCAAGGAGGAGAAGGTGGCTAGTCCAGAAAGGTAGCTGGTACTTGTATTCTAAGATGGTAGTAAATGGTTTCCCTTCATTTAAACAAAAACCTAGCTGGCCAGTGGTGGCACAGGTTTTTGATCCCAGTGCTTGGGAGGCAGAGACAGATGGATCTCTTTAGTTCAAGGCCAGCCTGGTCTACAGAATGAGTTCTAGGGCAGCCAGAGCTACACAGAGAAACCCTGCCTGGAAAACCAACAACTACAAAAAAGAATTAATGTTTCTTTTAGAGGGATAGAGGATCTTTTAGAGAGAATATAGGAACATGGAGAGAGGTGACAACTGTTTTCTCCCTAATATCTCCAATGTCCTTACACCCAACAGAAGGGAGTCTGAGTGCTGTGTCTGGGCAGGTAGAGCTGGACATCCGGTTACAGCCCCAACCTCAGAGTTCAATCATCCCAATGATGTTCTCCCCACCCGAGTCCCTGCTGGCATCCTGTATTCTCAGGGGGAACTTTGCAGAAGCCCACCAGGTAAGCGGAGCTGTAGCCACACCCAGTCTAGTCATGGTAAAGCCTGCTACAGGAGCCCCTACCCAGCTGTCCTCTATAGCCTCAGGGGAAGCCATCGAAAGTACTTGTCGTGCCTGGCAGGGGGTTACACTGAGCAGAAGAAATAGGATTTCCACATGTGCAGGCCCAGGGCTCAGCACTGCGGTTTCGAGACACTGAGCTATTTGTGTTCCTAGTGGAAGTGGTGTTTTAACAAAATAAAACAGCCACAGTGTTACTGCCTCGTAACAGTGAAACTTTTGCTGCTTCCTTCATTCTCCTGTGAACATATCTGTGTTTTTATATAACTAAAAAGCATAGCCAGCCGTGGGATGCACACTGTTACTCCAAGAAGGTGGGTCTCTGAGCTTGAGGCCAGCCTGGTCTACAAAGTGAGTTTTAGGACAGCCAGGGCTACACAGAGAAACACTGCCCAAAATTAAATAAATAAATAAATGAATGAATAAATAGATAAATAAATAAATAAACAAACAAATAAATGAATAAATAAATAAATCGATCAAAATGCAGATAGCTTTTGGTAATAAACAGAATGACAGTTTGTTCAGCGTATAGCATAAAAGCTAGCAAACTGGAGTGCCCCGTCATGTAACGAAAACAACACTGGAATAGCAGCAAAAGACTGAAGTTCTCTGAGCCTTGATCTTCCGTGGATAATTGTAACACAGTATACTTCCTGCTTTTCCCACCTTATAGTGAGGCCAAGAGGATTATACAGAGCCATGAGGAATGCAAGAATCCTCTGTGTTGTATAAACTCAATAGCATTAAGTACCACTCTTCTATCTTCAAACTTAAGTGCGTTTTTTGAAACTTAAAGCAGTCCCTAAACATTTAGGTTAGAATTTTCTGTGGTGTGACTCAAGTTGTTAAGTAGATCTAGGAGAAATTCCATGCTCAACTGATTTTAATTCCCCCTGTTTCTATTTTAATAATTAGGAGATTCTGGTCAAGGTAGGGGACCCCTCCAACCCTTCCTTTCTTTCTTTTGGTTGTTTTTGTGGTATTGCAGGGTCTCACACATGCTTGGTTTTACAATGAGTCACACTCCTGGATCAAAACTCGATCCTGGACCTCATTATTCTGTTGTTTTAGTTGTTTCCCAACCCTTCTTCAGTCGAAACAACTGGGCTAGGAGCTGCATGGTGCTTTCTCCCCTAAATATCCTGCATTTGTCTTCTTTTCCTTAAGTCTTGAGGGAGAGGGTATATATGTGGGGGGGGGGGTTATTTTTAACCTATTTACAAGGTGTGTGTGTTACAAGCAGTATTAACAGGAAAATAAAATTAGTTTTAACACTATTACACAGAAACAACCAATGTTAAAGATGTATGTTTTTGTCAATATTTTTCTAAGATATCAATGACTGTTATGTAGCCGAAGTTACCTGAAATCTAAAACTGTAAATTGTACCTTTTTGTTGTTGTTGTTGAGCATTTGCCTTGTGGTTTTGATTTTGTCACCTGATAATCATCTCATCATGTTGCGTTTAAGTATTTTTTGTTGTTGTTGTTCAACACACAGATTGTTTTCAGCTTTATAACAATGCTGTGGAAACATGATTATCCTTATGTGTAAAGTCTTTGGAATTATTTCCTTAAGAAAAGTTCTCATAGCTGGGCATGGTGGCTCACACTAGGGAGCCCAACACGGAAGAGGACTAGTGTGAATTTGAGGTCAACGTGAGCTATAGACTAACAGCCTGTCTCAAAAAGAGGTGGGAAATGAAGGAAAGGGGTCTCACCTAAATTACTGGGACAAAACACATATAAGGGCAAGTGAAAGGTGTCAGTGGGTTAAGAAAGGTACTTGCCACCCACCCTGAAAACCTGAACTTGACCCCAGGACCCATATGGTTAAAGCTGAAAATCAATTCCTGCAAGTTTCTCTCTGACTTCCTCACGTGTACCATGTTAATTCTCAGTCAGTCAATCAAGCAAGCAATGTGATTATAAAGATCTTTTTTTTCATGCATGTTTAAAAGGTTACCAAACTATTCGCAGCCATTGTGGCAGTACATCTACCCCTTGCGGATTTATTCCTACACGCTTTGTTAATGTGTTAGGTACAAAATAGCGTCTGTGCTGGCTAGTTTATTTCAACTTGACACAAGTTAGACTCATCAGAAAGGAGGGAGCCTCAGCTGAGAAAATGGCTCCATAGGCTCGGCCTGTCGGACATTTTCTTAATTAGTGATTGATGGGGGAGGGCCCAGCCCACTGTGGGTGGTGCCAGGAGGAGCAAGCCGGTAAGCAACACCCCTCCATGCCTTGCGTCAGCTCCTGCCTCCAGGTTCCTGCCCTGCTTGAGTTCCTGTCCTGCCTGCCTTCAGTGATGAACAGTGAGATAGAAGTGTGAGCCAAATAAACCTATCCTCCCCAAGTTGCTTTGGTTTTATCACAGCAACTAAAACAGAATCATTAACTAAATTACTGAGCAGGAAAAATATTTTCTTGTTTGTGTATTTTCCATAGGTGCTTCCTCTAAAATCGCCACTATGATTTGTTTATTTCCTACCGAACCTTTGGTGATTGGTTTATGAGCTTTTATAAGCCGTTTTCTATTGGGGCTCTTCCTAACGTTCAGTTCCGACCAGGTGTAGTGGCACATGCCTTTAATCCCAGCACTTAGGAGGCAGAGACAGGTGGATGGAGGCCACCCTGGTCTGCGTAAGTGACCAGGGCTACACAGAAAAGCCCTGTCTCAAAAAGAAAAATAATAATCCAGCACTCTCGGGATCCTGTAAAATCGCCATTTTAGGGCGATTTTAGCCTAACGAACTGACCAGCGTCCTATCTCCAGATACTACCACACTCCTCCTTGTCCTGACAGGTGGTCTTCATGTTCAACCTGAAGTCCTCACCCAGCGCTGGGGAGCTGATGTTTGTAGAGCGTTACCAAGAGGTGCTCCAGGAGCTAGCCCGCGTAGAACATAAGATTGAAAACCAGAGCTCAGACGCGGGTCATAACACTCTCCGGCGCACGGGCAGTGGGCGCTCAACTCTGCAGGCCATTGGCAGCGCTGCAGCAGCAGGTTCGTCTAAGGCGCAGGGGGTTGCTGCGGTGGCGACGCTGACGTCAGAGGCGGAGGGGTAGCTGGGGTGGCGACGCTGACGTCAGAGGCGGAGGGGTAGCTGGGGTGGCGGCATAAGGGAAGAAACCACCCAGATCTTCCTGAGAAGTACATATGAAAAGCAGGACACCTGTCCTAAAAGCCAGGAATCCTGACACGTCCGGAGCAGTTCCCTTGCCGAGTGCAACCTCCTGTGTCAAGGTTATCACATACCTGCCACTCAGTCAGCCCTGCGTATCCTCTGCAGCTTAAGCTACAGAACAAGACTGCTGTCCCTGGCTTCAGAGAACTGTTAATAGTTGTTCCCCTCTCTAACTATTCAGAGGTAAAGCATATCTCTTGACAGTTCCTAAAGTGAAAAAGCCCTTGTTAACCTGGAGGCCACGTCCCTGTTCCGGCTATGGCAGGAACAGCTGCCTTTCCTTCCTTCTCGAAGCAGAAGCTTAGCCCACATTTCCAGCTCTCCTCCTGGTCCCCAGATCCCACATGTCAGGTTCCTGTCATGAATTCCCCTTTGCAAACGCTTCCAGAAGTTTTTCAGAGCCTACTCAAAATATGTAGCGCTCGTACTTGTGCAGCCGGAGTTCTTACCCGCTGAGCCGTCTCCCAGCCCTCTCTTTACAACATAGGTAGACACATCTCTTCAATGTTTTTGACAGGTGGGGGCCCTAACAGCAGTAGTTAGCAATGTGGCCCCCCTGACCCAGGTCATTCTAGGCCTGCTTTTAGATCCTATTGGGCGGAAGCCCTCCCTCATCTCTGCTTCTGGGTTCATTGTGGCCTTCCTTTCACACCTTTGTTTTGCTTCTGTAAGGATGGGCCCTGATGAAAGTCGAGCATGCACAGACCCTGTGTGGGAGCCCCTCAGGCAGACTACTTTCCCACTACAGCTAGAATCACCTAACGCTTGTGCTTTGCTCCACTGCTGCATGTCCAGGGATGGTGTTTTACTCCATCTCTGATGTGACTGACAAGCTCCTCAGCTCCTCCGAAGACCCCATCCCCACGCTCCAGGAGGACTTTTGGATAAATGCTGCGCTGACAGAGACAACCACTCCTCTTAGAGAAGTTCTGGAAGACCTCAGTCCCCCTGCCATGGCTGCGTTTGACCTCGCTTGTTGTCAGTGCCAGCTCTGGAAGACCTGCAAACAACTCTTGGAAACAGCTGAGCGGCGACTGAGCAGCAGCCTTGAGAGCCGGGGTAAGTGGGTAGTGTTCGCCTCCCTCCATTCCCATTCGTTCATTCATTATTAGCTGTGACAAAGAGCTCAGCAAACCTTTAAGAAGTTGTGGGGGGAGGAAAAGGAGAAAGTGCTGCCCTCTTCTTAACGGCATTAGGATGAGTTGAGTGTTTCATATTCGCAGACAGCAATCTACAGTCATTTAGGGAAATTCTTTCCTGATTTATCATTAAATTGAAGGAAGAAACATACATTCAGCAGGTAAGTCAAAGGGTGACTAGATTTATAGGGAAGGAGAGAGAGGAGGAGGAGGAAGGAGATAAGTACAGTGGCATCTAATATGAAGATGCCACCAAAAAACCCACCCATCAGTACTTTTCAAAAAGAAAGAAACATTCTTTCAAGAAAGATACGAATGTGTGGGCTGAGGATGTAGCATGTGTAAGCCCTAGGTCCAGTCCGTTAGCCCACCAAAATTAGGTACAAGTGAAATGAATGCCATTAGACCACAGGCCCCTCCTGGGTGAAGGCATTGACCCTAGCCTAGGACTGCCATGCATCTGTAAACCAGGGTACAGGAAAATGTCCTAAGACAGGTACATGGAATTCTTAGAGCAGCAATTCTCAACCCGAGGGTCACGACCCTCTGGGGGTCAAATAACCCTTTCATAGGGGTCACCTAAGAACATTGGAAAACAGATATTTACATTAGAATTTGTAACAGTAGCAAGATTACAGTCATGAATTAGAAGTGAAAATAATTTTGTGGTTGAGGATCACCACAACATGAGAAACAGTATTAAAGAATCACAGCAATAGGAAGGTTGAGAACCAGTGATCTAGAAGAAGGGTACAGAAAGGTATACGAAGGCAGATTTGGTGATTAAAAAAGACAAATTTGATTCCAGCCCACTCATGCCCATGGCTGAAGAGAGCAGGAAGGCAGATCCCTTTGGCTTCAGTCAACAAATCCCACAGAAATGCCAGAGGTTGAGTCTGCTGTTGATGGCTGAGGCATCTTACCAAGGTGGTCCCGGAGCCTCAGGCATGGCATTCATCAGGATTACACAAGGAACTGCAAAACTGACCATCAGCCTCTGAAAGTCCAGCTTTTCCTTTGTCTATTTCAGGTCGAAGGCTAGACCAGTTTGTCCTCAATCCCGACGGTATTCGAGGCTTTCCAGTTGTCCTTCAGCAAATTAGTAAGATTCTCAATTACCCACTCACGTTAACCGGACTAACAAAATCGGGTGAGTTGCTTTACTCCCCCATCTTTTCTTCCATCTTTGTTTTTTCTGGACTTAGAACAAGAAGTCAGCAGACTTTTTTTTTTTCTCTCTGCCTTTTCACATATTTTCCATAGAGAGTCTAGAAGAAAGGGGAGGAGGCGCTCCTCGGTGGAGCATCTCTGAGCTGCTTCAGATGTGCTGGCCCAGCCTCACCGAGGACTGTGTCGCCAGCCACACCAGCTTTGCCCAGCAACTGGATCAGGCTCTCCAGTCACTGCGCAACGCCCTAGCGCTCCCAGGTACAAATCTGTGTGCACAGGAAAGGGTAAGCAGAGAAGAACTGAGAAGGGAGCTGGGGCAGCCAAGGAAGTGTGAGCATTTTTGAGCAGAGGCTCTGCACCCCAGAGCCGGGCTCAGCCAGCCCTTTCTAGCTAAGCAAGGCACATGTCAGGACTGTGCTTCCTTCTTCCCTGACTCTAAATCGAAAGGATGTTTGGCACTCTTATTAGAAGTCCATTTTTTTCACTGCTGGTGAGAAGTATACCCAGATGGTAAAGAGCTGCTATTGACCAACCCTCCCTAAAGCTTCATGCGCTCTTCACAAAACTGCTTCACTCCAGAGACAACAGGGTCAAACAGAAGTATATGGCCTGATTTCTAGAGTCCATACTCTTCCTGACAGAGATCACTTGCCCACATGGCTGAATTGGGATTTGTATCTGTCAGTCTGTCTACCTTCTAAGTGTGGTGACATAATCACCTATGTCTTATTTTTTAATTTTTTATTAATTACACTTTATTCATTTTGTGTCCCCCCATAAGCCCCTCCCTCCTCCCCTCCCGATCCCGCCCTCCCTCCCCTTTCTGCATGCATGCCCCTCCCCAAGTCCACTGATAGGGGAGGTACTCCTCTCCTTTCTGGTCTTAGTCTATCAGTTCTCATCAAAAGTGGCTGCATTGTCCTCTTCTGTGGCCTGGTAAGGCTGCTCCCCCATCAGGGGGAGGTGATCAAAGAGCAGGCCAATCAGATTATGTCAGAGGCAGTCCCTCTTCCCATTACTAGGTAACCCACTTGGACACTGAACTGCCATGGGCTACATCTGTGAAGGGGTTCTAGATTATCTCCATGAATAGTCCTTGGTTGGAGTATGAGTCTCTGGGAAGTTCCCTGTGTTCAAATTATCTTGTTCTGTTGCTCTCCTTCTGGAGTTCCTGTCCTCTCCAGCTCTTACTATTTCCCACTTCTTACATAAAATTTCATTCACTCTGACCAACAGTTGGCCATCAGGCTCAGCATCTGCTTTGATAGTCTGCAGGACAGAGGCTTTCAGAGGCCCTCTGTGGTAGGTTCCAAGTTTGTTTCCTGTTTTCTTCTTCTGGCTTTCAGAGTCCCTCTGTAGCAGAGGGCACCTATGTCTTATAAACAACCACCGCACTACATAGAAAGCTCCAGTGGGTCCCACATCATCTTCTGGCCTCTGCAGGCACCCAGATTCACATACACATGCATATGTATGTGTGGGTATGTATGTGTGTATGTGTGTGTGTGTATATATGTATATACAGGTATATATACAGAATTGGGAATGGTGGCCCATGTCTTTAAGCCTAGCACTCAGGAGGCAGAGATAGGCATATCTCTCTGAGTTTGAGGTCTATAGACTGGGTCCCACAATAGCCAGGGCTACAGAGAGAAACCCTGTCTGGAAAGACAATATTTCTTTTTAGGAATTGGCCAACACTAGAAGCATAGAATGAAGCCACATTTCTTCTCCACCCTGTTCCCCTTCAGAGCCCAAGAGTACTCCACTCACTTCCCTAGTGGAGCAGGCCGCGCAGAAATCCCCTGAGGCAGAAGCCCACCCTGTGTACATCCAAAGTCAACTCCTCCAGAAAACCCTGGGGAAACAGACGCTGGTGGGCACCAGGCAGACAGACTATGTGGGAGCCTTCTTCAGCTACTGCAGCACCCTGGCTGCAGTCCTTCTTCGGAGTTTGAGCTCTGATCCCGGTAAGCAGCAAGAAAGATACGGAGTCATGACCGGCAGTTACTGAGGGAAAGGAAGAAAAGCAATTCATTAAGAGGCTCTTTCTAACCTGGCGGTGGTGGTGGTGAATTCTTGTAATCCCAGCGCTCGAGAGGCAAAGGCAGGCGGAGCTCTGTGCGTTTGAGGCCAGCCTGAGAGAGAGTGCAGGACAGCCAAGGCTACACATAGAAAAAAAAAAGAGATTCTTTCTAGTTACATAATAACCAAGGCTATCAGATTTGTAAAAATCTTTTATTCATCTATCTATTTTATGTATCTTTGTGCTAAGTAAAATTACACAGCACATGAAAATTCTCAATAACGTCTCATAGAATTGGTACTTCAAAAAATATCTCTGATATCAAGTGTGACGGCACATGCCCATCATGACAACACTCAAGAGGGCAGAAGCAGAAGGATCAGGAGTTCCAGTCCAGTCTGGGCTATGTAATAACCTATAAGAAACAAAACAAAACAATTCTGTCAGACCTGGGTCCATTGTGGATTTGAGAGCACGGTAGTAAAATCAAGCTTCTGACATGAGTTCTAGATTCTTTCTTGAATTCAAGTTCCAGGTGAATGGATAAATATCTGAAATCTTAAATTTTCCAGATTCCAAATCTTTTTAACCACCAACCTTATGTCATAAACAGGTTTACAGGTCATGGCTAAAACATAGATGCATGAAAGGCTACTGTATAGCCTTGCCTTTGGGGTCTGTAAATAAGACATAAATGAAACATCAATGTTATGCTTAGATCCAATCCCCCATGGTACCTCACTATGTGCAGGCAGACATTCCAGGAGCCAAAACACTTCTAGTCGCAAGCATTTCAGAGACAGGGTGCTCAGACCGTCAGCGTCAGCTCTGTCAGGTGGAAGTGAACATTGGGTGCCGTCTGTAACCAGACTGGCCCCTGATGTTCGTCTGGGTCAGAAGTCCTTAACCCTGTGATGTAGATTCACTTGTGTTCAGGGTCCCGTTGAGAATACCTGTCCCTGCTGCGAATCAACGGAAGGCTTGTTGGTATTGTCCTCGTTGTCATTCACAGTGTGACTGATCGAGTCTCTGAAACGGGGCCCTGAGCAGTTGCACCCAGCGGGGCAAACAAAGATTATTTCTTTACTCTCTCAGATTCCGTGGAGGTCAAGGTTGGAAACCCCTTTGTCCTCCTGCAGCAGAGCTCTTCCGAACTGGCGTCACAGCTCCTGCTTGAGCGACAAGTTCCCCCAGACAGGTAGGGGTCCCCCCGCAGCTGCTCTGATTCTTTTATAGCACATTCACAGTCAACATACTTCTTTTCTCTCTTGCCACTGCTGGTGTGTATGACTCTTCCCTCACAGATAAGCAAAAGCCAGCGGCTCGGCAACAGTGGTCATCTAGACTATAGGAAAATGAGCATTCTCAGACTTTTGAGAATATTGCTGATAAGGTACAAAAATCACCGTAACTCCGTGGGAAAGCATTTTATCAGCATCTACTAAGATTACAAACTGATTACAAAAACGGCCAACAAATATTTATAGAAGTAGCAAACATCCTTAACCATCAGGGAAATGCAAGTTAGAACTACTTTGAGATTCCATCTCACCCTAGTCTACTAGCAGAAAAGCATACGACAACAAATTCTGGGGAAGATGTGGGGAGACAGCAATCCTTATTCAGCCCTGATGGGAGAATCGACTGGCATAGCCTCTATGGAAACCGGTGTGGAGGTTTCCCCAAGACCAGAAGCAGGACGACTGGACGACCTAGCTAGACCAGTCCTGTGTGCGCAGGACTCTGACCTACCACAGAAATACTTACATGGCCATGTTTGTTGCCGACCTAGTCCCAAAAAACAGGGCAATAGAATCAGTTGGGTGTTTATCAGCAGGTGAATGGACAATGAAAATGTGCTGCATGTGCACAGTGGAAGCTAATTCTCTATAAAGAAAGATGACATTTGCAGAAAGGTGGATGAATCTCCAATTATTATATTAAAGGAGATAATATAGACTCGGAAAGACAAACACATATTATCTCCATATACAGATCCTAGCTTTTAATATATGATAATAAGTCATAAAACTAGAAAGAGAGGGGATGAAAAGTTTTGGGGTGGAGGCTGTATCAAATACACAGGATGTGAAAACAAAGAAGACAGCCAGTTGGTGGTGGCTCACGCCTTTAATCCCAGCATTCAGGAGGCATGGACAGGTGGATCTCTCTGAGTTTGAGGCCAGCCTGGTCTACAGAGGAAGTTTCAGGATAGCCAAGGCTACACAGAGAAACCCTGTCTCGAGGGGGGAGGGGGAGGATAGGAGCCAACAGATAGACAAGACTCGTCAAAGAGGACGGTCCACAAAAGCAAACTGTGAAAACACCAGAATGAAATCTATTATTTTGTGCGCCATTTAGAATTAAGCAAATCGATGGCTCTTTTAACCCAACAATCCATGTTGGGGACTCATCCCGGCATTTGATTGTATGTATGGAAAGTGGCACATGCGCAGCAGACCAGCCTTTTATGTTATTAAGAGAGGATGATTAAGAAGCTTCATTTCTTTTTGCTGTGCAGTGGCACCCCCCTGCAAGCACAACACTTGGGAATGAACAAGTTTGAGGCCAGCCAGGGCTACATAGCAAAGCCTGGTCTAAGAGAAATGTGTGAATGAGTGAATGAATGAATGAATGAATGAATGAATGAATGAATTTGTAAAAGACTGGGTGATGGTGCCTGTGTGTTCAGGCCTCACATGCTTTCTGATTCTTTTCCTCCAGGTTGGCAGCCCTTCTTGCAAAAGAGGGTCTCAGCCTAAGTGTGCCACAGGTCATTGTCAGCTGCTGCTGTGAGCCCCTTACTCTGTGCCCGTCTCGACAAAGCCAGCAGGCTTCAGCCCTTCTGACCCACCTGGGCATGCTGGCTCAGGGGCACACCTCTCACCTTCTAGATGGCCTGCCCCTCCCTACGCTCGGCTCCCCTCAACCAAGCGAGAATCCCTCAGCAGAGAAAAAGTCCCGTTCCTCCCCAAAGGATTCATCGCTCCCAGCCTTCACCTCCTCTGCCTTGGCCTTCCTGAAGTCCCGCTCAAAGATACTGGCCACGGTGGCCTGCCTGCGGGCTTCCCGAGGGACGAAAGTGAGCAAGCCCAGCCTGTCTTGGAAGGAGCTGCGTGGTCGCAGGGAGGCACCTCTGACAGCGGAGAAGGTAGCCCAGGAGTGCGAGCACCTCCTGGAACAGTTTCCCGTGCTCGAGGCCGCCCTGCTGGCTAACTGGGAGCCTCTGCGGCAGGCCTCTGAGCCAGGCCAGGGTCTCGCAGCCAGCCTCTGTGGTCAGGCCTGTCTCTCCACTGTGCTCCTGGGCCTGCACTCTCCCGTGGCCTTGGATGTACTAACTGAGGCCTTTGAGGATGCTCTGGTGACCAGAGATTGGCCACGGGCCCTTCAGCTCATTGACGTCTATGGGCGGGACCTGGACGACCTGAGCTGTGTACAGGATGCGGTTCTGAGCTGTGCTGCGGCGTGTGGTAAGCGGGACACTCCACCTTCCCCTTTCCCTGGACTGATGTCACTTAACATTCACTGTGTTGTGAGCGCGTGCAACTCTATAGAGACATGCCACCATACTCTCTCTTTACTGGGACTGGACTCAGCTTTGGAGGGGTTAGAAAATTTGCCCAGTAAGCAGAGTGGCTTTAGAATGGGTGTCTAGAACCAGTAACCCATGTTTTCAATCCTGCATAACAGAATTATTGTCAAGTGTGTAAGTGACAAGCTGGACCCTGCCCTCAGAGGCCCAGGATGGAGTTGCAACTTCAGAAGAGAACTCAACAGCCTTTTCCTGCGGAGTCCTTTTAGGCCTTTTAGGTCTTTGCTGCAGCCGTGCTGTTTTGCCAGTGCAGCGTGAAGGCAGCCAAAGGCCACACGTAAAGGGACTAGAATGTCCACATGCTCATAGGACGGCTTATGCAAAATGAACTGTGAGCTGGGCTGGTGATCAATGCTTATAGCCCAGCATTGGGAAGTTGAAGCAGGAGGATAGAAAGTTTGAGGCCAGCCAGTCTGAAAACATAACTAGGGACTAGGGAGATGGCAGGGAGGGTAAAGTGCCTGCCTATCAAGCATCTAAGTCTGGATCCCCAGCACCCACAGAAAAGGCACTTATCCAGCACATATCTGTAACCCCAGCACTTCAGAGACAGAGACAAGTAGATCCCAGGGGCTAGCTGGCCAGCCAGTCAGGTCAAAATAGCACACTCTGGGTCGGTGAAAGACAGCGTCTCAAAAAATAAGGTCTGAGGCCAAGGAGATGGTTCAGCTGGTAAAGGTGCTTGCCACGCAAGGACAGCAACCTGAGTTTGAATCCCAGAAACAACAGAAAAGGAGGAGAGAGCCAACTCCCACAACTGACCTCTGCCATCATATGTGTGCAGCTGTATTACCGTACACATATCACACGCACAGTACATGCATGCATACATGCACATCAAAAAAGTAAATAAGAGAGAGTTTCATGCATAATCAAAACAGGAAATCAGTTTGCTCCACTGGAGAACGCAAACGCCAGGTATGCTATACAGAGTGGCCTTGTGGTGAGGCAGCGCTGCCCTTTGAAAGGAGAACAGCCCCCCAAAAAAGTTCAGGAATACACTAAAAGAACTGTATGATACTACCTGCTTAGGATCTGTCTTTTTGTGTGTCCAAGGTCAGATTTATGAATGGGTGTGGAAAAGAGAGAGAGTTGTACTTGGTGACAGGAATGAAGCTCTTTTAACTGCAATAGCGTTTATGTAGGATGCCAATTAGAAATTGCAAGGAGCACAAAAGCCTTGCTTTCGAGATGAGTTTGCAAGGACACTGGATGCACAGCAGAACAAAGTCCTAGAGGTGTCCCTCCTTCCCTTCTGTCTTCCTTCCTTTCCTTCCTCCTTTCCTTCCTTCCTTCCTCTCCTGTCTTCTCCTGTCCTCTCCTTTGTCTTTGCTTCCTTTTCTTTCTTTGGAAAGTGTCATGACTGTGACAGGTTTGCATAAAGGGACAGTAGGAGTAGAGGATTTCTCTCTGTCCTTGGGTTCCAGGTATAAATCTCGTTCCAATCACATGGATTGGAAGGACCCTCCAAGCTCCTGCGTCATAAGATAGAACAAAGCCCTCTTAAGTAGCCAGGGCCTTTGAACTTACTGCCCCTGAACACTGCTTTGTCTTACAGACAAGGAAGGTTGGCAATACCTGTTTCCTGTGAAGGATGCCTCTCTGAGAAGTAGACTGGCCCTACGGTTTATGGACAGGTGGCCCCTGGAGTCCTGCCTGGAGATCCTGGCCTACTGTATTTCAGACATGGAGGTCCAAGAGGAACTAAAATCTGAGCTACAGAGAAAGTTGATGGAGCTGCGGGTCTATCAGAAGGTATGGGCTGTGCGTCGGGAGTAGGAGGCAGGCGTCTCTTAGCCACCATCCCCCTCCACCCATTGTCATAAGATGGGACATTATAAAAACAGAAAATGTAGGCTTTTCCTCTGCATCAGACTTCTGTCCTTATATGAATGAAAGGAGGAGTTCTGTATTGCTTTATGTTTATGTTTAAAACTTCTTGGTTTAAATACATTTGCATCAACCAGGGATAATAATGAAATTCATGTTGGAATGGTGCTGGAACTGGCCCACAAAGGTATTTTCACATGTGTGGTTGAGATTTGTACATATGCTACTTCTATTTCTTCCTATAGATTATTCTAAAGCTCAGCTAAATTTCCAGAGCCATTTTTTAATCTTTCAAAAGTGAAAGATTCTCGTGGGAATGTGTTCTGTCCAAGCTGGCAAGGCTCAAGGAGGCTGGCTCAGGAGGTCAGCTGCATAACCCATATAGAATATATGCAAAACTTCCCCTGTGGCCTAGAACAGAGCTGGATACATAACCAGTATACAGTATGTGAAACTTCCCCTGTGGCCTAGAACAGAGCCTGGAGCTCACAGGCAGGGTGAGCATGGCAAGGCTTTCTTTTCATGTCTCTTGAGTGGTTTTCATACTAAGCTAAAGTGCCAAGGGAAGGATGATCCACAGAACACTCAGGTTGGGAGAACATCTTGGGTAGAGCTTTGAGGTGGAGAAACTTGGGACAGATGACTTCAGAAGACTCGGCAAGCTTTTTGAGTCTCTGAGAACAATCCTCGCCAGTGAGAACTTCCTGTCCTCACTGCTGTTCATACCGCCCTCCAATTTTACTCCTGAAGAGGTTTATTATCTCTAAACAACATTCACCCATTTGCCTTCTTCCCCCTCTTTCCTGGAAAGTTCAGAAGCTTCACTCTGGGGCAGAGCTCGAGGAAGGGCTCTTCCGTGGGCATACAATGACTTGTTCGTGGAGGGAGAGGCGGACAGGTGGCTTATGGGTGTGCCCGTCTTTCCTCAGATCCTAGGTTTGCAGGACCCCCCAGTGTGGTGTGACTGGCAGGCCCTGAGGAGCTGCTGTGTTGAAGACCCAACCTCTGTCATGAACATGATTCTGGAAGCACAGGTACCACTTTCCAGGACAGATGCATCTTCCTTCCAGCACTGTGGCTCCGGTTGTGTGGGTAGATATTATAACTATATTATAGATATTAGTACATCATCTTTGCTTCTTTTAATTGTGAGATTTGCTGACACACGGGGTGATAGGATAATACTGCCACCACAGCATTCCTGTTTGAGATTTTCTACACTCCTATTTCTGATTGTCCCATCTCCTTGCCAACTCTAAATATTGTCTTTTTTCTTTTCTTTTTTCTTTTTTTTATTGCCGCTAGGGTTGTATCTTACTCATCCAAGTTGCATTTCCATGATGGGTCATGAATCTCCCATGTTTATTGTCCATTTTGGCACTAATAACAATGTAGTACTTCACAATGTAGATGCTTATTCAAACTGTCAATCGTTCAGGAAACATTTACTGAATGTTGCTAAGCACTAGGCTCTATGGCAGTGAGACAAAGATAATTAAGCTTATTGAGTGACTCACATTTTAGGGGGAAAGGCAATGTATGATGTACCCCAAGGTAACTGCAATATAAAATGTCAAGTGACAAAACGTAGCCCAGAGTCAGACAAGGCACCTGACCACCCCCTGAAAAACAGAAGCCGGGTGAAGAAGGGAGGCCTGGGCAGAGGCGTAGAGGGGCCATCCCGGACAGTAACACATTGGACTGTGTAGGCAATGATAAGGAGCTAGGTGTGGTAGCACACACCTTTCACGCTGTCACTCGGAAGGCAGAGGCAGATGAATCTATGTAAGTTCCAGTTCAAGGCCAGCCTGGTCTGCATAGCAAGTTCCAGAACAGTCAGGGCTACATAGAGAGACCCTGCCTCAAAAAAACAAAAATAAAAAAGAATATTTTTTTTATAAAACATGCATGTAAAAGTTGTAGTAAATGACAATAATTTTTAAGATTTATTTATATGTATGGTGTGTGCATTGTTGTTTTGCCTGCATGTTTGTCTGTGTGAGGGTGCCAGATTCCCTGGAACTGGAGTTTCAGACAGTTGTGAGCTGTCATGTGGGTGCTGGGGATTGAACCCAAGTCCTCTGGAAGATTAGCCAGTGCTCTTAACCGCTGAGCCATCTCTCCAGCCCCGACAGTAATTTAGAGGAACTGATTAAAGACACGTTTTTTTTGTTGTTGTTGTTGTTTGTTTGTTTTGTTTTCCAGGAGTATGAACTATGTGAGGAGTGGGGCCATTTTTACCCCATTCCAAGGGAACATTTGATTGGTCTGCATCACAAGCATCTTCTCCACCTGCTAGAAAGAAAAGAACATGAAAAAGCTCTTCAGGTAAGCTCTGATTCTTTACAGTTTTCATGGGGGAAGGGGTGAGGTTAGTCAACTCAGGTGACTGTTTCCTGCTGAATCCTATGCATAGATTTGTGATTGCTGACCTGCCCTTTTCATTCGTGACGGGCCACTTAAACTCATTTTGAGCTAGATACCTAGACCCACCTTAGGTGCCAGATGGAACATTTGGGTCCTGTGGAAACCACTGCCTATTGGTAGAGTGAGGGGGTGGCAACAAATGAGTTGAGAAAGATAATTAGTCCCAAATAAATGAACCTAACTATTATCTTCTCACACCAAACAAGGCCAGCCTCAGAGTTCAGCAGCTCTCACATCCTTCTCTACCCTCTGCTGCAGCTCCTGCAACGAATCCCTGACCCCACCATGTGCCTTGAGGTCACAGAGAGGTCCCTTGACCAGCACCCGAGCTTAGCCACCTCACACTTCTTGGCCAACTACCTCACCTCCCACTTCTATGGAAAACTGTCCACTGACCGACACCATGAAATCCAGGCATTGTACGTGGGATCTAAGGTGAGGAGCAAAGAGGTTTGAGGAAATGATGCCGGAAGAAGACTGCTGGCCTCACTGCCACTTCAGAATCTGCCCTCTCATAGGCTCTTATGCCAGGCACCTGCCACCCTTGGCTGTACTATATAAAAATCTTAACCTGGCAGCTCACCTTGTCCTAATTGAGTATCCTAAGGACTTATCATAGTCTTGCTACACTGCCTCAAGCTGTCCTTGGACTTTCCATGGTGCCTGCTGTATCATTATTTCTCAAGACTGACCCTGTGTTAGGATTACTGACCTTTTCAAAAAATGCTGGTAGTAGTCACCCAAGACAAATTAAAAGTGGTCATAGAATGGGAACTAGTTCTTTTTTAAAAGGATTTAGATGTAAGGATTTAAAACTGCTACTTGAGGGGCTAGAGAGATGGCTCAGTGGTTAAGAGCATTGGCTGTTCTTACAGAGGACCTGGGTTCAGTTCCCAGCACCTACATGAGGCTGCTCTCCACGAACAGTAACTCCAGTTCCAAGGGACTGATGCCCTCTTCTGGCCTCCAGGGCACTGCATGAATGTGATGCATATATAGACAAGCAGATGTATAGACAAGCACACACAAAAATTTTTAAATAGAATCCGTGTGATAAACCAGTCCATTCTCAAAGAAGAGTATTATTTGTCTCGATAATCATATGAGAAAACATTAGAGACACCAAGAGAAAAAATTACAAACAAGATTAAGTAATCCAGTAATTCAAGGTTTGAAGAGACAGGGAGACACGACCCTCTGCCTCTTTTATCATTTTTCTGGGTTTGTTTTTTTTTTTTTTTTTTTTTTTTTTTTTTTTTTTTTTTTAATATACTGCCCCCTCAAATAGAACAAGTGTCAGAAGAGCCAGGGGCATGGCCTTACCCTTAAGAGATTTTTTTTTTTTTTTTTGTAGCCCAGGCTGGCTTCAAACTCACTACATAACTGAGGCCGTTCCCGATCCTTCAGCCTCCACCTTTCATGTACCGGGGTGTAGGTTACCATGCTCAGCTCTTCATTTTGATTCACATCACTTAATTTGCGGGGGGGGGGGGGGAGATGGTAGTGAGCAGAACAGAACCAGTGCTCGTTGCTTGTAACCACTAAAGGGTGTTTTAAGTCTTCAGACCCTGGAGCTGCCAGGATTGGACACCCTACCAGCGTTGCTCTATTACTCGTTCTAACTATAACCTCACATAGAATGACAGCATTAGGGGTTAAGCAATGCTCAGCCATGTCTGGAGGGTCTAGGCCATGGTGTAGGCTGTTGCTGTCTGTGGGCCAGAGCTAGCCTTCCTCTCTCTTTCTGTAAATCCATTTGTGTTGGAACAGGACACAGCCATTCACAAATTCATGTATATATCTGCCTGTGCTTGTTTTCATGCTACATTGGCAGAGCTGAACAGGTGTTAGGTCCTAAACTTTATAAAGTATTTGCTGTCTTAACCCTCACAGAAAAAGATTAGCAACCTCTTGTCCAGGTAAAGGTCCTTCGAATAATTGTCAGTGAATTAGAAGTTCACTCTTGCTTCCCGAATGACAGTTCTGTCCCTGTAACCTTTTCACATCCCTGCAAGAATAGTGAGATTCTCTTGAAGCTTGTCCACTATTTTCTTCTCTCTACCCTGTAAATAGGTTCTTCTGACACTGCCTGAGCAGCACCGGGCTAGCTATGCCCACCTGTCCTCCAGTCCTCTGCTCATGTTAGAGCAGCTGCTGATGAACATGAAAGTGGATTGGGCCACCACGGCCGTGCGGACTCTGCACCAGCTGCTGGCCGGACAGGAGATCGGCTTCACCCTAGATGAGGTTGACTCGCTGCTCTCCAGATATGCAGGGAAAGCCCTGGAGCTGCCGTACCCTCTGAGGGAAAAACGATCAGGTGACTAGTGGCATGCTACACAGCAGCTCTACACGGAAGAAGGAAGGCCGTGCTACTCTTGGGTTCTATTTTCTCCCCTTCCTAACCGAAGGGAACTTCTTTGTTACTTAGGCAAGACCTGGATCTTAGGAAAAGGGCCAAACACTCCATACGTGATAACATAAAGGCATGGAGGAACCAGACCCCCTGACCTTGAGGCTGTGCTCCTAAGCGCTATCATTTTTATGGGAGGCATGCTTCATTTCCAGGGTCACGTTATATGTCAGTTATATGTGAGATGATTCAGCTTCTTCTAGAATGAAAAAAAAGAAAGCAGTCTAGATGATGCTCTTGGCCAGCTCCCTATTCCACATGGGGAATCTCTTAAGTGTCTTTACGTCTCCTGTGTATTTTTAGATTTATTTTGAAAAATCTGCTCCATTGTCTCATGTACCTTAAGACATGGCTTATTTTTGTTGTTGTTGTTTGTTTTGAGGGACTTTAAAAATGTACATCTTGGACCTAGTTCTTTTACCATTCTGTTATACTTAATATAATCATGACGGAACAACCAACAAAACCAACAGCTGTTTGCACTCAGCACGTAGCATGGGAATAAGGATGCTTGTGGGAGACCAGCGTTTTGTCAGCAATTTCTCTTTCGACAGATTCTGTGATTCACATCCAGGAGCTTGTCCATCAAGCTTCAGACTCTGAGACCCTCTCTAGATCATCGTCAGCTGAGTTCTCTGCTGCTGCTACTGGTAAGAACTTCTTGTTCTGAGTATCTGTCTCATTCTTTCACCCTTTCTTCTTTTCTGCTTAAGAAAGCTTCTTTTTTTTTTTTTTAATAATTAATTGCAGCTTTTTACTTCCCAGTAGATTCAGCATACAGCCGACTCCCATTACAGTGTGTCTGTATGAATCTCTATAAACACCCAGTCAGTGAACCCGGAGCTGTTACTCCAAGAAGAGAAAGCTATACGCATACTGGCATGCATACACACACATACACACTCTCTCTCTCTTTCTCTCTCTCTCTCTCTCTCTCTCCCTCTCTCCTTATACATGTTATCTTATTAGAATCAAACAAAGTAACTCATCCTAGTAGAGTCCTGTGTTCTTATCTTACAAAAGAAAACGGCTCAAAAGTACCCAAGGTAGAATTCAAAGTCTGTCCATCTAATATGGAACCAGAGTTGCTTCTCCACCCTGACCTGCCCCTTACTGTCTCCATACTCTTGTCAGTATCACATGAGAGCTGACACAAGACCGTCACCTTGATTAACCCCTACTGAGAACCTGAATGTTGGGTGACTCAGAAATTTATCTGGCCCAGACATGCCCATAACTAGCTGTAAAAGCAGTGGGAGTATTGATTCTTGAGGTCTCTTGGTTTGCTTCTCTGATGCTGGGATAAAATACCAACCAAACGCAGCTTGCAGAGGAAAGGAATATTTTACCTTACACTTCTTGACAGCCTGTCATCACTAAGGGAAGTTAGGCAGGAACTGGAACAGAGAGGAATGCTGTTTACCAGCTTGCTTCCTGTGGCTTTGCTGATCTTGCTTTCTTAAACAACCCAGGACCACCTGCCAGGAGTGGCAGAGTGGGCTGGTCCACACACAGAGACACACACACACACCATCAATCACTAATCAAGAAAAGGCTCTACAGACATGCCCACAGGCAGTCTGATGGAGGCAGTTCCTCAAGTGAGGGTCCCTCTTCCCATGTGACTCTAGTTGTGCCAAGTTGAGAAAAACTAGCCGACAGGAGACTACTGATTCTGAAGTTACACATTTTACTGAATAGACAACATTGTAAATACAGAATCTGTAAATGGTGAGGATTAACTAATTTAGCCCTTATGAAATTTCTATTGCCCACACAAGGAGCAAGCTCCTTGGAGGCCTCAATATGCTTTGGTCACTTTTTTTCAGCACCCTTCTTTCCCAGAAAAGGCTCAGCAGATGTTCGGCCAAACGGTCGAGAGATCAGGGCTCTGGCTGCTGCTAACAATCACAGTTCTGTTCAGTTCAGTTTCTCTGCTGGTAATGAAACTACTCTTCTAGACAACAAGAAATCCCTTTCCATACCATAAAGCAAGGACCATGGCATTTCCTGGCCATGCTTCACAATAACCAGCAGACTGAAGGGAGGACCCAGAGTCTGGGTATCAGTGCAGTTTTGTGCATCGCTGTAAGGCAGTATGAACAGCTTTGGGGGTAGAGGGGACCCTATTTTATGTGTGTGACCGTCCTTCTGATGGGTTGTTTTCAAACAAATCCCACATGTACATCATTTCACCTGTGAGGATGTCATTACAAGTTTCCAAAAGGCAAACTCTTTTCCAGACCCAAGCCACTGGAAGCTGGAGAGGTGGTTCCGCAGCTAAGAGCATGTACTTCTATTGCAGAAGACCCAAGCTCAGTTGCCAGAACCCACATTGGGTGACTTAGAGTTGGTGGTAACTCCAGCTGCAGAGGGAGCAAACACCGTCTTCGCGATTCTGTGCGCACCTGCACTCACATGCGTGTGTACCCACACAGGGACACGGGCATACACATAATGTAAAAAGAAAAGAAAATCTTTTTTAAAAATCAAAACACAATGCCATTATTGGACCTAAAGGATTAATAACTATTATTATCAAATAGCGAGTTAACATTGAAATATCCTTAGTTGTCACATAAAGTCATTTGTTTGTTCCTAGTTGTTTTATTTCTAACTACAGCTCCAAATAATATTCACATGTGGCATTTGGCTAAAGTGTCTCGTAAGTCTGTGTTAATCCATTGGTCAGCCTATCCCCCCTCTCTCTCTTTGTTACTAATTCCCCTCGTCTCTCTTATTTATGGAGGAAACAACATCATTGGTCTTGTATACTGGATTTTTTTTTTCTTTTTGAGACAGTTTCTCTGTGTAGCCTTGCTGTCCTGAATTCAATCTGTAGACCAGGCTGACCTCAAAACCAGAAATGCACCTGCCTCTGCCTCCTGAGTGCTGGGATCAAAGGTGTGTGCCATCACCACCTGGCCCACATGCCTCATTATGACAGTGAGGGTCTGTGTCCCCTAAGTCTCTAGTGCATGAATAGTTGGATCTACAGCTAGATGTTGAGGTGGACTTAGTATTTTTTTTTAATTCCATTTATTTACTGTGTGTGCACACGTGTCCCATAGCACATGTGTTGAGGGCAACTTGCAGGAGTCCGTTCCCTCCTCCTACCAGAGTGGGTCCCAGGGCTCACACTCAGGTCTTCAGGCTTGGCAGCAAGCCCCTTGTACCCACTGAACCAGCACTGCCCCCCCAACACACGCTTAGTGGTTTTTATTAGTTATATGTGATAAATTTTGTTGTGCATTTCCAAGGGAAACACACAGTGTCCCCCTGTCTCTCTTTTGTGACTCAGACAGCCATTGATAAACTAGATCTATCATTCCAGTAGGGCCTTGTAAAATGGTAAACATCCCGTCTTTCCCTCTTCACTTATAGGCCGGAATGTTGACGAGCTTTTTCTCTGACTTTCTTACCCCAGGAAGTGCCTTAGTCCGTTCCCCCAGTCCCAAGGAGAGGCCTTTCCCTCCGACTCAGCCGCCGCTGGAGTTTGTGCCCCCAGAAGCACCCCCTGCCAGGGATCAGTGGGTCCCAGATGAGACCGAGAGTGTCTGCATGGTCTGCCGCAAAGAGCACTTCACGATGGTAAGCAGCAGCCCCCCACAGTAGCACCCCTCCAGGGCCAGCAAAGCCGAGTGCCAGCTGAATCGTCCTTCAACCCTGAGTGCATTTTCAGGATCCATTCATTTTAGTAGGCATCCTCAGACCAGCCTTCAATTATACAACCATTGTTGTTCTCACTGGATAATAAAAACAGGCAGGAGTCACCAAGTCTTTTGGGATCCTGTATCTCTCACGCAAAGACTGTGACCTGGTAGTAGTAACGTATGCTAACTCAGGAGAGCAAAGGCTCAGCTCCTTTCCTCAGATCTTCTTCCTAACAGCAGTGTGAGTACAAACATTTTCAACCTCACGTGCCTATTATAAGCTACAGATTATATGTGAGCTGGCTCCATGGAGCTGTTAAAACTATATACATATAATTGAATATGGTATTGCAGTTAATGCCAGCACTTGTCCAGTAGATTAGTTCAGTAATGATGCCATTTCTCTACATCTCTTTCCTCTTCATCTATGTAAGAGTATAAAATGGCTATCAACCTCTAAAAATGGAGTGAAGCAATACTTCTTTAGAAACAAGAATAGTTGGAGGGGCCTGGGTAGGCAGCTCATCTGGTAGAGTGGTGGCCCAGCATAGACAAAGACCCAGGTTCGGTCCCAGTACCACTTAAAGTGGATGTGATGGCACACATCTGTAATCCCCAGTCTCAGGTGGAGACAGGAGGATCAGCAGTTCAAGCTCACTGTCAGCTATGTAGTGAGTTTGAGGCTAGCTTGAGCTACAAGAGACCCTGTCTCAAAAAATATGCTGGAGAGATGGCTCAGTGGTTAGGAATGCTTGCTGCTCTTACGGAGGACCAGAGCTCAGTTCCTAGCACCCACAACAGGAAGCTCACAACTACTTCTAACTCTAGTTCTAGGGGATCTGGCGCCCTCTTCTGGCCTCTTTGGGTACCTGCACTCATGTGCATAACCCACTCACATACACACACACACACACACACACACACAGGAGCAGACACATAAATAAAACGTTAATGCCATAAACCACTTGGTAAAGGCTGTGTTCTCACTTTACCATCATTGACTCTATAGAAATGTGAGCCTCACTAGCTAAGCAAAGCTTTTCTTCCTTAGGAATTTTTTTTTACTTTTTTAATTTGGGTTACTGTACATAGAATCTGTAAATAATAAAGGTTAAGTATGTCTAACCCTCATGAAAATTCTGTGGTTCACACTGACTAGAGGGCCTTGGCTGTGCTATCGTCACTGGGCAGCACCCTGTGTCCTCAGTCTCCAGTCTTCTTCACTACAGCCGCATTCAGAAGGAGCTCAGTAGTTATTTTACCAAATGGTCGGGAGAGCAGGACTCTGGGACTCCCTGCCGAAGTTTGCTATACTTTGGGCTGGCTTAGAACTCACTGTGTAGCCCACAGTGGCCTCAGACTCTCAGCAGTCCTCCTGCCTCAACTCTCCCAAGTGGTGTGAGCCGCCACACCCACCCTCCTTTCCTATTGCTTCCATACAGAAGCAAACCTTGTCCAGAGCTATTGACTGCAGACTGTGTAGGACCTAGAACATTTGTGTCCCAGCTGAATAATACCTAAAATGTCTGTTAGGAAGGCTTTGTTTATTTTGCTTTTCTTTTGTTTTGTGTGTGAGAGGGACAGGGACATTGAGTATCAAACCCAGGGACTTATGCACTAAGCTAAATCCTAGTCCCTAAATGTGACCTTTCTGAAGACGAGGACTAATATTCTCATTTTCAGTAAAAACCCAAGTGCCTGGTATTCTTAAAATAAGCCATAGTGGACAAAAATCCAAGTGTAAATGCATGGGTGACAATCTCACTTTCATCTCTTCCCTTTCCTTCTATCCCAATGACTTTCCTCAGTTTAACAGGCGTCATCACTGTCGCCGCTGTGGGCGGCTAGTGTGTGGTTCCTGCTCCACAAAGAAAATGGTGGTGGAAGGCTGCAGAGAAAACCCTACCCGAGTTTGTGACCAGTGCTACAGTTACTACAACAAAGAGTGAGTGTCCTGCAGCAGGGCTGACACCGTGACGGACCACTGTCACCTCCCTGGGGCCCTCACGCTTCTAGTTCTCCCACTGCGCAGAGTTTTGAACCTGTTACACTCACAGAGATATTCCGTTCAACTTAAACACCACCGTGCCATCAACTGCACTATGAGATGCTTGTAGAATGAGTGGGCTTGTCGGAGAGGCTTTTAAGATGGGAGTTAGGGAAAAGAAGGAAGTGTCCAGAGTTCTTACTGGCTGTTCTTCCTGATATCAAGATGTGTCAGCCCTTTTACACACTGAAGTCACAATCTCAGCTTGACACCTCTGGCCATGTGGCTCCACCTGGGCTGGGAACAACATGCCTACACCCGCTGAATGCAGGCTCATTTGCCTCAGCTCTGAACTGGGTAGTCATCTTGGCTTGTTACTCAGAGACAAGCCCTTACACCTTCCTGCACACAGCTAACCTCCAGATGGATTTCAGAAACGGCCCCTCCCTCCAGCAAGGCAGATGGGTGAAGATGATACTTTGTGAGTCATGGTTGCTTGGGCCTTTGGTTTTTTGTTTTGTTTTTTTCCTGCTTTTCGGTTTGAGTGTGAAGTTTAAGACTCCAGGAGCACCTGGGGAAAATCAGCTATGCAAAAGCAGGATTGTTTTTAGATTCTCATGTTTTATTTTATTTAGCAGACTTCACTAGATTTCATATTCTACTCATTAGTATATTTGGTCATATTTGCCCTGATGAGTATTGACTACATAGAAACAAAGGCATCCCGTTAGCATTGTACAGTTCCTGAAACCCTAACGTACCCACTCTCTGCCTTCCTCCATCGCATGTAGGACAGGAATTGCCCAAACACCATCCTGATGGGATTTTAAGTGAGCAGTCAGTATTGCTGGGAGTCTTATCATCAGTCCTCTGCAAAAGTTACATTACCTAAAGGAACCCCCATGTTACTAGGGCAACAGCCAGTAAACACACCACAGGTGATCGATTGGGTACAGTGGTGATAGCACACACAGATTGGCCCAGAGAGGCGAGAGAGTTTCCTGGAGGTGGGCCTAGGAAATGAGTCTTAAAGAATGAGGGAGTTGGTAGGAAAAGAAAAAAAATATCTAAACAAGAACAAAACAGAAAAGAAAAATTCTGCCTAGAGGTTGAGTAGCACAGCAAAGGCAGAGGCAGGAGAAAACACTGACCATTTGAGGAGCTGTGAGGAGGTAGGTGACAGGCTTCTTCTGATCAGTGGACCCTGGGCTTAAAGCTGGCAGCCGACTCCAGAAGACGTAAACCCTGGCACGAGATTTGGTGCCATAGACTGGGATAGGCCTAGGTTTCCTTATACACATCTTAAACTTAGCCCCAGACCAGCGCTGGGGGTGGAGCAATGGGGCCTTTACAGCTTGAGGACAGGTCGTGGGTGAAAGGAGGCGGTCAGGCTAGGTCTCAAGGGCCTTTCTACAAGTGAAGAATGCTTTCAACCTGAGCAGCTTCTGAAGAATTCTCAAGCAGGAGCAGAATGTGACCAGATTTGAATTTTTGAAGTCTTGCTGCAGTTGCAAGTGGTCAGAGTCCAGGAGAGTTATTGCAGAATCATGGCAAAGTTATTACAGATGCCCACAAGCAATGATGAGGTCAACTCAGACACAGCGAGAGATGGGGACATTTAAATGGATATGTAAGAAATAGAACGAGCAGAGCATGGTAAGAGATGGTCATGACCAGGGAGGGAGAGAAAGTTATGCGTGATTAATTCCCTTATCGTCTTAGTTAGGGTTTATTGTGAATAGACGCCATGACCACAGCAACTCTTACAAAGTTTAGTCCATTATCATCATGGAAGGAAGCATGATGGCATGCAGGCAGACATGGTGCTGAAGGAGGAGCTGAGAATTCTACATCTTGATCCACAGGCAGCAGGAAGAGACTGAGACACACTAGGCCTGGCTTGAGCTTCTGAAACCTCAAAGCCCACTGCCAGTGACACACTTCCTCCAACAACACCACACCTACTGCACCAAGGCCACACCTCCCAATAGTGCTAATCCCTGTGGGGAGGAGCCTATGGAGCCATTTCCATTCACCACCACACTAATCAATGACTATTAGAACAAATGTCAGTGTCATTTACTAAGCTCAAAACAGAGAAGCAGTGACTGAAGCATTTTGTTTTTCTTTCTCTGTTTCTAGTGCACCAGAGGAGAGCCCATGCCAGTCAGAAGGTAAGGCCTAATCATATTCTCTGTGGCACTGTTGTCAGTGCACCAACTGCAACCAATAGCCATATGGCAACTCAATCCACTTGGTTCGCCAAAGAAAAATCTTGGCTTTTCAATGAGCCTGTTTCCCTCAACCCTTTATCCCAGACCTATGCTTAGGGAAAAGGACTCCAGGTACCTAATGGGTTTCCTAAAGAAAACAAAAGAAAAGTGGGGAGGGTGCTAGAAAGATGGCTTAACAGTTAAGAACACTTACTGCTCTTGCAGAGGACCTAGATTTGGTTCCAAGCACCCAAACTGAATATATTACAACTGCTTAAACTCTTAATTCCAGGAGATCTGATGTCCTCTTCTGGCCTCTGTGGACACACACACACACACACACACACACACACACTAACAAGTAAATAAGTCTTTAAAAAATAAAACAAAAGGGACCAAGGAGAAAGAAAGGAGCCCTCAGACAGCAGGCAGATACCTGCTTTTGATACACCAGCTTGCTGACTGCATGACTAGCCAGTGACTGATATGTGAATGACAACTCTCTCCTCAGTTCCAGACAACTCTAAGAATGAAAGCCCCACATATTCAGCTGTGGTGAGAGTGCCCAAAGCAATGGAGGTGGAATGGATCTTGAGTCTAAATGAGGAAGAAAATGAGCTGATGCGGAGTGAATTTTACTATGAGCAGGTAATAACAATAAAATGTAGTGATCACTCGAGCATCTTTACGGAGTTTCTCAATATAACAGGAAATACAGAGGTTGATGACTAAGCCTGGTCCTTGCTTGCTTACCATACAGTTATGTGAGCGCTGAAACAAGTAAACCAGGTAGGCAGAAGATGAAGAACACCTCCGGAAATGTACAAGAAGAAGCCAGGAAGAGGGGCAAGCGTGTGATAAGCAAAAAATTGGGGGTTGCAAGGGGAGTAAGGCTAAGGGAAGGAGAGAGCACAGAACTGACCTATCTGGGGAGTGGGAGAGAGCTCAGTGAGCGGTAGCGTGCTCTCCCCGAAAGCGTGAGGACCTGAGTCCAGATCCCCAGCATCCACATAAAAAAGCAGATGCAGAAACGTGTCTGAAGAGGCAACGATCCCTGGAGCTTGCTGGCTAGCAAGTTCTAGCGGAATCAACAGGCTTCAGGTTCAGGGAGAGACTGGAACACAATAAACAAACAAACAAACAAACAAACAGATAGATAAAGTGGAACACAATTCAGGAAGATACCCAGTATCAACCTCTGGACTCAACACACACATGCACACAAATGCATCTCACCTTCACACACATGCATGAACGCAGCACACAAGCACAGCATAGGCACAGTGTCAGAAATCACAGGCCATGATCAGGAGACAGTATTAAAAGTAAAGGATAGTGTGGTAAGATTGAGAAAGACTATAACTGAATTCTACAGTGAGAAACAACTTTGATCGGTGTGGGCACCTAAGAAGTTTTACAGGTGTGCCATGAGAGTGTTGACTTGGAGCACTGACTTCCGCTAAGTGAGTGACAGTCGTAATCTAAGCCACTGATAAGAGAGATTGCAGTTGCGGGACAGAAAGACCAGAACAAGGAGGCCACCTATGGATATTGTCAAGAAGTAGGAAGTGAGTTCCTGGAAAGCCAGGGCTACGGAGACAGACCGTGTCTGACAAAAACAAAACAGAAAAAAAAAAAAGAGTAGGAACGGCAGATGTAACTGTCCTCTTCCCACACAGTGACAAAAACTAGCAGCCCTGACACTGAAACTTGGAGCGTCTGAAATGTGGCTGGCTCTGCTGCTTTGCTGTCGAATGCCCAGCTTCCTCTGGCAGTGGTTTCCAGTCTTTGGTAGTGGGGATGACGAATGCCGCCTTACCGCTGCATTTGGACAATGCCCTGCTCCCTGAGTTGGCTCTCCTTCTCTCCCTGCCCCGCCCCGATCAGGCCCCCAGCGCCTCCCTGTGCATCGCCGTCCTGCGCCTGCACCGAGACAGCATGGCCTGTGGCCACCAGCTGATTGAGCAGTGCTGCAGGCTGTCCGAGGGCCTCACCAACCCGGAGGTGGATGCGGGGCTGCTCATAGACATCATGAAGCAGCTGCTCTTCAGCGCCAAGATGATGTTCGTGAAGGCTGGCCAGAGCCAGGACCTGGCTCTTTGTGACAGGTACGCAAGAGTGCGCCTCCATCCTTCCGCACTGTGCCCGTTTTTGATCCAGCTTTCCTTTCTGACTCTGCTAGGACTTGCCATTTTCCCATCCTCTCTGAGGAGACATGCTGACATGTATCCCATATCGATGTTAATGAAATATAAGTACCTAATTACGTGTTCATCCTTGCCTTTTGTCTGCCTTTGTCCTTTTCTTTCCTAAAGTTCTTAAAAACATTATGTTCATTTGCTTTCTATGACTGTGATAAGACAACATGACTAAAAGCAATTGTGAAAGGAAAGGGCTTATTCAGCATACAATTCCACATCACAGTCCATCGTAGAAAGAAGTCGGGGCACAAACCTGGAGACAGGAACTGAAGCAGAGGCCATGGAGGAACACTGCTTACTAGCTTGTGCCTCACGGCTTGCTCATCCTCTCTTACACCATCCAGGACCACCTCCCCAGCAACCTGGGCCCACCCATACCAATCATTAATCAAGAAAATGCCCTGCAGACCTGCCTAGGTCCAGCTTCTGTGACCTTGACATTAAAGGAGCTGCGCTGGTTCATAGAGTTTCCCTAGTTCTGTCCTGTCACAAAGCAAGGAAAGACCTTCACTAAATACTCCGTCATTACAGTCTTTTAGGGAAGTACCTTTAGGGTAGTTGGAACTCTCCAGTTTTAAAGAAATGTGACCAGTGATTGACCTTACACAAAACTCCATCCCACTCTTGACTGTGACCTCTGGAACTTCTGGATATCCAGTCTCTAGGGGCCACCTAGCCTGTCTGAAGTTGCTCTCCGGGACCCACAGTAGGAGAGAACCAACTCCCACAAGTCCTCTGACCTCCACACACATCTTATAGCACGCATGCACCCATACGCACAGAAGAAAATGGATGTCTTTTTGAACACTGGGGAAGCAGTGGGCTCGTGTATCGAGGTGGGGATTCGAATCATTCTGGGGAAAATGGGGAAGATGCAACTGGTGATTAGGCCTCCGTTCTCCCTCAGATTCCTGCACAACCTGCTTTGACTCCATCCTTTAACTTGACAATGAAAACTCCTAATTCCTTGCTTATCCACCCGGATGAGTGATTCATGAAGTATGGACCAGTCCCAACCAGCTTTGGGAGCCAGAAACAGAATGTGCTTTGAAGCGTAAATGCCTCCTTCAGATACTTGGTCAGAGCACATGCCTGTTCCAGCACCTCTTGACACTCTAACCCTGGATAAGTCTGCTAACCACCCCCCATGGGCCTCCTGAAGGTGTCGGATACCCAGGAAGCCTTGACTTCAACAGGTTCTCACCCCCGCAAGCCATCATGGGCTCCTGAACAGTTTACAGCACTGACTTCAAATCACGCTTTCTCGCTCCACCCACTCACTCACATACACTCATAACGATGACTTTTTTATCCATGGGAGAGGACTCATCTCTGCTGCACATTTCTATATAAACCAGAATATTCTGTTTTTAACAATGTCCCCTTCTAATACATAAACAGATGAAATGAACATATTTCAAAACAAAGAAACAAAAGACATATCATTTAGTTCAAACATTTCCATTCTCCAGTTGGAGAGTTATATTATGGCTTTGAATCTTATTTTATACACTGTCCTTTCTCCTACCCTGTCCCCGCCAGCTTAAGAGTCATTAAAGGTGTGGATGGAGTCCAGGAAACCTCCTAAGCAGATGGGTCAGGAGCCACTGGGTTTTCTGTTATACCTATGAGACAGACCCCAAGAACCATGGGTGTGAGCTTGCTGCATCACGCAGAATGATCTGACCCTCTGGGCTCTGTCTTGATAAGGGTTTCCCATTCCTCAGGTGTCAGGAATAAGATTGTTGATGGGACATAAGGAAGGCCATTCTTAGCACCCAGAGAAAGGATGGAAAGTCCAGGAGACTAGACTAGAAGGGTCAAGGTGCCCTTGTTTGGTGCCACCTCCAGGTAATGATGGAACCACTGTACTGATCAGGAATATGGGTCAGTGGGTTTGGAGGTTCTGTTTTGTTTTGTTTTTTAAGAATTATTTGTATGTTGTATGTATGAGTAGTTTGTCTGTGCATGTGTATCACATGTGTGCCTGGTGCTCACAGAAGCCAGAAGATGGTATCAGGTCCACTAGAACTGGAGTTAAAGGTGGTTGTGAGCCGCCCTGTGGATGCTGAGAACCTAACCCAGGTCCTCTGGAAAAGCGGCCAGTGCTCTCAACTGGTGAGCATCTCTCCAACCCCCGAGCCAGTGGTTCTTGTTCTGTGTTCTCTTGCAGCCAAGCAGAATGCCAAAGAACCAAGAGCAAATGAGTAGCTTGTGAGCTCCAGCATTTAATACAAAGGCCTCCTCTCAGAAATCCCTGACATCCGTACTCCTACGCAAACACAAACTAACATGCTGTGACTGCTACAAAAGTTCCAGACACACATTTCATTTTATTCTTAAAACTTTCTGCTTTATGTCTGCTTACCAGACGAGTAAGCTGAGGCAGGTCTCAGAGTTATGAAGTTGGAGGTGGGCTGAAGGGTCTGACTCTAGAACCTTCACTGAGGGTACCTGTGCTCTCTACCTCTCAATTCCTGTGTTCACACTTAGCACTGAAAGTGAAATGGAAAACCTTCAAGCAGCTGGTACTCCAGAGCTGAAAGTAGCCTCATTCATGGTGCCCTCTTTTTCCCTGCAGTTACATCAGCAAGGTAGACGTCCTGCATATTCTAGTCGCGGCTGCCTACCGCCATGTGCCGTCTCTAGATCAGATCTTGCAGCCAGCTGCAGTGACCAGGCTGAGGAACCAGCTCCTGGAAGCTGAGTACTATCAACTAGGAGTTGAGGTGAGGCAAAGACAAAGCGTCCTTACACCCCACTGTCATGAGTGGCCTTCGCTCAGCCTTGGAAACAGGCCTCACCGTCTGTCTATTGTCCCGATCGTTGGACGCGTCCAGGGCACCACCAGCTTGCCATTGTGAGAGCTCTGACATGTGGATGGTGGGCAGGTGGTCTGGGCAAAGGAGCAGAGCAGGGTTTGGAGAAACCCTCACACCCGAATGTAGACACCTCTCACAGAGCAATTTTTCCTCCAGGTCTCTACAAAGACTGGGCTTGATTCCACAGGAGCGTGGCATGCCTGGGGGATGGCCTGCCTCAAAGCCGGGAACCTCACTGCTGCAAGGGAGAAGTTCAGCCGCTGCCTGAAGCCCCCTTTGGACCTCAATCAGTTGAGTCATGGCTCACGGCTAGTCCAGGACGTGGTTGAGTACCTGGAGTCCACAGTGAGACCTCTTGTGTCCTTGGTAAGAGCAAAGCAGGCAGCAGGCCCTGAAGAGGCTAGGAGTAATAAGAATTCAGGCAGACGACTGGCTTGGTTCAGATAATAGTGCAGTTGACCTCAGAGGCTGCTCGCCTGATGTTTGTTTGTTGTTTGTTTGTTTGTTTGTTTGTTTCTGTTACATGTGGTTAGAGAAGAGACTGTACAGTTAGATAAGTAACACAAAGTTAGTTTTCTAAAAGAAACTATCAGAGGTATAAAATAAAAGCGGATACGCAGAGTAGTTATTTTTAATATTCCGTTTTGGTGTGTGTGTGTGTGTCTGTGTGTGTGTGTGTGTGTGTCTGTGTATTTTGTACATTGAGTGTGCTGTAGTGTATTCATGTGTGTGCATTTGTACTTACCCACGCATTCATGTGTGGTGGCCAGAGGTCATTGCTGGCTATATTCTTCTCTCACTCTTTGCATTTTGTTTTATATTTGTTTTGAGTCTGTGTCTATGAGCCACACACTCATGGAGGTCAGAGGTCAATTTACAGAAGTCAGTTCTTTCCTCCCACCAGTGGTTTCCCAGGATCAAATTCTAAGGTCAGGCTGGTTTCAGGTGTCCTTACTAACTAAGCCATCTTGATAACGCCTCATTTCCTCTTTCTTTCAAAACAGGCTCAGTCACTGAAACTGGAACTCACACCTCTAGTAGATTAACTCTCTATTAGCCCCTACCGCCTCGAATCTGCCTTTCAAACGATGGGTTACAGACACACACCAGCACACCAACTTTTTTACCTGGGTGCTGGGGTCCACAGACTTGCACAGCCAGCACTTTGACAACCGAGCCATCTCCCAGCCCCTGGTTTCGTTTTCTTTGGTCTAGAACAGCCTTGAACTCATGATCCTCATGCCTCAGCCTTGTGCACACCAGCGAGCCTGGCTAGTGTTAGGATTTGCTGAGAGCCAGGCGTGGTGATGGAGGCCCTACTGTCCCAGCTGCTTGGATGCAGGAGGGCTTGCAAGAGGGAGAACAACTTATTTTGTTTTGTTTTGTTTTGTTTCGTTTTGGTTTGGGGTTTTGAGACGGGGTTTCTCTGTGTAGCCTTGGCTGTCCTGGACTAAATTTGTAGACCAGGCTGGTCTCTAAGTCACAGCTCTCCGCCTGCCTCTCCCTCCCTGAGTGTTGGGGTTAGGGTTAGGGTTATGGTTAGGGTTAGAGTTAGGGTTAGGGTTAGGGTGGGAAAACAACTTCTTAAGCCTGGATGTTCAAAGCCAAATTGAGCAACACAGGAAAACTGTCTCAATAAACAAACAACATATTTATGCTATTGAATGAAACTTGAGTTGTAATATATTGTAGATAATTTTGTATCCCACCTATTTTCTACTCTTAAGACTGGAGTATTTGCAGCCGTGCTTCAAATAGAGGCATGTGTATCTCTGCTACTAGTGGCTGCCCAAACTCAGTGCTCTCCATGTTTTCTCTTACATCCTTTTGTTTATTTGTCTGTTTGTTTGCTTGCTTGCTTGTTTTTATTTTGTTTTTCAAGACAGGGTTTCTCTATGCAGCCCTGGCTGTCCTGGAACTTGCCCTGTAGAACAGGCTGACCTCGAACTCACAGAGATTGGCCTGCCTCTGCCTCCCAAGTGCTGGGATTAAAGGTGTGCACCACTCGGCTTCTCTCATATTCTCTTTTCCTGCCAGCAAGATGATGATTACTTTGCCACCTTGAGGGAGCTGGAAGCTACCCTTCGAACCCAGAGCCTCTTCTTAGAGGCCATTCCTGATGGGAAGATCACAAACAATGCCTACTACCAAGAATGTCTCTTCTACCTACACAACTTCAGCACCAACCTGGCCATCATCAGCTTCTACATGAGGCATAACTGCCTTCGGGAAGCCCTGCTGCATCTGCTCAACAAGGTGAGGCATTCCGACACAGTCCAGGGACAGTGGCCACCTTGACTGCCCCATAGACTTAATTCAGTATCCAGCGGTGAGGTGATTTCCAGCAGAGTCAGGTCAAAATGAAAGGCCTGGGGTCTGGAGTGAGGTGCTCAGCGGGAGTCTTGTGTAGCCTTGGGCACATTGCTGAACCTCTCGGTTTTCACCTCCACCTAGAGCCATTACAGAGATGAGCACCCCACATGCATACACAAGGAAGCAGACTCTCTCCTTGTTTCTCTTTCACTCCGCTGGCACCTCCCCCTGGAGGCAGGAGCATCCGAGAGCATCACCTTTTTGTGTATTTGTTGAGAGAGACAGAGAGGATGTCTGTACACAGGGGCCATGGGGCATGTGGTAGTCAGAGCACAGCTTCTAGGAGTGAGTTCTCAGCTTCCACCTTTGAGGCAGGCTCTCTTCTCTCTGCCACCATTCTGCATGTGGTGAAATGCAGAAACTCCTGTTTCCGCCTCCCATCTCGCTGTAAGGGTTCTGAGCTTACAGATAGACACACCCTCCTGCTTATTCCATGGGTTCCAGGGACCAAAATCTGGTTACCAGGTTGCATAGCAAGAGCTTTTTGCCTCTGAGCCCTCTCCTAGGCCTGGCACTCCATTTTTATCGCCACATTCTACGGTAACATTCTGACAGAGTAACTGATAGTTAGCAAATTTCATAGGAAACTAAAGGGGCTTACCACAAACGAACGTTACTCAGCCACACTAAGTCAGAAGAGCAGCCAACAATACTTTGCAAATAGACTTGTCTTGTAGGTAACTCCAAGAGAAACCTGGCATTGTGGTGCTCAGAGCTTTAAAGGACAGTGAGAGGGAGACCGTGTGTGGCTACCGCTGTGTCTCAGCTGCTAAGCATGTTTTAAGACTCATATAAAATGAGGCTTATGATTTGGAATTTAATTTTCCTTTTTCCTCCATCTCCACATGAGTTGAGAAGTAAAGATGTTTCTACCAGGGACAGGCCGAGAGTGCAGACCGTCAGGCCCTGTTGCCTTGGATTAGTACAGCCAGAGCTAAGCTGCTTATCTTATTATCCAGGTAGAAGCTGACCACAGCACTGCCCTTGCTTTGTGGTTGACAAAGCCAGGCAGGAAGCCTTCTCTTTTGTCTCTGTCATCAGAGACCTTGAACTCTCTTGACCCTTGAACTTTTTTAAGCGCCTTGCCTTTATCCTCAAGCAAGCAGTGGTGCAGGAAAATAAATACACTAAAAATGACACTTGAGTACCTAGTGTGTGCAGGGTTTCCCTGTCACACTGCCCTCAGTGTGAACATCCTAAACATGACACCCTCATGTTATTCTTCTTCCCAAAGGGCCTTCATGAATCGTTGGGATGAAGGCAAACATTTTTAGCATGCAGCTGGATGTCAAGCTCTATCTCCTTTATTTCGGTTTTTTTTTTTTCCACCAGAAATGCTATTGATAGTCCATATTCCAGACTCACCAAAATATGAACATTATTATCTTTGTTAGTCTTCACTGACTCTTCCATCTGTCTAGAATGCCCTGGCCCTCCTGTTTTCTTTGAGAAATTCTGTTTATGCTTTCCAGCTTAACAGAGGTTAAGCATCAATAGAGCAGGAGCACACACTGGAAAGGCAGAGTCAGGTATATTTCTGTGAGTTCAAGGCCAGCCTTGTCTATATTTCAAGTTCGAAGACAGCCAGGGCCATGTAGAGAGGAGGAAGAGGAAGTAGTTGGAAGGAGAAAGAGAGGCAAAAGAGGTGAGAGGAAGGGCAAAGAGGGAAGAGAAGGGAGAAGCAGAAGAGCAGGGTTATATGGTATTAAATGGGATGCCCAGAGGCCTGTGGGTAAAGGACTGAAAAACAGAAGGACAACTGGAAGGATTGTTGTCCAGGCAGAGGAAATAACAAATAAAAAGGTCAGAGTGGCCAGAGCTTGGAGGGAACAGGTTAGTGGCAGATACAATCAGGAAGGCTATGTAGCTAAACCATGCAGTATATATAGATACTGTGAGAACCTGGGCTTTATAGTGAGTGAGAAACAAGGTCACTGGAAGATGGTGAACAGAAGACGAGCTTCATCTGACTCATGTGTCAACAAGATTGATTTGTTGGCTTTTTCCAGAAGAGACAGGAGTGGGAGGTGGTAGACCATGAAGAAGGCTATTTCAGTAATCCAGGTGAATGTGATAGGGCTGAGGGCCAGCATGTGACTGTAAGTGGGCAGCTTCTGAGTGTGTTTCAGTGGTAGAACTTGCTAAAGAATTCCATATCAAAGTTTCAGGAGAAAAAAAAATGGCCCTGAAGCTCTTGACCTAAGCTTCTGGAGGAATGTCTGAAAAAGAGGAGGAACAGGATTCATGGAACAGTCAGGAATGCAGTTTTCAGTGTGTTGAGTTTGTTAGCTTTGCAGAAAGACATGTTGAAAAGTAGCTGGGTTCCCCAGGGGATGGCGTTTTAGAGGTGCAGGGGGAAGAGCAGGCTAGAGATAGAGGTGTGGCTATCATCAGCACACAGCGTGGAAAGCCAGGAGACTGGATAACATCGCTAGGAAAGTAGGGATAGGTCCTTAGGGGATAAGTGGAACCAGGTAAGGAGAGTGCGTGGCCAGAGAAGTTAAAAGAAAACCTTGAGAGGCTGATTTCTAGTATCCTGGAAGCAAAATAAAGAATCCCCAACCCCTTGGTGCTGGAGAGATGACTCAGAGGTTTAAGAGCACTGGCTGCTCCTTCAGAGGACCAGGGTTTGATTCCCAGTACCCACATGGTGACTCAGAACCCTCTATAACTCCACTTCCAGGAAATCCAGTACCCTCTCTGGCCTTTGAAGGCACCAGGCACGCGCATTGTGCGTAGACATAAATGTAGACAAAGCACAGTACCCATAAAGTAAAGATCGAAGAAAAAAAATTAAGGAGAGGCCTTAGTCTAGGGCTAAAGAGATGTCTCAGCAGTTAAGAGCACTGAATGATCTTCCAGAGGACCTGCGTTCAATTCTCAGCACCCGCATGGCAGCTCACGACTGTCTGTAACTCCAAGATCTGACACCTTCACACAGACATAAATGCAGGCAAAACACCAATGCATGTAAATAAAAATAAATCTAAAAGAAGAATTTTATTCTCAATTAAAAGTGAAAAACTTAAGCTTAAAGGTTTTCAAGGAGGGAGAAGTCATCATCTAGCAAAAGTTTCTGGTCTCCTTGGGGACAGTAGATCAGTCTTCTAGCATTTGAGAGGTGCTTGGTTGTCCCCAGCACCACAAAGAACGATACAGATAGAAGAAACAATGGAGAGCTCCTTGGTAGCTAGCATGCAGTGTCAGTAACACTTTGAGCCCAAAGTGATGTTAGGGGGGTGTGAGAGAAAATCCCTGGAGAGGAAGAAGAGTCCATGCAAGGAAGCGGAGCATCAGTAGAGTGGGGTTCTCAGAGGAGAACAAAGGAGCAAAGGCTAGCAGGTCCTACCCTGGGAGGATTCTGAAGTTCAGAGCAAATCCTAGACTGTGCTAGAACCAACTCCCACCCTAGTGACGCCTTTCCTTACCCTGCTCCAGGAAAGTCCTCCAGAAGTCTTCATAGAAGGCATTTTCCAGCCGAGCTATAAGAGCGGGAAGCTGCACACTTTGGAAAACTTACTGGAATCCATTGATCCAACCCTGGAGAGCTGGGGAACATACCTGATGGCCGCCTGCCAGCATCTGCAGAAGAAAAACTTCTACCACGTCCTATACGAGCTGCAGCAGTTCATGAAGGTGAGAATGGCCCGTGCTCCCTTCCACGCCTGCCACTGCTGCTGTGCCATGCAGGAGGAGCCGTGCAAGACGAGGGAACTGGACAGTCACTTGATCCCTGACCTTGGTATTTGACCCTAGTGCAAATCCCCCATGCTCTCTAAAGTCTAAATATTTAGACTTTCACCCTACATGCAGAGCCAAACTTTAATCTTGTCCATAACAGCCTTCTTCAGAATTCAGGAAGTATGGGGCTGGCGAGATGGGTCAGCCGTTAAGAGAACTGCCTGCGCTTCAGGAGGATCTAGGTTCAGTTCCCGGCACCCACATGGTGACTCATAACCATCTATAATTCCAGTCCCAGGAGAGCCGGTGATCTCTTCTGACCTCCTTGGACACCAGGAAAAATACTCACACACATAAAATAAAATAAAAATAATTTTAAAAAAAGAATTCAAGGCATATAAAAGTTTTTTCTTTAAAAAAAATAAAGAATTGTCTGGAGAGATGGCTCAGCAGTTAAAAGCACTGCCTGTTCTTCCAGACGTCTGAGTTCAATTGCCAGCAACCACATGGTGGCTCACAACCATCTATAGTGGGATCTGATGTCCTCTTTTGGCATATAGGTGTACATGTAGATAGAGCACTCATCTACACAAATAAATAAATCTTAAAAATAGTAAAAGAAGATGCAGAATCCGTAAGGAGTGACAGTCCAGAAAGCTAGTGTCTTTAGACAAAAATGCATGAAAGTAGAAGGGCCAAGTTTCCCCTGACTGTCTGAGGCTTCTCAGTACTGTAGTCTCAAAGAAATTAGATCACCTGATACCAAATTAAGACCAAATCCATACTTAATGGAGAATCAGAAAGATTTTCCTTTAAGGTGAAATAACATCCAACCCCAGAGCTTGGCCAGCAGTTCACGGTAGGGTCTCTGAGGCCATGTCATTGCGGAGGTAACATGCGAGTTCAGCCTGTGAGAGAGAAGCACAGGAGTTTATCAGGAAAGAAGAGAGTATCTGGGATGGAGACACCCCAGGGCCAGAAACTGACGGTCTGCTCTTTCAGGGGAATCAGACCAGAATTCTTACCCTTTGACCCCTCTGACCCGAACATTCATTTTTCAATCCTAGGACCAAGTCCGGGCCGCCATGACCTGTATTCGGTTCTTCAGTCACAAAGCCAAATCCTACACGGAGCTGGGAGAGAAGCTCTCATGGTTGCTCAAGGCCAAGGACCACCTGAAGATCTACCTCCAAGAAACGTCCCGCAGCTCCGGAAGGAAGAAAACCGCCTTCTTCCGGAAGAAGATGGCTGCAGCTGATGTGTCCAGGTATTGCAGGGCTCGGAAGATGGTCCGTGCAGGTGGGAAGCTGGGGCTGAGTGTCACTGCGGATGAGAAGGCTTCAGCTGCTGACGGTGTCTGCCACAACCCAGAGCACTACTGAGGTGCTTGTGGGGAGGGAGTTAGGATCACGTGGTCCACATTCCATACCAGGAACAAAAAAAAAGGTCCAGTGCAATCTCTCTCTGCTCTTCTTTTCTTCCTTGGTCCATGTCAGCCGCTGGCCTCCAGGACCCTGAACCCAAGTGCAACCCCTCTATTTAGAACATACTATCTAAAGGAAATGCTAAGCCGAGCGTGGTGCTTCATGCTGCAGTGGGAGAATCGTGAATTTGAGGCCAGCCTAAGCTAAGCAGTGTCATCTCAGGGGGGAGAAAAAAGACTAAATAAACAAATCTTCCACGTAACTTGTTGTCTTCCTAGACCCAGGCACCAAACCTCTGCCGTGTCTGGTTCCTGTCCGTTTCTCCTCTAGTATGAGCTGTGAGACATCACTCAAGCCTCCTTCCTCACTTTGGTACCTGCCACATAGGTGCTCAGTAAATTTTGATTCATCCAGTGCTAGAACTTGGTCCAGCCCCACAGGGCACCCTAAGTACTGTGTCTGGGGGGGTCCTAGGTTCATTTTTATCTAACTGTAGCTGTTTGGAGAGTATTTCAAGCCTCTTCCCTCTACGTCATTTCTTTAGTCTCTCCATTGCCATCTTCTCACTAAGCAGTCACCTAGCCCCAGACACCCCACTCCTGAGAGCTTCATGAGGCTGGACTGTATTCCCATAGGCACATGAATACGCTTCAGCTACAAATGGAAGTGACCAGATTCTTACATCGGTGTGAAAGTGCTGGGACCTCTGAAATCACCACTTTGCCTCTGCCGACACTCTTCGGAAATAACCACATGAAAATGGAGGTTGCCTGCAAGGTACGAACAGTGTTTCAGCCTCTGGCAGGCTGCTCACATCTTTCAGAATGCTTATCCCAGTTGTAATTATCTGAATATGTCAGTTGGTTGCTTGATGACATCCTCCACACTGGAATGTGGGCCTCAGGCTGGAAGTAGAGTTGATTTTGATCACTTCTATCTCTGGTGCCTGGATGTTTAGTCAAGTCTCAACATATACTTAATAATCAAGTAAATGGATTGAGTGTGTTGGCTTATATCTATAATGCCAGCACTAGGGAGGCAGAAGTAGGAGAATCACTGCAAGTTCAAGGCCAGCCTGATCTACACAGTGAGTTCAAAGCCAGCCAGGGCTATATAGGAAGACCCTGTCTCCCCAAAAACTTGATGATGATGATGATGATGATAAAAATAGGGACTCTTGACTTTTTTATTGAGAAGCTATTTGAATAATTATGACCCCTGTTAAGTATATCTCTCTCTCCATCTAGGTTATGCTGGGAGGGAAAAATGTGGAAGATGGTTTTGGAATTGCATTCCGTGTTCTGCAGGTATGATGTATTATTTGTTATTCAAGAGTATGCCAAGGGAACCCATGCCTGACATTTCTGTGAGAGGCTGCTCTTTCCAAAAATTCTTATATCAACAAGAGCAGATTTCAAATGTGCATTTGGAGTGAAATCAGAACTGATACAGAATTGGGTCAGAGGCCAGACTCTATGACATTAGCCAAAAGTCAACCTGAGCTTCCCGAAGGAGCCTGTGTAAGCCAGCTCCCCATAACTGTGGACTGAAGAAATATCACTCATTTTCCCAGGAGGGCATGTCCAGAAGGAGGAGCCAGGACATCTCTCCCAAGTCCTGTGGCATAAGGGCTAGCTTAGACTAGGTTTAAGGTGTTCCATCTGGCAAGTCTCAGCAAGTGAGTCTTTTGACAATGTGTTTCAACACTCAGACAATCCTTGGCCGACCAGCACCAGCTCTGTACACTATTTCCCAAAGAAAGGTGAGTCAGGGGAGAGAGAATTGGTCTAGGGAATTAAGTAAGATGTCTTAGAAAGTCCACGGAGCCAGGCCAGGTGGCACACCCTAGAATCTCAGTGTTTGCCAAGTGGAGGAAGGAAAATCAGGCATTGGGGACCAGCCTTGACAAACGTGTCCTGAGGAAAAGGAAGCCTGTCGGGACTGCAGTTGCTTGCCACTGTGGCCCTCCCCTGCTGCCCTAAGCCCATCGCGTTGTGTCCTAGGACTTCCAGCTGGATGCTGCCGCCACCTACTGCAGGGCCGCCAGGCAGCTGGTCGAGAGGGAAAAGTACGGGGAGATCCGGCAGCTGCTAAAATGTGTCAGTGAGTCAGGCGTGGCAGCCAAAAGCGACGGTGACACCATCCTCCTCAACTGCCTGGAAGCCTTCAGGAGAATCCCACCCCAGGTGCGCTCATGCCTGGATCTCTCAATCCTCTGTCTGCGTCCGTATCATCCCCTGTGCATCTTCCTCCTCACCACAAGATCAGTTTCTCTTTCCGACTCGGTACCCATGGCCTCACTCTCACCAACCCTCTCCCTCGGTAGTTCGTGATTAGGACTTCTGTATCCGGAAGGTGTCCCTCATCATCCTCTTGTCTAATGCTGTGTGTAGCTGGAAATGTCTATGTTCTGATGACACAGATCAGAGTGGGCCTGGAGAATGGTTCCCTGTGGTATGTTTGCAGGGTGAATAGAAAGGCATCCATTTGTGAAGGCTCAGCCTGGGCCTCTTAGATATTCCTTCTAGCCCAGTTCCCAAGCACAGTGTTACCATCCGCTCTCATGTGTTAGTCTTGAAGTGGGAATCGAGTCAGAAGAATCATGTAGGCATCCCCACCTTGGAGTCAGAGCGGCTAGGTGCAGACCGGATTGAGCTCAGGCTCCCAAGTGGGACGTTCTTCTCCCTTTCACTGTGTCTCTGTTGTACACAGGAGCTGGAGGGACTGATCCAGGCAATTCACAGTGATGGCAACAAGGTAAGCACAGGTGTCTCCTAGCCCTGGTGATACTACTGAACGAACAGCACCAGGGCTTTCCTTACCCCGCACAGGAGCTCTGTGCAGTTTTATATTTCAGTTGTCTGCTATCCGGGACCTAGACAGTAGCTTAAAAGCCACTGGAGGGAACACGGAGGGGCAGATGAACAATGCCTTTGCCAAGCCTTTGCCTTCCCAATTCTTTATCCCTGAGACAGTTTTTAAATCTCCATGTTATTCTGAGGTCTCTCACCAGAGAGCCATAGAAAAATCTCATTTCCATCTTCAGATGACTATATGAGGTTCCTAGAGTAGGCAGGTATTTCGTTATTCTGGAGGGGTAAAGAGTACAGTAATAAAAGCCCCACAATAGTAACTACTGTTTCTCGTTTCTATGACAAAATTTAAGGAGCAGTTTAAGGAAGGAAAGATTTATTCCAACCTACAGTTTGAGGGATAGATTCCTTTGTAGTGGGGAAGGAAAGGCAGTGGCAGGAGGAGGTGGCTGCCTGATCACGCTTCATCCAGAGAGAGGACGGGGGGAAGTGGGGTCCTAAAACCTCAGTGCACACCCCAAGTGACCAACGAATGTGCCACCTTCCAAGGCAGTGCCACCAGCAACAGACCAAGTGTTCCAACACATGACGGTTATTTCACCTTCAAATCAAACAAAGCACCCACCCAACCCTATGGAGGACAATGCTTCCTTGGGACGCCCGAACTCTTCCCTGTTTGAGAAACCTTATGTTTTGCATTGCCTCTGTGAAGGGTGCCAGCCAGGATAAAAGTGTCACTGTTTGTGGCTAGTCATAGGATCAATCATCCTGCCATTTTCAGGAAGGCCCCCAGGCCAGGAGAGCCCTAAAAAAAAAGCAAAGCCAGACCATCTGGCCATCAGGAGACGAATTTTGCAGCTGCTGAGTCCCTCGTGATGAAAACTCATGCCAGGCAATGGCTTCTTACACAACCACAGAGCTGCTCCCACTGCAGGCTTATCAGCCCCTGGCTGGAATCTGCCAGCTATTGTTTTTTTCCAGTTTAAGGAGACTGTGTCCTGAACATTTACTCACTGTTTGTAAAACAGCTTAACAAGGTCATCGGGAAGAATGAAATTCTAACATTCTAAAATGACAAGTTGTTTTGTAGAATCTGAATGAAAACCCCAGAATCAAGCTAGATAGTCGTTATCAGTTGTTCCTCTCAGCAGCTCTTCTAAGGCACTTGCAGGACCTCCGACACAGGTCTTGCCAAAACCTGGTTTGATCCATTATTTTTTTAATGGTTCTAGACTCTAGCAACAGCATTCCCCTCTTGAATTTTGCCTGTCAACATATGGTATTTCATACCGGTAGAATTAACTAGCACTAGATAAGGGCTCACTCCCTGGGGTAGCATACCCAATTTCTTCAGTGAGCTCACACTGGACTCTGTCTACCTTGGCTTCTAAATTCTTACTTTACCTGTGATAGCTCTTTAGAACATAAGGCCATGCAGTCACCTGGTGTCTAGACCATTCCAAGTTGTGAAACAGTAAAAGGCAAGAACCTAGCCATCAGTTGGGCAATGGCTTTCTGATGCTCTTTTTTTTGTGTGTGTGTTGATTTTTCCCCTGGTGGTCATGTCTTCTTAAAAAACCTCCTACCCATTCACTAGGTTCGGGCCTATCTGACATGTTGCAAACTGCGCTCTGCCTACCTGATTGCCGTGAAGCAAGAACACTCGCAGGCTGCCGCCCTCGTCCAGCAGGTGCAGCAGGCCGCCCAAAGCAGTGGAGATTCTGTAGTGCAAGACATCTGCGCTCAGTGGCTTCTGACAAGCCACTCCCGGGGTGCCCACGGCTCAGGCTCCAGGAAGTGACCCTGGGTCGCAGAACCTAGAAACCATCGCGTGGGAACTACGGCAGCAGGCGCAGTGACACCCAATGTTCTCCATCTTCCTGTGGAGCAGGACTTCCGGCCCTGGCCCTGCCCCAGCCTGGAGGGAGCAGGCTGGACCCTACTTGCCTGCGTGGGCAAAAGCAGGTCCTTTCACACAAGTGCCATGTAAAATCGTAGAATCTGTGTTCGTCTGGAGATAGCCACTTCTTTCTACCTCAGAGTGACTGCGTGTGCGCACATGCGTGCACTCACGTTTATGCCCCAGCATTTTCTGAACAAATGAGACTCCTCCATTGAAGAGAGGCACTTTACTTTCTGCTGATCTGAAAACCTTCCCCGAATTTCTGCTCTTATCTCGGGTCATCCTGTTTGTCCATGGTTCCTCTTCCCTATGCAGACACACTTAAGCAGCAGGGGGCCAACAGAGAATTACAGAGCAATGCCAAAAAGATTGCTTCTTCCTCCTTCCTGAAATTCAGAGAGAGAGCTTGAGGAGTTCGCCTGTAGACTGACGGCTTTCCCGGCAACACCTCTCACAAGCACAAGGTTTTCAGGTGTGGGCATCTTAAAGATATGGCGACGGTATAGATGTTCGGTTCTGGGAGGCTGAGGCATCCAGAGGGGAGGAAAAGGCAGGCCTCTGAGCATGGAGCTGGCTCTCATCACTATCCCTGCTGCAGGGTTGATGGGTAAGGACACATGGCTTTTTCTTTCGGGGTCTGGGGAGAGAAATGGTATCCAGGATCCTGGGGCTGAGTGAGATGCCAGACTCTACCAATTTGAGTTCTGTCCTCGTTTGTGCCTCTTGAATTAGTTAACAAGCCGTTTCTCCACCCCTCATGCTTCCCTTTGGTCTCCTCAGGACCATGTGTGGATACGCCAAGACCTGGCTCGATGAGGTAGCAGTACACAGAGGGAATGGGGTTCGCTTCAGAGGTGGGTCCACAAATGAGGTGGAGCAAGGGAATCACGAGTAAGTCTCATGCAGTGGTGGAGAACTAGATGAAGGGTTTAATCTGCTTTCACCTGAGATGAGCTGGGCCTCCAGAGAAAGGATCTGTCATCTGGTGACTGGCTTGCAAATGAGAGCCCTGAAGAAAGACCTGTGGCCCCAAGTCTCCCACCAGCCAGAGCTCAGCCTATTGGTCTCGCCTTTGATGGCAAGGCAACAGGAAAGTGAAGTCCGTATCTGTGGTGCTTAGAAGCCCTGTTCATTTCTTCTAAACCAAGCTTTTCTTACTAAGCAACTGCTAATGGACATCTGTCAGATCCCAAGCTCTGGTCCTATTAGAGAAGAAAGGCTAAAGGAAAATATCAGATCCCTTAAGGGTTTGGTCTTTTCCTTCCGTGAGTCATAGAACACAGCACAGCCCCCAGGAGCCGCCATTGCCTGGTGTCTGCTTGCACTCAAGGCTGCCCTTTTTGCACTGAGCATAAGCACTTTACACAACCGGGTTGTAAGTCTTGCAGCCCTCTAGTTGGAATGGCACAACCAGATTCCCCTGACTTTCTTCTAACTTGAATTGTAAAATAGGTGACCATTGACCTGGTTAACAGAGAAAAGACATCGCACTGTGGTCTCCTAAAAAGCAACAATAGCATCAAAACCGTTGTACACAATTGAGTGGTTGTGTGTGCCGTACTACATCCAAGCCACAATAAACTATCGATCCCACTACTTCTTGGCTTCACGGCTTTTTTTTTTTAATATTATTATTTATTTTTACGTGCATTGGTGTTTTGCCTGCATGTACGCCTGTGTGAGGGTATTGGACCCCTTAGAATTGGAGTTACAGACAGATGTGAGGTGTTGTGTGGGTGCTGGGAATTGAACCCACACTGGAAGAGCAGCCAGTGCTCTTAGCCAATACTATTTTCTGGCCTCCACAGGTGTCAGGCATGTGTCTGGTACGTATACATAAATGTAAGCACTCATACAGTTTTTAATGTGTTTATATAAATAGTCTTATGACCATTCACTTAGGATTTCCTGCGATTTCCTATGTATTAAAAAAAAAAAAAAAAAAAAAAAAAAAAAAAAAAAACCAAAACTATTAGTGGGCCAAGGAGATGGCTCTGGATAAAGCACTTGCCACACAGGCCTGACAACCTGAGTTTGGTCTCTGACACCCATGTGGAAATGGAAAGAAAGAACTGACTCTTCAGATTGTCCTCTGACCTCCCTATGCACACCACGGAATGAAAGTGTCTGTACACACACCCACTATACACATAATATTAGTAAATTCTAAAACCTTAAAAGGGGGCTGGGAATTGTGGCACACACCTTTAATCCCAACACTCAGGAGGCAGAGGCAGAAGGATTTCTATGAGCTTAAGGCCAGTGTGGTCTACATAGGGAGTTCTAGCCAGCCAAAGCTACATAGTGAGACCCTGTCTCAAAAAAAAAAAAAAAAAAAAAAAAGAGAGAGAGAGAGAAATGAGTACTTATCAGCTCCCTTTGGGGCTGGAGAGTTGGCTCATGAATTACAAGCATTGGCTGTTTTTTCCAGAGAATCCAGGTTCAAGCTCAGCACCCACATAGAGACTCACAACCATCTGTAGCTCCAGGTCCAGGGAATATGATGCCCTCGTCCCTCCCATCAACAGCACCAAGCCCACATGGCACACAGACATATATGTGGGCAAAACATTCATATAAAATATTTTTATAAAGTATTGTTTTATTAGTGCACTAGGAATATGGCTCAGTGTATAGCAGTTGCCTGGCATGAGCAAGGTCCTAGGTTCAATCCCCCATTCTACCGTTAAAAAATAAAAATTTAAATCCTTTTAGTGTACCCTCTACCACCAGAAAACTTGGTATATTTCATGTCTGCTTTAGGTGAAGTAGTGGAGATAAGTGATATATTATGAGGAGAAAAATGTAAATGGGAGGTCATATCTCTGTCCCAATGCCTGTTCCCCCCCAAGAGGCAACCAGTGTTACCAATATTTACTGTGTGGTCCCAGGGTGGGGGAGGGTGCTTTTGTCACAACAAATCATCCTGTGATGAATTGTCCTTAATTGATGAGTCAGGATATGGGCACTTGGTAAATAATTCCAGCTACCTTCCATTGTGCTTTATTCTCCCACCAGTGGGGCAGAGAGTCTCTGTTCAACCTGCCACTCCCACCATTCTTGTCCCCAGAAAGTTTAAAAACTTTGTGGGGATTTTGTTTTTGAGATAGGGTTTCAGTTTCATAGGTTTTTTGCTGAGGTGATGGGGCACGTGGAAACCTTTTCAAAAAGCGAGTTGCCATTTTTTAAACTTTGTGGTACCTGGCATGACTATATATATATATTATACACACATATATACTCAGCTGTATTTTTACTGTCAACTGATTTGTGAATGCTTTTGAACTACCTGTGGGGTATTTGAGGAGAGCATAACTCAAGTTTAAAACTGTCTGCTTGTCTTCTCTTACGGCCATACGCTTGCAGAATGGTACCTGAGCTGAGAGCACTCTCATCACTGCTGTTCTCACCTTTCCCCAGAAATGCCAGCCCGTCCAATTTCTCATTCAAAATAAGACAAAAAAAACAAATACGGCAAACACATGATAATGATGAGAGGAGACCTTAAAACGTGTGGTGTGGTCATGACACAAAGACATGTCACAACAAAGAATACTGGAACAGTCTGACTGTAAGACAGGTGAGCACTATATTTAGACACCTGAGACAGGCTAGGTTGCCAGATGCCTCTGGCTGAAGCTTAGGCAAAGTAGATCCCTGGCCATTAGGCTCTTAATACTCCAGCAAGCAGATATCGATAGTCACATTAACCTGGTAGAAACGAGCTCTTCGTGGTCTCACCCTCTCCCCTGTGTGGCATTAGTTTTCTTGGGAAGATGTGAACAGATGTATAAGGATCTAGGCTCAATTTCCCACCACCCACATGGCAGCCCAATTCCAAGGCACCGACACCTTTATACTAATGAACATAAAATAAAATTTAAATTAAAGAAAAAGAAGCTCTTGAGCACAAGTGTAGCTCAGTGAACCAATGAGCTTTTGGGGGCTACTCTGAGGAGCATGGGTAAGTCTCTGGCAACCATCACTGGAAACCCCACTGTGGCATGGCCTCATCTCCTGGTAATACCTCTATTGGACTCTTAGTCTCTGTGAAGTAGGAGTAGTTCATTTACCAAAGCACCAAATACAGAAGTAATTTCCTGAGATAGAAAAACAGTTATTTGTAAGAAAATGGGCAAGATGAAACATGTTTAGATCAACACTGAAACAATACTGAGGAGAAAGCAAGAAAAATAAACTGTACAAAACAAGTATATGATATTTTATAAATCAGACATGTCTGTGACTACTCAGCCAGACATACTGGTCCCTATGTTGTGACTTATCCTGCTATGTACAGAGCATCCAGTGGAGAACCCAAGGGCTTAAGGAGCAATGGAGCCACTGACAGGTCTTTTTAAATATTTTGTTTTATTTATATGTATTGGTGTTTTGCCTGCATGTATGTCTGTGCATCACATGCATGCCTGGTGCCCACAGAGACCAGAAGAGGGCAGCAGATTTCCCTGGAACTGAAGTTACAGACAGTTGTAAACTGCCATGTGGGTGCTGGGAACTGAACCCAGGTCCTCTGCATAAGCAACGAGTGCTCTTAACTGCTGAACCATCTCTCCAACCCCACCGCTGATCTTTTAATGGTTGTGTGACACAGTGACACAGACCTCTCTCTCTTTCTCTCTCTCTCTTCTCTAGATTGTGACGTGAGCAAGAAATAAACTTTTACCATAGCGAACCACTGAAATCTGGCATTGTTTCTTGTACTATTTACTCTTTTATTAGAATAAGCTGTTCCTTGTGTTCCATGTCTCGTTGGCCAATTGTTTTAGCTAATGGAGATCATAGAGAAAACAGGCAATGGTTAAAAATTGGATAAACTCCTACAAAGGTTTCTCTTCAGAATGTTAACTTCTAATAAGCAGTTTCGTGAAACTGAAATCATCTGACAGTGACAGGACCTGGAGGCAGGGAAAAAAAAAATAAGTGAAACAGATGTTAAAATTAATTTGGAAGATGATGAAATTGAAAGTGATGGAAGAGGCCAGGAAACCAGGTGTGGTGACAAACACCACTAATCCCAGAAGGACAGCAGATTCAAGGCTGGGCCATATAGTAAGCTCTGAGCCAGTTTGGGGTTCATGTTGAGACCCTCTCTCTCTCAAAAAAAAAAAAAAAAATGCCAGAGACCAGCGGTAGGTTAAAAATAGCTGAATATTAGCAATGATCTATATTGGACATAATGCCACTGTGCCAGGACACAAACTTAAATGGTGACACAACGCATTATCATGTAACGGGACATCTCAAGTCTTAGTAGCTCCCTACGGCATGGTCAGTAACCCGAATTCTCCCCATCTTGTCCTCTACTGGTCTCAGCACGTCAGCTTAATTGTTGGGCCTGCTTAGCTCTCCACTCATGGACGCAGGATGCTCGTGGCACCGTCCATGTGCCTGAATGTGATTCAGGCATCACATTCAGCCACAACAGCATGCAAGAGGACTTAGAATTTCTGCCTGTGCCTCAACTTGTACACATACACTTTATGAACTTATTCATTCATTCAGTTTTGAAGCAGGATCTTTCCATATAGCCTAGGCAGACCTGAAAACTCCCTCTGTAACCCAGGCTGGCCTCGAACTCACCATCTTCCTGCCCAGCCCCCTGAGTATTGGATTTAATTACAGGCATATGCCATCATCCACTTCCCTCAATTTTCCATCAATTTAGAAACCTTTTCTAGAAACTACCAAAACTTTTTTTTCTATGTCCCATTGGCCATTATTGTGTTGTATGCTTTTTTCATAACCAATTACTTGGTAAGAAAATGTGATCGCCATGATTGTCTTGGACCAGAGGTCCAGAGTCCCAGTAGCATATAAGAATCATCTGGGGAACCTTAAACAACTCTTTGCCCAAAACAAAGCGATCACATATGAGCCCTGGTGTTTAACTATTATGGCTGTTGGGGGTTGGTCTGGTGCTATGTGTTCTAATGCTAATTACTGGCCTCTAAAGATCTGGTTGCCACCCAGGAGTACATCCTCACAAACACCTGTCTGTCTTGTGTAAACCTTGAAGCCTGTAACTGGGCAGAAGAGAAGGTGGGGTTGAGGTTCCCGGGCTTGGGGGGGGGGGAGTCGTCTCAGAGAGGGAGCACAAGAGAGAAGAAGCAGAAGATGTATCAGGAGGAGAAGAAGCCGGAGAGAAGGAAGTCACTGTGGAGCAGTATGACCACGAGCACATGGCCATGTGAGCTAACCTGATAGACCAGAAGCAGCCCAGACAGGAGCAATTAAGGCAAGTAACATGGGGTGTGTAGCTGGGAAACAGCACAATAGCTTAGAGGATCTGCCCAGTTACTGTGCTTTAAAGCTGTTATAAACCCAGGAGGTGTCCATCTCGATTATTTGGGAACTAGGTGGGGTAGAGAAGCCCTCTAGGGTCTACTATCTTATTCCACAATAGCAATATGGGCAGAGATAAGAATACTGAAACAGGCAAATTAGAGTCACAAATGGGATAGTATAGGAAATGACTATGGTTGGCATATTTCAGCTTTCTCATAGTTATAACAAAATACCTCGTGGAAACAACCTAAAGGGGGATGGCTCTATTTTTGGACTCATGGTTTCAGAGGGCTCAGTCTTTGGGTGCTTGCCCATATGCACTTGAGCAGGACATCGAGGTGAAAGAAGGTGATAGGAGATTTTTCACCTACTTACATGGAGGAAGCAGACAGTGAGGAAGGAGCTGGGAACCAAGCATTGCCTTCAGAGGCCTGTTCCAGTCACATAACTTCCTCCAACAAGGTTCTACTTCCTAAAGTCTCCAGAAACTCCCCCAAAATAGTATCACCAGGTGGGCAGCAAGTCTGAGTCTGAAGGGGACATTTCACATTCCACCAGGAAGGGCCGGCAATAAGCAGGGTCTGTCTGCTGAAGTTTACTCATTTTTAATTTCCAAGTAAGATGTGAAAATATCCTGTTTTTTAAATATCAAAAAATTATCTCCCATCAGCCTCTCCTGGGGATAACTGCTCTTAAGAATTCATCAGAAGAATGGGGAGAGGGCTGCAGAGATGGCTCAGCCATTAAAGGCTGGGCTCACAACCAAAACATCAAAAACATGGGGATATAACTCTGTGCTTACTAAGCATGAGTGAGGCCATAGGTCTAATCCCCGGTGCATATTTATGCTTATATAACTATATTTATATGAATATATATTTGTACTGGCGATTAGGGATTTTTTTTCCTGTTGAAGTACTTTGGGATGTTTCCTGCTAGTCCAGTGTCTCCATACATGCATATTCTAACATTACTGTAGATACTAAGATGTGAAGGGGTCAGGAGGAGGGCTAGGAAAAGGAGCTTGGGAAAGCATAGGAAGATGTCTGGGTTACTGGGCTTTTCATTGGTGTTTCAAATTCAGAGGAAGAAATTCTCAATTTCAGTCCACAGCTGACAGGCTCGGCTGTTTCTGGGCCTTCATGAGACAGACTGTCATGGTGCTAGGACATGGCAGAGCCTGGGACCAATAAAGATGGCTTCTTGGGCCAATGGTTTATTATCACATTAGACACATCTGCCCACCTCTCCTCAGTGACCTTCAGCAAGAAGGTCATGAGGGCAACAACACAGAAGAATAGGGGAGCTGGAGGGAATTACAGCCATAAGTTTAGGGAGACAGGTTGGCAGAGGCTTTCTTAAATGTATCTATATGTCAAATCTATCTGGTCATACTCTGTGGTGAAGCTGAGTGGCTCTGTATTTAAAGCCACACTTCTCACTTCTCATAGTAAAATCCTGGCATTGAAAGAAACCTGAGTGATCACCCAGCTTGGCCATCTTACTTTGTACCCAGACACAGAATTCTGAGAAAGCTCAGGATGTCTGGGTGAGTGGTTCAGTGGGGTGACATATGACTCACTAGACTAACAGACTGATTTCCTTTCCTCCATTTCTCCCTGAGAAAATACATACAGCAATGAGATGAGCACAAATCTTTATTTCTCTAAAAATTGAGGTAAAGAAATTTTTTTTTTTTTTTTGGAGGTGGGGCGGGGGAGTCTACATGTTGGAAAATGGAAAGGTCCAGCTTCACGCAATGGCTCCAGGATGCTCAAAGGAAGAAATGAAGTTTGGCCAACGTGAGCTTCTTCTTCCTGAACTGGTCTGAACTCCAGGGTTGCGCCTTCCATTTCATTTCAACGAGAAAAGAGGCCAATCTAAAGTTTGAGGCTACAGCTCCTAGGAGTGTGCAGTGCTGGCATTCCTGTGAACACATCAGCTACTGTCTACAGTTCTGGTGAGGAAACTGATTCAATTCTTCTACCACCCCTGTGTCCAACCTGGAATCTACACAGTCCTCTAGCCCCCGAGAATTATGGATTCTCTAAGGCTTCGAGAATGGTCTGCAGGTGTGAATATCATGATGTACTATGGCCCTGCCTCACAAAAAGGTTGTGGGTAGGCAGGAGTCGCAGCAGCAGCAGCAGCAGGCCAGGAGGATAATCCTTTCAGGTTGGCCTTCTCTTTGGTCCCCTTCTATTACGCCATAGATTGGCCCTGAAAAGGCCATGGTCTTTGAGCCAACTATTCCCACTGGATTCCTAGAAGTTCACAGCTGACATTCCACAGGCGCTCAGCTGTTTTCTTATTCCGGGCCCTTGGAGACACCCAAGTCCTCTTGCAGTCACTGGCAGACAGAGAGAATGAACATTAAAATAAAAACTGACAATCTTGGAACACATTTCTCAGAATAGATTTCTGGTTACCTAAACTACATGCAGTAGGCTTAAAGAAACTTCACTGGAATGAATTATTATGTATTTCCAGGTCAGGCATGATAGCCTGGCCTAAATAATCCTGGCCCTTGGGGAGCAGAGGTAGGAAGATCAGGAGTTCAAGACTATCCTTGGCCACAGAGTGACTTTGGGGCTATCGTGGTCTATAATTAGGCCCTGTCTTGAAAAATCAAAGTACAGGAGCTAGAGAGATGAGTTGGTAGCTAAGACTGTTTGCTGCTCTTCCAGGTGTGGTCCCCAGCACAAAATCAATCAACCTACAACTACCTGTGACTTTAGTTGCAGAGGATACAATATCCTTTTTGACCTCACACACATATACAGTCACACAGACACACATAAATTTAAAAAAAAAAAATTTAAAACCCTCCAAAAAACATATACATATATACTTACACTTTGAATAGTAACACATGGGTTTTTGTTAATGTAGTTTACCACAAGATATAATAGCAGACTGATACCTAGCTACTTCAAAGTAATTGTGAGCAAATGAGGCGTTATAAAATATGTTCAGGAATTCAATGTGACATGAAAACACCTGTAGCCCTATGGTGGCGGTGTCACAGATGACACCACAATTACTTTCTTACTAAGTTTAGATAAACCCTGAATTCCATCTGGAGTCACTTGTGCCCAGAGAGACCCACCTATGAACCCATCCTGCTTTAGAGTGAGCAGAGGGACTAAGGAGAGAGGGGTAATGGAAGAGAGAGAGTGCTCCACTGGGCTTCTGTATTTTATAATGATGAAAGCTCCACAAGATGTTTGGAAAATATAATTCTGATAAAAAGAAGAAAAGCCTATCATTTGGCTGGCCTTTTTTTTTTTTCCAGCTATGTTGGTTTATGTAGAGATATATATAAGTTTATGTATAATTTTTTTTCTTTTATTCAAAAGCGGGATTGTGTATTTAGTTTGGGGAAAAGTCTTTATTTTGTTAAAATGTATTTTAATTGTATAGATGGCAAATAAATGTTTGCCCTTCTTTAAAAAAACCTTTGAAATGATAAATAAGAAGAATAAGAAGTTGCAGCCAGGCATGGCGGCACACACCTTTAATCCCATCATATGGGAGGCAGAGACAGATGGATCTCTGTAAGTTCAAGGCCAGCCTGCCTACTCAGCCAGGCTGTGCTGATCCAGGACAGCCAGGGCTACACAGAGAAACCATGTCTTAAAAAAAAAAAAAAGAAAAGAAAAGAAAAGAAAAAGAAGTTGCACTCCTTTTTTATACCTTGTCTGACTCTTTGTCACACTCCCTTGAAGTAACTATTACTGGCTGGTCTTTCTAGACTACTCATTTTATATATATATATATATATATATATATATATATATATATATATATATATTTATATCATATATATTTTTTATATTTTTGTAATGAAAGTTTATATTGTTTTAAAAAACATTTTAATTTTATGTGCCGATGTGTCTGTGTGCCTGTTTGTACATATGAGTGAGTGCCTGTGGAGGTAAAAAGAGGGTGTCAGATCCTTTGGAGCTGAAGTTACAAGCAGTTGTGAGACCTGGGGGTGAGAACTGAACTAGGGTCCTCTGCAAGAGCAGTAAGAACTCTTCGCTGCTGGGCCATGTCTCCAGCCCCTACAGTTTTGTAGTCTATGTTTTGTTTGTTTGTTTCTCTCATGACATTGTATCATGACTATTCTCTCTGTCACACTCACTAGGCAGGAATGTAAGCACTCAGATTGTGGGGTAGATTTGTTCAATAAACATAGACTGTATGCCAAGGTTGGTGCACACACCTTTAATCCCAGCACTTGCCAACTGGGTGGCGGAGGCAGGCAGATCTCTGTGAGTTTGAGGTCTACCTGGTAAACATAGTGAATTTCAGGATGCCCAGGACTACATAGAAAGACCCTGTCTTGAAGAAACAAACAGAGAAAAGAAGGATGCAAACCAAACATAATGCGTCACAAATATAATTCAGATTTGCTAGTGGCCACATTTGAAAAAGGGAAAGAAACTAGCCATGCTGGGACACAGCTGGAGAGCCAGAACTCAGAAGACTGGGACAGCAGAATCAGAAGTTTGTGGCCAGATTGAATGGCAGAGAGAGAAACTGCCTTTAAACTAAATCAAGAGCTGGGCAGTGGTGGTACACCCCTCTAATCCCAGGACTTGGGAGGCAGAGGCGGATGAAACTCTTGATTTAACCCAGCTGAGATGACCGTGTGAATCAATATACATAGCACACTTAGATAAATGTCAAGAGGTCTAGCGATATTGGCTGCTGTCACTCATCTATTCTCCTACCGCAGACACTAAACTTACTAACAGTCCTGCCACAAAGGGTGCCTCGCTTAGCAAAGGACAGTAGAACGGACTGGGGTGGATTACATTATGGAAATCGAAGGAGCCTTTATCGTGGACTCCTTATTAGGAAGCTCTGGCTGCATGTGGAGTTGTGTTTACGTGTGGTACTTAAATTTCTATTCCTTCACACCAACAGGCAAGGCCAAGCCCGACAACACTGAGGGGGAGGGTTCCCACTGGGCAAACATGACCTCCTCCTAGCATTTTTTAATATAAATTTTTATTTATTAGAATTTGTTCACTTTGTATCCCAGCTGTAACCCCACCCTTGTTCCCTCCCAATCCCACTCTCTCTCCTTCATCTCCCATGCCTCTTTCCCCAGTCCACTGATAGGGAGGACCTCTTCCTCTTCCATCTGACCCTAGCCTATCAGGTCTCATCAGGACTGTCTTTCATAGTCTTCCTCTGTAGCCTGGTCAGGCTGCTCCCCACCTCAGGGGTTGGTGATCAAAGAGCCAGCTACCGAGTTCATGTCAGAGACAGCCCCTTCTCCCTTACTAGGGAGCCCATTTAGAGACTGAGCTGCCACAGGCTACCTCTGTGCAGGGGGTCTGGGTTATCTCCATGAATGGTCCTTATTTGGAGTATCAGTCTCAGAAAAGACCCCTATACACAGATTTTTTGGTTCTTTGCTCTCCCTGTGGAGCTCCAGACCCTTCCAGGTCTTTCTATCTCCCCCTTCTGTCTTCTATCATAAGATTCCCTGCACTTTGCCCAAAGTTTGGCTATGAGTCTCAGCATCAATTTTAATACCCTTCTGGGTAGAGTCTTTCAGAGGCCCTCTGTGATAGGCTCTTGTCTTGTTCCTTATTTTCACATTCTTCCAGTGTCTATCCCATTTGACTTTCTGAATGAAGATTGAACATCTTACCCAGGGTCCTCCTTCTTGCTTAGCTTCTTTAGGTGAACAGATTTTAGTATGTTTATCCTATATTATATGTCTAATATCCACTTATAAGTGAGTGTATACCATGTGTGTCTTTCTGCTTCTGGGATACCTCACTCAGGATGATCTTTTCTAGTTCCCACCATTTGCCTGCAAATTTCATGATTTCCTTGTTTTTAATTGCTGAGTAGTATTCCACTGTGTAAATGTACCACAATTTCTGTACCCATTCCTCAGTTGAGGGACATCTGGGTTGTTTCCAGGTTCTGCCTATTACAAATAAAGCTGCTAAGAACATGGTTAAAGCAAATGTCCGTGTTGTATACTTGAGCATCTTTTGGATATATGCCTAGGAGTGGTATAGCTGGATCTTGAGGTAGCACTACAAAGTAATACCAAAGAATTCAAATGTCAAATCAGCTGAGCCTTAAAGGAAAAGAAGCCAGAGGGCCACTAACATTCTTGTTATAGCATAACCAACAGGGAAAGCCTGTTGGCTTTCAGAACGCAAGGGTGCTCAAAGAAGCATGGCACACTAGAATAAAATGGAACTACAGAAGCGATTCTTACTAACTTTAGTTTCTTCGGAAGAGTCCCAGGAATGGGTTCGCAGACCCGACCCATGCCTGGATTCCATCAGCAGGCACACAGGGTGCCAAGCTCCCGGGGTGCTGTGATTCGCAGGCACAACCTGCCCTGCCAACTCTTACCTGAAGTACTTGCCGCTCAGGGGCTCCAGGCCCTCTGCCAGGGCGCAGTGCAGGCTGGTCTGGGCCCCCTGCCGAGTGGACTTGAAGAAGGGTGAGAAGAGCCGCCACAACAGGCACAGCACGACAGAGTGCCGGACGATCTCAGACATGACAATACCCGGGTGTACCGCATAGGAGGTGACCCCCGTCCCTAGAACAAAGAGGACACAATAAGACCAGGGACACACTCAAGCCCTTCGGCAAAATGCCCAAATGAAAGAAAGGACTTGGGTGTCCTTGACCCCACAAGGTTCCCCAAGTTCTGCCTAATGTCTGGTTCTGGATCTCTGCTTCACCTGTTTCCATTCTGATGACGTCTGAGCAAGGCACCGATCTAATGAGGACGGCAGAATATCACTAGAAATCGTTCCATTGACTTTTGCTTTTTGCAAGTCGTGTTTGGTTCTGTCCTAGGTCTCCGGGTCCTGGCCCTCCAGGCAGTGTCAGTGATGAGCTCCCTCTAATGGCATGGGTCTCAAGCTGGACCCAGGTCAATGGGTCAATGGCTAGCCACTCCCACAATGTCTGCGCAGCCTGATTGTAGGTCAAAGGTACAAGAAAACCCACAGAATCAACTAACCTGGGCTCATAGGGGCCCGTAGAGACTGAACTGCCAACCGGAGAGCCTACACGGGACTGACCTAGGTCCTCTTCAGATGTTACAGTTGCATAGCTTGGTCTTCTTGTAGGACTCCTCACAGTGGGAGCAGGGACTGTCTCTGACTCTGTTGGCTGCTTCTGGGACCCTTTCCTCCCACTGGGTTGCCTCATGTAGCCCTAATAGAAGAGGAGGTGCCTAAGCTAACTGAACTTGATATGCCATGGCTGGTTGATATCCATGGGAGGCCTGCCATTTTCTGAAGAGAAACTGAGGAGGAACGAATGGATGGGAATGGGCAAAAGAGGTGAGGAGCGCAGGGAGAGGAAACGGCAGCCAAGGTGTAAAATTAATCAACCAATTAATTTAAAAGAGAGACTTGGTAAATACAAGCCTAAGGTTCTATTTAACCTGCCTGGTAATGAATTAACCTCTAGAACGATCTACATAGTCTTCTCAGCTTTCTGCGCTCCAACAGAAGAGTTATATTTCAATGTTATCTTATACGGGGGGCTTACACACTCCTAATAAAAACATGTGGGAAGTAGTAGCGTTAATTATTCAGAGCAGTGTCTCTGCCATTTCTGTGGGAGGAGCTTTGGGACAACAATCTATCTGAAAGGTTAGGGGTAGAGGCCAGTTGAGCCAGCGCATTTATTTGATGCGGATAGAGGCGTGTTGGTGGAAATTATGGGTCATTAAGCTGCCCCCAAACACAGCCTGATACCACCTCATTTTCAATACTTTTTACATGCAAGGGCTGTGCTGTGCACTTTCCCTGTATTGTTTTTTGTTGTTGTTGGTTTGGTTTGGTTTACACAACTTTACTGAAAGAAAATAAATCAGTTACTAGCAGAATTATCATTGAAGCAATCGGCCACTAATGGTGTGCCTCAGTTAGTTGGTGAGATATTAAACTGCTGGAAGATGGGCTAACTCTAGTAACTGGCAATTTAAGTGGAAACTACAAAAAGTTTTGAGATTCTAATTTAAAATCATTTGATTTTAAATCAAATGGTGTTTGATTTTCAGTTTGCACTCTCTGTGAAGTAAGAGCAGGCATTCCACCAGGCCTTGGTGGAGGTCTGACGGGGAGCAGCTGGACAAGATCAGGAACAGCAGTTTGATTCCAGCTACCCGGCAGGCTCTTCTGAGGTAAGGCGACACTGCATGCCATGTCATCCTCCCTGAGCCCAATCCTGGGATGCGTTCTCATCCACACTGCTGTTTGTTTCATAGATTGTGAATCTGTGGCACTAGGGGGACACAGGACATGCAAATTTGGATCACTTAGCAGTGGGCAAAACAGATAAGGGAATTTAGGAGATGATTCAAGCAGGAGACTGCTGTCATCTCAGAACATGGAGGCAGATGCCGCCATTCCCGTCAACATTTGCATGATAAATGTGGCAGCAAATGCAGTCTTGACTGGTTGAGAAAGGTAGCCCTGGGGGGTGGGGAAGCCAAAAAAAAAAAAGAATACACTGATTCAGTATGGACTGTCATCGGGCCCCTTAACTGTGGCTTGTCAAAGAAGCACCATCCTCCACTGGCCTCCAGAACATTGTGGGGAAAGGTGTGGGACAAGACACTAAGTTTCTTATTGATGCATGTAGTCTGTGGTCCTTGCTGCCCCGACACATGTCTACAGGTCTGGTCAAATAATGGTCAAATGTATCCACCTGCTGCTTCTACCTGCCACTTGCTATTGACTCTATTATTTTTGTTTGCTATATACTTAATAAACTCACTTAATCAAAATGGAAAGCTCAGGAATCCTAGATCATTTTCTGAACTATACAGAACACTACTAAAATGTATATGCTCAACAGTCTTGTTCCAGAAGTTTCTATGAACCTACAGTCTTGACCAAGGATCCTGTTTTTGTTTTTGTTTTCTAATAATAAAGCATTTGAATATTCTCTCATCTCTCCACACTTACCTTGGAGCCGCTTGGCCAGCTCTCGAGTGAAAAGCACATTGGCGAGCTTGCTGTGGGCATAGGCGAGACAACGGTGGTAGTATTTCTCGCCTTGGAGGTCATGGAAACGGATCTTGCCACAAAGGTGGGCCACTGAGGAGAGGTTGATCACCCGTGCGGGAGCAGACTCCTTCAGCCGCCCCAAAAGCAGGTATGTAAGAAGAAAGTGGCCTACAAAGAAATCCAAAGAGAGAACTCAGGGGTGGGACAGCCCTAGCTCAGGGTGTGGGGACTGGAGGCAGGACTTCCACATCTCACTGTCTTCTGGGCATGAGGAAAGCTTGACACGTGAGTTAATCAGTGCTAAGTGGTCACTTATTCTAAGTGAGTTGATTCTCCAAAGCAAGGGCCGAAGCTAGACCATAGTAAGACACTATTTAATGTAAAATTTGTACCCATTGCTTATATACCCGTATGCTAGCCTCCAATTTCTCCGTATAATATGGGCCCTGATATACTCATACAGAAAGAAAGCTACAGTAGTCAGGGAAAATAACATTTTGCCCAGGATCCAAGACTATGCCACATGCTGCCCTGACTAGAACCTTAATCTTAAACTCTGAACACCAGTTTATCTTTTGTGTCAACTTCTCAAGGTTCACTTACCCCCCCCCCAGAGTAGACCAAGGCTTGTTTTGACTCTCATATGGATGTTACTTCCCCTGCCAACTCCAGATTCCCGAATAGCCACAGGTTGGCACTGCCCAGCAAGCCCCACCCCATCCAAGGGTGACATTGTTTCTCCCTAGCATCTTCTGAATAAATGCACGGAGTCACATTTTTGACTGCTTAGAAAAGTGCTAATAGTGATGTGTCTGCTGCAGGGAGAGTCTATGAGGACTCTATGAGGCTCCATGAGGATCAGTGGAGATCCTGAGCACCAAGGCACCGCCATCTTCCTACAGAGAATGAGGCTGGGTTAGAACTCAGCGTTTTAAGTCCCCCCGTGATACTTACCCAGATGGTTGACTCCAAATTGGGTTTCAAAGCCATCCGCTGTCTTAGAATATGGACACATCATCACTCCTGCATTGTTGATCAAAATATGGAGCTTCTTTTCCTCTGTTGAGAACAATCAGGGAGACCTGTGGCTAGCAAGGCACCTTCCAGCCACCTTTCACCATCCCAAGTGTTTGACCCTGGGCTTTTGTCTGTGAACACTCTTTTCTGGGCAGGGTTATCACTCCTGTCTTCTAAGATAAGGTGTTGGCTCAGAAGTCAATAACTATTCCCCATTTGGTCTTGTCTGTGTGATATGGAATCACCATTGTCACTGGGTTTCTAATTTTACTTGCTGATATCTTCCCGGACACCATTTGTTCATTATGGCAAATAACTGGAGAGCAGGCTCTCATTGATGGGCCCTAGGAAGACACAGTAAAACAAGGCACACCTAGACCTTGTCCCTCAAGGATCTGTAGTTCTTGGTGTATGCTGGTAATTTCCCAAGACATGGGAGCATTTTGACAGTGGCACACACTCACCTAGTACCTGTAGCCACAGAAGGTTTACTTTCTGGATAAAAGAAAGGAGCAGAATCAGGGCCACACCTTATGCCAAGGTACAAGCCCAGACGTGGAGATGACATCTCCAAGATTCCCACTGTGGGACAAAAATGTCGATAAGGATCCGGGCCAGCTCGTCCACCTGCCATCCCTTTGCCAGTTCCCTGTCCTGCTGGTTTATGTAGCTAAACCTGTCTAGTGGGATCATGGGTATGATGCAAGGGCCATATATGGTCCTGGGTGGAGCAGCCATTTCCACACTTAGTTTCCTACCTTCCTGGCTACTCAACAGAACCTTACCTGACAGGAATCCCTCAGCAAAGGCCCGGATGGATTTGGTATCAGATAGGTCCAATTTCCGCACCAGCACCTGGGAGTTCTTGGTATCCGCTCGGATTTCACTAGCAGCAGACTCTCCCTTCAGCACATCTCGACATGCAATGTATACTCGAGCTCCTGGGGCCAAAGCAGAAAGGGCAATGTGTACAGAGGAACAGGAAGTGAGCTTGGATAGAACATACTCAGAGCTGTCCCTACGGCAATGGAGTGGCCACATTGCCACTTCCAGATCCTCACAGTGGAGCAGAGAACCCTCATTTTACACTTCAATGTTTAATTCTGCTTAGTCTCTACCTCAGAATAACTGAGTCGACCATTATTCTCCTCACTCTCTGAAATAGGGAAGGTGCAGGAAGAAGGGGAGGAGCTCTGCTGAAAGCCAGAGTAAATTATTGTCACATCAGGCTTGGTTTCCAGTTTCCTTGAGTTCCCACCAGAGCCTCCAAGCCCAGGAAGAAAGATAAGGACGTTCAGGCAGAACCCCAGCAAAGAGGGCAGGAGGTTTGGCCTTGCCAAGACAGAGGAGAAGGATTCAACTCACCTCTTCGAGCAAGCTCTCTGGCCGTCTCCTTGCCAATGCCCGTGTTGGCACCTGTGATGACCACTACCTTTCCAGGGATCTTCACACTTGTTGTACAAACTCCACCAGCAAAGTACTTCCTGTCACCAAAGGGAGGAAAATCAAACACCATTTTCCCAATCTCATGCTGAGATGCATAAAGTAAGGCCACGTAATCCAAAGAAGGAGGTCCTTAAGTTGGAGGTATAAACTCTTATCCTGGCAGAAGTTAATTGGTATGGGCCACTTTTTGGTTGGGCAAGGTAGTGGACAGCTCATAGGTGTGGATTGGAAGGGAATGTGTCCAGAAGGTAAAAATAGTCACCTGAGCAAGCAAAGAAAGTGTTCTTGAGTCAGGGCCAATAGAGACATTCCTTGCCAGATGACAAAGATATCAATCCAATCTCTATACTATCATAGGTCATCTTCCTCCTCTGACCCACACTGGAGCCATGTGGGTGATGAACATTAATGGGCTCAATGCTCCTGAGCCCGAAGGCTCCAACAGTTACCATAGGAACTGGCAAACAGCATCTGGGCTAACACACATAAAACTATCTCCCCTCAGCTGCCTCTTCAGTTTTAGAAGACTAGAGCATCCTGAGAGACTTTCTGTAACTGTGTTAAGGATTTTATTCAGGCCATTGGCACACAGAGAAAACGTTACTGTTGAAAGCAAGATCAGAAAGGCTAGACTACTTTCTGAACATCCCTGGCTGTCAGACACTGGGCCAGCCACTTTCTATACACTATCTTTTCTAAATGCCTTCTACACCCACTTTCTATCCCAGGCTAGACGCTTTCTACCCTCATGAGACCTATCCCAGGCTTGACTTCCTGCACAATATCTAGCCCATGCTAGACAGTCTCTACACTCACTATTCTTCCCAGGCTAGACATTGTCCATACGTACTATCTTTCCATATGTCATTTATATTAATCTCCTCAGCCATTTCAGTATCATTTCTACATTACAAAGGAAAAAAAAAAAAAACCTGAAGCTCAAAGATGTTCGAGTCATTTCTAAGGGTAGCCAGGATTGAGTATGACATCTGACACTCTGTCCCCAGTATGTCTGTCTAACCTTCCTCTTGGGGGGGAGTGGGGTAAGGATTCAAGACAGGGTCTCTCAATGCACCCCTGGCTGCCCTGGAACTTGGTCTGTAGACCAGGCTGGCCTCTAACTTAGAGATCTGCCTGCTTCCGCCTCCTGGATATGGGGATTAAAGGAGTGCACAACCACACTCAGCTCCCATCTAACCTTTTTCATCAGCAAATTTTAAATTCTCCACTCAGAATAGCTATTTCTTTGACACCTGCAGAAAACGGGACTTCCAAAACACTGAGAGAATCATCAAGGGAAGGAAGTTTGTTTCCTCCCCAGAGTGCCTACTACTTGCTAATGAGTCCCTCAGCAATGACATCCACAGGATACTCCACCTTACCGTGGGGCAGAAGAGTAAAGGAAAGTGTCAGCGAAGCCTGAAGGAATCAGAGGAAAGAGCCAGGACAGTCACCCACTCTGCCTTCGTTTAGCATCAGAATTCAAATCAACCCCACCTTCTCTCACACAGATGATTCCTTCTCGTTTTTTTTCACCACGGCATCCATAATCCCTCCTTTCCTGCTTTTACTGCCTTAATGTCTCCCTCGCCGCCTCCCTTCATCTTTTAGCGGTGGAAACGTGCTACCACTTTACGAAGTAGTGTTGAGTTGCTGGACTGAGACAAACCTGATGGATGGAGCTGTCAAATATAAGATGAAGAGGAACGTCGTGAACAGCCCTAAGATAAACAGCATCTTGTCAACCTCCTCAGTGGCTGCTGCTCCAGCTTCCACCCTCGACCTGGCCTTCTCTGGCTCAGACTCCTGGAAGCTTCTGTTGTTGAGTCGTGGCTCCTCTCGGCTCAGGGCACTCCGCAACAGGCTGGTTTAAGCAGTGCCCAGAATCTTACTTAAATCCGAGAGCCGCCAGAGCACAGCCTCCTGGGAGATGTAGTCCCTGAGGGGAGGGGCTTAAGGAACGGTAAGGACTTCACCTTTTGCTGGCAGGGAGAATTTGGCGAAACTGGAGTTCCCCCAACACCTGCCTCCAAGATAGACTATGTTAAACTTTATCAGCGGACTCCCTAAAAGCCAAGAATAGTGACACACTCTTGTAATCCAAGTTATTTGGCAGGCTGAAGCAGGATGCTTACTTGAGCCTACAAGTTCAAGACCAGCCTAAACAATATAACAAGACTGTGTAAAAAAAAAAAAAAAAAAAAAAAAGTGAGCATGCAAACAAACAAACAAAAAACCCAAGACCTAATGATGCTTGAATATGTGTGATTTAAAATGAAAGAGGAGGGGTCAGAGAGATAGCTAAGTGGGTAAAAGCGCTTTTCAGGCAAGCCTGTCGACCTGAGGCCAATCCCCAGAACCCATGTAGAAGCCAGATGTGGTAGCTCAGGCCAGAAGAGGTGGCTGCTGTCTGTAACCCACAGTAATCCTGATGCAAAATGGAAGCTGGATGCTCAGGGGCCAGGTAGGAACCTGAACTGCAGCAGAACCAAGAGGTACGTACCTTGTCTCCAAGAGAAGGTAAAAGGAGAGACTGACCCCTGAAAAAAATATCCATATGCTTGTCCGCACAAATCCCAAAATAAATAAATAGGGCAGGGAAAATGGCTCAGCAGGTATCAGCTATAGCAAACAGGCTCCGTGACCTGAGTTTGGGTTCCCAGATTCCACAAGCTGACTCTCCCCTCCCCCCGCCCCGCCAGTCATACTATCGCCTCCACACACATGCTGTGGCACGTGCATTTTTGCACTCACATATATACATACAATTAAATAAACTAAAATTAAAAATAAATAAGTTGAAGCAATAAGATGAAGAGGTCCCATGGGGCAGGTAGTGATTTGATCTTTGATCTGTGTGCTAGAATGCAAGTGTGCTCACTGTGAAAATCCATTGAGTCATATTCTTTTGGTTTGGGCATTTTTGTGTGTGTGCTTTAAGTCACACTTCAGTGAAATTGACACACTCGATGAACTGTCAAGGGAAGGGTATAGTGTGTAAGTCCTCTTGAGCTAGACTCACATTCTTGGCTCAAATCCCGCTCATCACCTTTCAAGCTCTATGGTCCTGGGCAACTTACTGAGCCTTTCTGCTGCCTCAGTTTACTCTTATCCAATGGGAGTGATGTCCACTTGTTAGCCTCAGGTGAGTCATAGGCCAGCCAGACTCTGGGATGACACAGCAGTGGGCCTGTGGAGGTCATGCTCCAAAAAACAGTTGGGAAGCTGCTCTTTGATTTGATCTTTGTTGGGAATTTGTCAAGTGGAGTCACACTGCTGTAGCTGATGTCGCCACTGTCCTGAATATTCTGGAAGGACGGAGACCGCAGAATCAGAGCAAGTGTGGAAATGGGAAATGCCTCTTCCTCTTCTTCCATTCCTCCTTTCTTCATCCTCAAATTCCAGATCCTGGAATCCAGATAAGAAGCCTCGAATGGTTTCCAACCGTTTCCCTAAAAGGCCTTTTGTAACAACAACGTGTCTATTTCTCTTCATGAGCAGTTGGCTGCCTCGCCTGCATCCCTACCAAATTATACCAAAAGGAAAGTATGGTTTTGGATTTAGGGTTCTGTTGGTGGTGGTGGTGGTGGTGGTTTCTGTTTTGTTTTTTTCTGTTTGGTTGGTTGGTTGGTTCTTTGTTTTATGTGGGTTTTTTTTTTTTTTTTTTTTTTTTTTTTTTGCTTGTTTGTTTTAGTGAGGGGAAATTGTTTTGAGTCAAAGTCTTACCAGATAGCCCTGGCTGGCCTGGCACTAGACCAGACTCACAGACTCACAGAGATCAGCCTGCCTCTGCTTCTTGGGCGCTGGGATTAAAGGCGTGCAATGCCACTAGACCCGCTCATATCTGTTTTATTCAATAATGAGTTATTGTTCCTCTTTCTTTTTTTTTTTTTTTTGGTTCCTCTTTCTTGATCGTTCTAATTTTTATCTTAAACTGTGTGTATGGGGAAAGATATATAGCCATGAATGCAGGTGTCCACAGAGGTAGGCTACAGAGCTCTCTGGAACAGGAACTATATGTTGTCATGAGTTAAACTAGGGTCTTCTGCAAAAGCAGTGCATGTTCTTCACCACTGAGCCATCCCTCCATCCCTCCATCCCTCCATCCTCTTTTCTTGATCTTACAAGGTGAAATAGCACATCACCTTTATCAAAAACACGAAACAACAACAAAAACACTTACCTGTCCCTCTAACGAGATGGCTCCTTGGATAGAAATGCCACCAAGCCTGATGACCTGAATTCAATACTCAGGACCCAAGTGATGAAAAGAGGAAACCGATTCCCTAATCCTATCCTTAACCCTAGTTCTAACTTCTACATGCATTCTGTGCCATGGGAACATGCACACATACACAAAATAACAAAACCACATACATAAATGAACACATACATATAATTGTATAAAGTGAAAATCATACCTCTCATTAATGACTTTCTTGTATGAGAAGAATGTTCTGCCTTGGTAGAGTTTGGGATTGGACTTTAGAGTGGTCAGTGAGATGGCTCACTGGGTAAAGGCATCTGCCACCAAGTTTGATGACCTGAGTTCAATCCCTGGGACCCATGATGGCTCTATGCATTGGTCAAAATGGCAACTATGCACTTAAAACTTTTACATTTCATGGTATGTAAATTTCACATAAAGTGAAAAAAAAAACAACTAGATAAACTATTAAGCTACAATTAAATACACAAGCTGAAGTTTCTAGAGTAAATCCATGCCAACATGGCAGCTCACAAGAATCTGAAACTCCAGTTCTAAGAGATCCAGTGTCCTCTTCTGGTCTCCCTCACCAGGCATGCACATGATACATATACATACACACAGAGGAAACACTTATACACATGAATGAACATGAATAAAACTTTTTAAAAATATTAAAGCATATCACAGAAAATTTTAAAAACTAACCATTGTTGCAAATATCACAAAATCCAGAATATTTTATTACATTTATATTACATGGCTTGCTATTAATAAAAAAAAAGCATAGGTTGATGGCCTATGGTAGAAGTAAAGCCAATGTTATACTGGACCTGTTTTAAACTTTTAAATTATATTTATTTATCGGGGGGGGGGGGGCTATGTGTGCCATGGTGTGCACATAGAAATCTGAGACAACTTTTAGGGGCCAGTTCTCTCCTTCCGCTGAAGGCTCTCAGGACCTGAGCTCAGATCAGCAAGCTCCTTTGCCCACTGAGCTATCTGTGGCCACACGATCTCCATTTTAAACCCGAGGTAAATCAGGCGTGCAAAAATGTGAGTAGAGAAAGTTGGTGGTAGTATCATGAAATTCTTCAAATGCTATAAATGTTCAATATTTTTCATTTTAAGACTTTGCAAACATTTTGAAACACGCCTGCACAGAGACCTTTTACTGTGGAAAATCGACACAGTAGATATTTCAGAATGAACACTTGGAGCATTGCTGTATTTGTTGCTTTTAACTTTCTAACATCATATAAATGATCTTTAGTGGAACAAACCTTTAAATCCCTCTACCTTCTCTGCAGCCTCCATTCATCTTCATTGGTCATGCCCACCCCTTGTTCCCATATACTTTACTTATTTACCTCTTCCTTAAAACAATCATAATAGTTTGACTTAAATCTCTTTTGAGCACATTTTTAATCTCAGTCACTCGAGGATAGAAATAGGACTGCATTTTTTTTTCCTACACAAATGTTTGCATGAGGCACATATACAAAGAACAGGGGTGGGTATGGTTGAATTTGGAGTCATCTCTCCAAGGTTATGAAATTCTACAATAATTTAATTGTATTTTTATGGTTATCAAAATTGCCAGAATCAAAATAGAGATGTGTCAATTCTAGCCAAAAATAAACAAATAAGCAAAGCTTGGTCAGTTATTGTGGCTCAGGCCTCTAATCTCAGCACTCAGGAGTCAGAGGCAGGATCAGTGCAAGCTCAAGGCCAGGCTGGTTCACACAGTGAGTTCCAGGTCTCCCTGAGCCACATAATACGATCCTGTCTTAAAAAATAATAAATAAATAAATGTAGTAAGTTGCAGAGGAAGGGGTGGACTTCTTGCAGATGAACCTGCTAGTAAAAGCTATTATGTCAGACATATGACCTCTCACCAAAGCTACATCAACCTTACACACATATACAGAGAAAAACACTTCTGCAAGACATCTGTCCAGGGAGAGGCCATCCAACCTCAGACTTGCATCACCCTTACAACAGTTACTACAGTCATAAATTTTTCTTTCAAAATATCTTAGGTAATTCTCATTTCACTTTCAAAACAGTACCCTTGCCCTTTGAATATGATGATAGTGGACTGCAGCATGAACAAGATCCTAAGTTTGATCCCTCGGACTACAGAAGTGGGGGAGAAAGAAAGAAAGGGAGAAGTAAAAGAAACTTTGGTGAAGAGCTCAAAGGTGGAAGGGGCAAGGCAGTTCAAAACATCTGCCAACCTGAGTGCTCACAGAAATCAGCAGAGTCCTTAGGCAGCTTCACTGACCACTTTAAAATGATGTGTTTTTCCCTTGGGGTGAAACCAAAGCATATAAATCACAATGTGAATAGTCACAAGTACCTGGAACATTTGTAAGTCTATACTTGGGAGGTGGAAGAAGGAAGACTGTGAATTCCAGTCCTGCCTGGACTGCTTAGCAAGAGCTTGTCTCAAAAAAGGCAAGGGGGAGGGGAGGGAGAAGAAAGGGAAAAAAAAATTCAAGATGAAAAATGCTGTGCTGCACAGGGAAGCAGAGGCAGGCGGATCTCTGTGAGTTCGAGGGCAGCCTGGTTTATAAAGTGAGTCGAGGACAGCCAAGGCTACACAGAGAAATCCTCTCTTGAAACAAAACAAAACAAATGCTGTGCTGGTTGCTTTTATGTCAACTTGCACAAGCTAGGATCATCTG